TTTAACCTAAACTACCTTTCGCTATACTACTAGGAGAAGGAGAAGCGTAAGGCTCAGAACCCCTTCAACCCAAACTACCTTTCGCCACACTACCAGGAGAAGCGGGAGGACTAGAGATCATGCATCTGAAGTTATATGACTCTCCGCTATAGGTCATCCGAGAGCAAGGGCTTCTTCCTCCATTTAATCTCTAACTGCAGCATCGTAGGAAAGAAAAGTGAACGGGCTTTCGGCTGGCTTCAAGAGACCGGGGATGTATGCAGACAAGTTCCGCGTCTGGGAAATGAACGTGGATGTGTACATAGCTATCTATACTTGAGGTTTGCAGAAGTTCAGTCCTTGTTGTCAGTACCACTCGAGTTACATATCTTTCAAAAGTGCATGAGAGATCCTTCAACAGTGGTTGCGTAGTGTATCGGCGACTATAGCGACATTCGACCAAGTCCCTTTGGGCGATCTTTGGTCTCGTGCAATTTGATCCACAGATGATTTAAAGTTCCAAGATCACGCAGTTGGGTCTTGGCCAGCGTCCAGCCAAGCAGTACCTTTGCAGTGAAAGGGCCATCGACCAGCGTTTACGAAAGGCACGCCACACGTCTCATGCTTGGGCTTAGAACATGACGTTCCGCCGGACTTTAACTACTAGGCCAAGCTCTTCTTAGTCTGCACTAAGCTTTTCTGATTTTTGTGCAAAACTACCAAAGTAGGACAGTTTCACCGTGCGCGTAAGCAGTAGCTTGCCCATGAGCTCTAACGCAAGAGGAGCGTCAGCGGAGCCACAGATGCGGGCCGATCGTGGCACGAGATATAGATCAATCTAGAAGCTGGCAGGCAGATCAGGTCATCATTCATCCCCGGGTAGTGGTTCCGCATATTATGGCAAAGAACAGCATGATGCGAGAACTCGATGCTAGTCCAGTTTCACGTTTGAAATCGGTCAGTAAAATTGTTGCCTAGCTTCGCCGCCTGACAGGCTTACAGCATGTTTCACCGCTCGGGGAATCATGGGGTAAATCTGGGGTATCACCGTGGAGGAGGCTTATGGCATGCTAGCCGCCTAGTGTCAGCATAGTATAATGTCTTGGTCCGGCACCTACTGACACGCCACAAGGCCGATGAGAACACGGGGCTCGATCGCATGCGCGACTAGGGTATGGTACACGACCATTTGGTGTCGCCTGAAGCGGAAATATCAGAACTTGGTAGGTTTTCTGTACAATGCCCTTCCCGGTACCTCTCGAGTCTTTGCTCAGAGCACTTACGCCTTGCGGGAAGCGTCGATGTCGTCTGACTTGCTCTAAAGATGTTCCTGTACAGCCGCCTCAGAGAGGATGGTCTTCCAGAGTCCACGGCTCCATTTTCCAAAACCCAAAAGCCACCAAGAAAGTCGCAGTCGCTTTGCTCGGTGAGTCGGAATATACCTGTAAGTGTGGAAACAGGCTATGCGTCCCGAGATGGCGAGCACGCTTGCACTGTTCGAACTCATTCAAAGCAAAGACTCCTCAAGTCCATTGCTAGATGACTCGCCTCCTGTTTTTCTGATGTACCGCTGCTTGATCAGCGAGCGAGGCTTCGATGGCAGAGGCGTTTTTTTGTCGAGTTTTAGATCTTGACGGTACTGATGTTATGCTGCCATCAGCTGAAATCTATGCACGCCATGCCGTAGCTTGTAATCTCGTTCAGCTTGACAGTAAACTTTGCTTTCGAACACGCTCATTGTTTCACCTTGATGTTGAGCAGGTCCGCATTTACCAGAGCGACATGCACTGGAATATTCAAAATCTTGGAAGGGAATCATGTACGCCGATCAACGTATTTTCGAAGAGCTCCGGTAGCGCAGGCAGAACAGCTGAGAACCTGTTTTGTGACAGAAGTTAAAATTTTGGACTTGTGAGTGTTTTGAAGACATATTGCTCGTTAATCTCATGTGGGCAGCGAATACCTAGGAGACTGCGTTCAACAATCCAGCGCAGCATTGTCGATGGACTCACGGACCTGTGAAGTAAAAGCATGGCCGTAAGTTTCGAAAAGGACGCGATTGTGCCGGAGTGACCGATCTGCATAAATGGGACAGCACGAGACTGATGACAACTGGACAGACACACGGACATTGAGCTGAAGACCTTGGTTCCGTTGTGAACGAGATTCATCAGTATTACACTTTGTCGACCCTGCAGCTGTAATCCTCAGCAACGTCCCCTCGAGGCAAGGAGGCAGGTCTATTCCAAGCTCCAGTATTGAGAGAAGGAGGGAGGTCAAGCGCCAGCGCAAGGCTTCCCATGATGTGCATCTAGTGCTCGGCAAGGCCAGAGGATGCAGCGCCAGGTTCGAGCTCCCTCGCATCCCATTCGCCACAAACGCCGCAGCTTCTCCACTTCCCCGCGTCCCCACGTCCGTCCTCCATTCGCGATTGCACTTGCAATCAACTGCCGAATTCTCAGCATCGAGGCATCCACCACACACATCCAGCCTGCCCCGCATTTGTTGCGTCAACACGCACAGATCAACTGTCCGGTCTGCTCGTCTGGACTTCTGGGCCATTTCTGATACTCTGGCTGGGTGCGTGCTTGGCGGCTGACAGGTCATGGTTGGCACGTTCAGAAGCCTATTCTTTCGTACGAGGTGCGGAGTAGCATTTGCCGTTCGTTACTGGGAAAGCATTCATTAGGAGAGAAAATGGAGAGGTCACTGGGTGTTTGCGAGGGGTCAGTGGCGGCTCGCATGGACTTCTCTTATGATGGAGAACTTCCACTTCTCTTGATTGAGAGGTTTGCGCTTCGTTGTAGTCGACTCTCACCGACCACCGGATTGCATTTGACATCGCATCCAAAATGGCTGTGCTGCCAGATGCCCGGCATGACGAGCCTGTCGTGCTCGCAGCTTATCGAATTCTGCGAACTTATTGGATCCTGATTCTGCCGGCGGTATTGCTGCTAAGGTTCTTCTACTACAAGTACGCGTCGCCATTGAGGAGATACCCTGGTCCGTTTCTTGCTTCAGGGAGTCGTGCCTGGAAAGGTCAGTATCAGAAGCAGCTTCAGCTTCTGTATTGGTTGATACATACCTGACTCGTGAACCATGTTCGCAGTCCTTTCCACCTACTCCGGCCACACCGAAACCGACCACATTCGACTGCACGAGAAATATGGACCTGTCGTACGCATCGCACCCAATGAACTTGGCTTTTCTTCGCCCAAGGCAGCGAGAAGTGTTTTGGCTGCTGGGTCAGGATTCCACAAGACGCAATTCTATGCAGTGTTCCCTCCTCCTGAGAACCCAGACATCTTCACAGAAACGCGCGAAGACGTGCATGCTGTGAAAAAGCGGTATGCTTCGGGTCCGTATAGTATGGCGACCATGCATACTATGGCGGATGTCATTGAGAGTGTGGAGCGAGACCTCACTCAACGTCTGGATAAGATTTGCCAGGATGTGGACAAGAGGGAGAGTTGCGATCTAGGAAATTGGCTCCACTACTTCGCCTTCGATGTGCTGGGTGAAATTGCTTTCTCGCGAAGATTTGGGTTCTTGGAAGCCGGCTTCGACGTTGAAAATGCGATTAAGACGATAGATGATATGCAATGGTATGATGGGTTGGTCGGGCAAATTCCCGAGTGGGATTGGGTGTTTCGCAGAAATCCGCTTTGGAAGTTGGTCCCTGGAGGAGGAGAGGGGCCGAAGAGATTCTTGATCACGAGAATGGCGCTGGAAGCGATTGAAGAGAGAAGGAAAGTCGGCGGAGGGAAGGAGAGGAAGGATCTCTTGCAGAGATTGATTGAGGCGCATGATAAGGCTCCGGACGTGTTTCGAGATGGCGATGTTTTTGCTGTTGCTCATGGTGCAATGTGAGTGTGCAGGCTGTCGGAATTGTAAAAACTGGACTCGATTGACTGACCTTGGTAATGTAGTTTCGCTGGATCCGACTCCACGGCTTCTACGATGCAAAGTTTCAGCTATCATGTCCTGCGCGATCCGGCCATCTACACGAAATTGAAGAAGGAGCTCGACGATGCCACTCAATCTGCTCAGCTGTCGGGAATGCCGCAGTGGAACGAGGTTCAAGCTCTTCCATACTTCCAGGCCTGCCTGAAGGAAGCGATGCGTGTCAGACCTGCGGTAGGCTTGAATATCACTCGTCTCGTACCTCCAGCAGGAGCAGAAATCGAAGGCAACAGTCTTCCAGGAGGAACGCAAGTTGCTCTTAACGGATGGGTCCTACATCGCGACCAAGAAATCTTCGGCGCAGACGCGCATCTCTTTCGCCCGGAGAGATGGCTAGAAGGTGATGCGAAGACGATGGAGAGATACATGTTCCAGGTGAGTCTTCATCAAACACATCTCGTCTTCGCGCTTGTGCTGATCATTGGGTAGTTTGGAGGAGGTGCACATCTATGCATCGGCAAGAACTTGGCTCTACTAGAGATGAACAAAACTCTGCCGCTACTCTTCCGCGATTATGAGTTCCAGCTTCTGCGACCCAACGAAGAGTTGAAGTATCATTCGACATTCTTCGTAGTGCAGGAAGGCTTGGAAGTGAGGATTTCGAAGAGAGGGAAGTCGACTTCGTAACACTTCCGTAATGCATTCGATGGAAGTCATCCGCAGTATAAGCCGCTGAAGTGGACAACAAGTCAGCACCCGGCCAACATCCGCATGTCAGTCTTTTGGATGTTCCTTCTTCCGGCTGGCGCATGCTGATGCGTATTGCATCGGGGTTTGACGCCTTTGCCACATTCGCATTTCAAGTTCGCTTGTGATCGTGGTCAAGTATCAGGTAGGATATTGGCCACCAGGTCGTCCTTTTCGATCAAATGTTGTGCGCACGCAACGCAGCAGTCGGTTGCCAGAAAATAGCTCCCACGCGCCAATAAATTACGGCCGTCTCGGATCTGCTCTCGGACACACCAACAGAAAGCTCCAGGGTGGTCCACTTCCACCGAAGCGGATCGTCACTCGGCTCCGATTTTCCCACGCTAAAGATGGAAGAACGGCCACTCAAAAGCTTGACATGCTTGGACTTACTGCTTCGCTCGTCTTAGTCGACGTCCCAATGACTCCACCTTATCCACTTCCTTTATCCTGCCGCGTGGTCCCTCTACAATACCCGTGGTAACGCTCTCCCGGAGCAGCAGAACGGCATTTGACAATGGAGGACTTTCACGCGGTACGTTGGACAAGTCTGGAGAAAGCGTGTGGGAGATTGTGGGGGAAGTGATCAGTGTCTCGCCCCAATGTCTTTATGGGGAAGAACGATGCCAGACGTCGCTGTGATTCCTAACCGAGCTCGAGCTGGGCTATTTATACGGGACGCCGCAGCAGCGGCGAGCAGACTGGGATTTGCGAGCGATTGCGACTCCTCTCTGCTACTCCCCTTCCACGCACTATTGCTTTTTGCTTCTCTTTTTGCTCTGTTTGACCGAGAATGATATCGTGTGGTTCCACTTCTGTTGCTTTCTTTGGACGTTGAATCGTTCTCAGCAGCGAAGGAGTGCTTGGCTGTTCTTTTCTTGGATTTCGCAGGTCGATTTTCAGCGAAGAGACTGCTCAATCTTCGTCCAAAGCTCGTGTGTTGCCTGAGAAATCTCGTGGGAGTTGAAATTGAAGCTGAAAGAGAGCCTTATCCTCAGCTTATAAGGCTGTGCCTCGGAAGCCTTTGCGAACTCGCTACAGCATCCAGCAACGATGACAGAACAGAAGCGGGCAGGCGACGAGCAGGACTTCGCGCCCGGAAACCTCACATCCAACGACCAAAAGCTTCAAATACAGCCAGATACTGCAAGCTCCGACATCGAAATCGGACATCGAGCCACAAATATCAGCCTCGGAGAAGCAGCATACCTCCCACAAGAACATCGCGACTATCTCCTCAGTCGCCATGGCACACTGGACCTCGATCCGATACCTTCAGCAGATCCAGCAGACCCTTACAACTGGCCCGAATGGAAAAAGCTGGCAAACCTGTCCTGTGTTGCATTCCATGCCATGATGACAACCTTTATCGCAGCGGCCATCATCCCAGCATACGAGAACATTGCTGAAGAGTTCGAGACCTCGATCACAAGGGCATCGTACTTGACGTCGTTACAAATTGCGATTCTGGGCTTCGCTCCACTGTTCTGGAAACCGATTTCGAATCGCTATGGGCGGAGACCTGTTTGGCTCATCAGTGCAATTGGATCGTTGCTTTTCAACGTCGGCTGTGCTTTGTCGCATAGCTATGCTACTATGGCAGTGTGTCGTGCTTTTGTTTCGTTCTTCATCAGCCCTCCCGGAGGTATCGGGAGTGGCGTGGTGACGGAGACGTACTTCAAGAAGCAGAGAGCGCAGTTCATGGGTGTTTGGACTTTGCTTGTCACGCTTGGTAAGATCACAAGCTTACCCCTCTCATCGGTCGTCCGTAGTCGCTAATGTCCAATAGGTCCTCCTTTGGGTCCCTTCATCATGGGCTTCGTCGTTACTCAAACCGGAAATTACAGATGGATTTACTGGGTTCTGGCCATGATCAACGGTGCGCAATTCATCCTTGCTCTCTTCCTACAGCCTGAGACAAGATATGTTCGCAAAGGTGTTACGCACGTTGGATCTGCATTCAAGCAGGAGTATCTTACCTTTGGCCGCCTGGACCCCAACCCACTCAAGCTGTACGAGTTCATCCAGCCTCTGAGCTTATTCAAATATCCTTCCATCGTCATTCCGACAATCGCGTACTCGATCGTCTTCGGCTTCTGCAGTGTTCTGCTTACAGTGGAAATCCCGCAACTCTTTGTGCCGAAATTCGGATTCAATGCTCAGCAGATCGGCCTGCAGTTCTTGGGCATCATTATCGGAAGTATCATCGGCGAGCAGATCGGCGGACGTCTGAGCGACTTCTGGATGAATCATAAAGCCAAGAGGCTGGGATACCGGGCACCTCCGGCTGAGCATCGTCTCTGGCTGTCGTACATTGGCTTCGCACTTGGCATGGTCGGCATCATCGTCTTTGGCGTCCGCTTTCAGCAGTCCGAGCAAGGTCATTGGAATGTGACGCCCATCATCGGCATCGCAATCGCAGCCGTCGGCGCCCAGATCATTGCTACTGTGTCTACAACATATGCTGTGGACTGTCATGTAGAGCACAGCGCAAGTATCGGGACCTTCATCAACTGCGTTCGGTCCACGTGGGCTTTTATAGGGCCATTTTGGTATCCTGATATGCTGGAGAGTCTGGGGGGATCCGCGAGCGGAGGTTTGATGGCTGGCTTGATCTTTCTGTGCAGTGTGCTTCCGGTGGCGGTCTTGCAGTGGAAGGGCAAGCAGTGGAGGCGGAAGAGGATTTCGAGCCCGCAGCCAGAACCTGTTGAGAAGGGTGCTGTTGAGGAGAAAACGAATGCCGATGAGCTGTGAGGAAATCGTGGCTATGTCATTCACGTGAATCCAAATCTCAATTTGCAATTGGAAAATGATGCATTTACTTCCGATGAACTCTGTCCTTGCCTCCGTCATTTTGCAAATCTCCTGTCTCGCAGGCCCGGGTGAAATTTCAGCCGCCAAGCGGAACATCACGAGACAATCGGCGAGATCGGAAATGATCCGCCTTCTGTTCTCGCTGGATTCCCGCCATCACACCACTTCCATTCTCTTCACCTCGCACATGAGCCGTACATCGGGTGATACATCATTAACCTCCGGCTGCCAGAAGAAGCCATTTAATCCATACTTTGCGTCTGATTCGCAGCGTCTGCCGCAACGCTAGTCCATGTCCCCGAAAAGAGTTGCCGCGAGTCCTCCCGCTCGGGCCTGAAGACGCAAATCTGCAAACACTTTTCGCCTCATTGCCCGATATGTCGGACGACATTTGACGAAAACTTTGTTCACTGGCTTGCTGTATGGAAACGCTAACGGAAGACCTGGATTTGAGGCTTTGCCTGCCATTTCCGGTCGAGATGAGACGAGACTGCCGCAGAAGTCGGAATTGGCAGCTTGAGGCGTTTGTCCACTTTTTCCGAGAAGCGGAACATCTGTGAGGTTCTGTCTTGATCAATATCAGACCATGGCTTGTTCCAGGAGCGTTTCGGCTTTCTTGTCGGCATCAATTCTCGACAACTCGCGCTGTCCATTGGCCGGTATTCTGTTCGAACTAAGAGATGTTCCTGTGGGAGCATTCCGAAACCTGTTCCGACGATGACATCGGTCGACATCTCAGGGGATGTGTCGACAGATCTCCAGGTGATCAAGGCCAAGAACCCACCAACATATCGCATGCCTGTGTAGGGTGCTGTGGCACTGCTCCTCGACTTCTTTCTCCTTCACCCAGGATTGTCCCACCCTCCCGAGCTATTCGCTCCGTACTAATAATTGTGCTTGCTGATGACGAAAACTCTCAGACCGGAGCCGCTACGATCGTATGCATGGATTCCAAGGCGGCAGTTCATGCTTCGTACACTAGACTGATGCAAAGCAGAGTTGGCGCATTGGACTTGGCAATGGACTCGAAAAACATGACTTCGTGCTTCGCTTTCGGCGGGCCAGAACTCGAATAACCTGGGAGTTGAGATGCATAACAGCGATGTCGCTTCAATTAGACCTGCGCTTGTTTTGTCGACCAAGTTGTGTCTTTCTCCAGGCGACGGTGATCGGTGTCCCGACTGCATTCTGCGGTCTGCATTGTAATGCTGAAGGGGGAACGGACTCGTGTCACTCAACAGCAACCATCTTTGGCATGCAAATCCGGGTTGCAACAAAATTGATGAGTATCGTAGGTGAGCTCTTTCACGCAGCACTTTGCTGCAGCACCGAGTTGCTTCGAGCACTGCGCAGTGATGAAATCAGTAGAGCCGATGCTTCGTGGGCTCCATGTCGGACCACGTTGGTTACTCACAAATGTTTCAGCGGGGTCCTCTTCCTTGCTGCAGGGGCGAGACTTCCAACGTGTGTATTCAGAGTTGCAGCAGCCTTCCTCGCCTGTTGTACAGCAATACGGCGCTCTCTTGTGATGGAGAGTGGAGACGGCGCAGCATGATTTCCAGAATGGGCACTTTGCGACTATTGTCAACGCTTGAGCAGGTCATGCCGGCCGGCGGATCTTACCTTCAATGACTTCCATTCGCCGTCCGTACAATCATCGACTTTCGCGTGAGGATATCGGAGAAGCTCCTTGGCCGTCGGATCGATCTGGGCGTAAGCTGAAGCTGTGAGCGCAGCGACTATGAGAGCGAAAAGCTGCATGGCTTTTCAGAGCGAGTTGTTCTCGACGTTTAAAAGTCCTCGAACGGAGCGATGGAAGTACTTTTGAAGAGGTGTCGCGATACTTTGATTGCATCCTTGGCGATTCACCCTTGCTTCATCGATATGCGGGCTGTGTCCGATTTGGTCCCGCCTTGCTTCACAGATTGAAAGCATATCCTTGGCCTGAGGAAAGCAAGCCCAGTATGGATTATTTGCGTCATGAACTGCCACGAATCTTCGCCTGCTCGAGCCACTTTCATCAGTCTTGATTTACCCACATCACTTCGTCCATTTATGTCGACAACAATGGAATTCGAAACTTTGGGTTCTGGCAGTACTTGTAGCTGAAATCTGCCCAGGGTCCTCTACGTGGTCCTTCGACATGGTCCAGCTTGCGGTCATGTTTGACAAGTCGTGTCCGCAATTCGGCCTCGCGCACGATACGGCGTGTTGAACTGATACCAGCAGTCAATTCAGCTGTAGCCTCAAACTTCTTATTGTGAGAGGCGGAACTTGACACCAACGACATCCAACTTCGGTCCGTTTTGCAAACAGCGACGCGCGCGACGCTCTTTGGTAGACTCGGTGAGAGGCGACAGGAAGCAAACCATGGATTGACAAACTCGGTATTATCCATCGGCCGCCTTGACGCAGGACCTAGAAGGCGGAAGCGCGAGAACAAGCATTCGATCAGGCCGTGCCTTCACCGATGATATTGTCGATGCTGCAATACTCGAAAGTAACAAAGCATGGCTCGTCGATTGCGCTATACGGCTGAGTCTGACATCGAGGCCCTGTGGAAGCGTGCAGCAATTGGACATCCAAGATGAGTATTCAGCAGAGCTCGACGTACGAAAGTTCGATTTGGGTGCAAGTTGTCATGCAGCAAAGTCCGCAACTTGAGGCTCGTCTTCGACCAAGGTTAGCTTATGTTCGTGGGTGCTGTCTTTGTCGACGACGGACCAATATGCTCGTGTTCTGCATGATTCGAATTCCACTGGCCGACTGATGAATGTCCGATACGGCGCCAAAAAAGTCAATGTGCTCGTTGTAGGCCGGTGTCATAGACCGCATGGGATGACGATTGCAAAGCGTGCGAACTTCCGCGAAGAGTGATCGACGCCTTCAAGCTTCTCCCCCAGCGATTTGGTCAAGCTGAGCAACAGCTCAAGCTGCTGTGCATCGGCGAAAGGAGCGCGTTCGGTGAGACACACCAGGGCCGCATTCGGGGTGACGGCCTGCAGCAATGTTACCCAAATCCTGTTGGAAGACACCTCGGTGGCAAGAGCAGGCTGTTTTGTTGAGAACAACGGCTCAAAGGACAAAAGTGGTACGACACTGAATGCGAGTTTGTCCAAATATTGGAAGACCAGGGACGAAAGTCAGCAAACACTTCTCATCACCGGCATCTGTCTTGGACATGCTACATAACGAATTAGGAGATCACACACGCCGAATGCCAAACCGTACCGATGATAGTACTGATAATCATTCCGATCAGCTCAGTTGCCCTAAATCGGTCTGCGTAGCTCTCAACCTTACGAGAGCCCTACCCATCACGCGCGGAGACACTATAAGCATGTTTGTAAGAACGGATCAAGGATGAAGCATGAAACAACCGCAGCTACAGCATACTCTTTGCAAGCTCGGACCGGTAGCAGCATCATTGCTCGCTGTTGCTTAGTGATCAGAATGTTCGGCAGCTCGGAGCAGATCACGAGCGTCAAGCGTAATCGAAAGGGTGCAAGTTCGATAGATGGCGATCCATTGCTGAATGGGAACCCAAGCTCTACAGTCTCAAATTTATCCACTGTAGCAACATTCCAGCTTGGGCCCAGAGGGCTGGCGACAGCCGACAATGAGGCATACCACGTCCACTTTGTCTCTGTCTCGTTGCCCAGACTATCGACAAGGACGATTTCACGAAGTCTAACAGGTCTATTTGCAGTGCACATTCCATGACGTACGTTGGTACGTCCTCTGTTGACGAGCGACCGCCGATGGATGCGAAAGTCCTGTCGGCCGAGTCTAGTACACCTGCCGACCGTGTATCAGCACAAGACTTTGCGACCAGAAGGGCTTTTGTCGGCTGAACTGTTGCGGGTGATTTCCAGAGAGATTACCTTGGAACGCTGTGACACCACGCAACAAATTGGTTCAATGCTTGACACACCCTCGAGTCGGGAGCACAGATCATGCCTCGCAAGAACAGCATCAACGCGGACACAGGGCAAGGGATCCTACATTACTTCAGCGGCCTCTCCACGAAGTGTGCGCCCCTCCCCACTTGCCCAACAGAAGCTTCTCTGTCACGAAATCGTCTTGGTACATCTCTCCACTTCTGCACCACACGCTAGGAAGGGCTGTGGCGAGGATTGATTTCGTTCAAGGAGAATTCCAACACGGGAGCAGCATAACTGAGACGTGTGCTGTGTATGAGGCTAACATCAGCGGCAACAGCGGGCAGGTCAAAAAAAAAAACAGACTCACATAGTTGTCTTCAGCGTCCTGTCCTGTCCGCTAGCGCTGCGCACACTCTATTGCCGTCGGTGGCGGTCTCGACATGTGCGCCGAACCCGTTAGTACTGGACGAGTAGAGTCTTAGCGATCAGAATAGTACCAAAGACGCAGCCAACGGGAACACGTACGAGCCGGGGAGCGGATGAACCTTGGACCTTGAGTAATCGAAAGTATCAAGGGCGCTCGCGGAAGCGCGCAGTCCCGTACTTTCCACATGGCCGACAGATGATTATGAATCGGATACCCTGAGACAGTCCAGAACCATGTTGACGCTATCAATGGATCTCGTCTTGTTCCCCGACACACGTCGTGCATTGCTTGCATCGAAGCAAGCAGCCATGAAGCCCGAATGGCATGTCCGTCTATCAGTCAGGAGGCATAAGACTGCAGATCGCAACTCGTGCTTTTGAGAACGAATTTGAGTCGTCGTAGAGGCAGGCCTGCATCGTGTCAAAGGTAGCTCCAAGTCTCAGATGCTTCCCATGCAAAGCACAGGCGTACTTCATATCAACTGAATTCGCTCTGCCCTAGGTGCACTATTTCTGGTCAGTGGTCTTTTCTTGCGCAAAGACCAGAGACCTGATAGGTGCAGTGAGTAACATGGCGATGGACGCGTTTGTTATCGCCCTTCTATTGCTTCAGGTTAGAAGCAAGCAGGCTCTCGGACTCCGTCTACTCGGAAGCAGAGTCCACTACACCTGCTTATACGTTCTTCGACAACTGATCGTCAATGCCTTCACCACATCCATGGCCCGACCATAATCGACCTCGACTGTCTGCTCACCAAGATGCTCCAATAGTGGTTTATGGCTAGAACTGCCTGATGATTTCTTGATGTTGTCGAACCAGCTAGGCTACTCAACGTACGACTTGTCGCAGCTCAAGCCCTCGTACGAGCTGTGTTTGCGGATAGAAGCGTATCCAGCACCGGCATGCGAACGGGGCGAATAGGTGTCGTCAATCCATCCTGGGCGAGAGCTTGCCAAGCCTGATGACACATCCACAAACAAAGATTACTGAACCAAACTCTTGACTTTCCGATTACTGAACGATACGGCCGGTACTCGTGTCTCGCCAAAGCATCCCTCGCAAATGAAGTTTCGGGCTCACAGCCTTCGGCAGCCACCACTCACGGATGAGGATGGGTGAGAGATTGCGGGAAGTAGTGCGAACTCGTGGACGTCACCCAGTCTGGGCCATCGCAAAGTTCTCCCGTGTCGACTTGTCCGTGCGTTGATCACACTAACACTGCAACAACAGTCTGGCACCAGGGCTGAAAGTCTGGCAAGCCCTATTATTTGTCGAATTCTTCGAGACTCGGAGGGTTGATCTGTCCGCATGAACTTTGTGTCGTTCTCGTAAGGCACGAAAGGCCCCGGAGAAGAAGCCCTTGAGGCCGTGTTCTTCCTCCATCCATGTACGGGCGTTGACAAAGCAGGTGTCCAATGCTGTTGGGACAGGCCACGCTGTCGTCATGTCTTGATTTTATAAGATAGACTCTGCCACCGCAGCCACGTTCCTCAAGCACTTATCAAACGTGACGTGAGCTGTTGACGCTGCTTGTTTTGCAGACCTCAAAGCGTCCAGCATCATGGCGGACAACAAAGAAAACATCGAAATGGATCCTTCAGATATGCGCCTCACGCAGACAAGATCGGGGCGGACAGGCAGCACGCATACTGGAGCTGCTCAGGAGATTGGTCGAGATGATCTGAACTGGAACGAGATGCCCGAGGCCAGCACAGTATACGACGGCGATAGCAGCGCTCTCGGTACAAGAAGTATAGGACTCACATGGCAAAACCTCACGATCAAAGGTGTCAGCGCCGAAGCGTCGTTCAACGAAAACATTCTGTCACAATACATCCCTCCATTCCTCCAGCGAGGGAATGTGAAAGCTTCCACACGAACTATCATCCAAGACAGCTATGGATGCGTCAAGCCGGGCGAGATGCTACTGGTGCTCGGTCGTCCTGGTGCTGGGTGTACGAGTCTTCTCAAAGTACTGTCTAACCGCCGTCAGGAGTTCTCTTCTGTGGAAGGAGAAGTCAAGTACGGCACGATGGACCACACAGCTGCTTCAAAATACCAAGGGCAGATTGTAATGAATACTGAAGAGGAGATTTTCTTTCCCACCATGACGGTGGGACAGACTGTCGATTTTGCAACGCGACTAAAGGTTCCGTACAAGACACCAGCAAAGTACGCCACGGCAGAAGAAGCCCGAAGAGCCTCACGAGACTTTCTGCTCAACGCTCTCGGCATCTCTCATACTTTCGACACAAAGGTCGGAGACCCATACATTCGAGGTGTGTCAGGCGGTGAACGGAAACGCGTCAGTCTCATTGAGGCGATGGCAACACGCGGTAGTGTGTATTGCTGGGACAACTCAACGAGAGGTCTCGACGCGAGCACCGCTTTACAATACGTCAAGACCATCAGGACGATGACGGACACTTTCGGGCTTGCGACCGTGGTTACGCTATATCAAGCGGGTAATGCCATCTTCGACCAGTTCGACAAGGTGTTGGTATTGGACAAGGGCCAACAACTGTACTATGGCCCGGCATCACAGGCCAGAACGTTCATGGAAGAACAAGGCTTTCAGTGTCCCGATGGCGCCAATGTTGCTGATTTCTTGACCGGTAAGTCTGATAACCGTCGCCCTTTCAGGATCAGAAGCTGACAACTATGCAGGCGTTACCGTACCAACAGAGCGGAGGATTCGCCCCGGGTATGAACACACTTTCCCAAGGACTGCTGAAGCTATCGCTGCAGCGTACCAGTCATCTCAGATCAGACAACTCATGGAAACTGAACTCGACTATCCCACGACCACTGCAGCAGAAAACCATACCAAAGATTTTCAGAAAGCGATATCAGTCGAAAAGCATCCCGGATTTCTGACAGCCAAATCTCCTGTCACCGTCGGCTTCTGGTCGCAAATGGTCGCTACCGTCAAACGCCAAGTCGCTATCATTTCTGGAGACAGGACAAACTTGTTCATCAAGCAGGGAACCAACTTTGTGAATGCATGGACTACAGGATCTCTGTTTTACAACATGCCGAACACTTCCGCTGGACTCTTTGGTAAATCAGGAGTGATATTCGTGACATTGTTTTTCAACGCAATGCTTGCACAAACCGAGGTCACAGATTCCTTCACCGGCCGATTCGTTATGGAGAAGCACAGAGGCTTTGGCTTCTTTCACCCAGCGGCCTGGGTCCTCGCCCAAATTATTGTCGACATTCCAATCCTACTGGTCCAGGTATCCTCGTTCTCGCTGATCACCTACTTCCTCTCTAATCTCGAAAGAGATGCTGGTACCTTCTTCGTATTCTGGTTCGTTATCCTGTCGTCGACATTCGCATCTATGGCTCTCTTCAGAGCGCTCGGATCGGCATTCAAGAACTTCGACGATGCAAGCAAGTTCTCGGGCGTCGCTGTCCTGGCTCTTCTTGGGTACACAGGGTACATGATTCCTAAGTCGGAAATGGTTGATTGGTTTGTTTGGTAAGCAACTGTTGTCCTCCTTGAGCGGCCTGCGGCTTTACCTGACGTGTATCAGGCTGTACTGGATCAATCCCTTCTCATATGCCTACAACGCTATGCTTTCGAACGAGTTCCATAACAAGTTCATAGCGTGTGTGGGTCCTAATCTCGTGCCAAGTGGCCCTGGGTATGATTCGACCGAGAATCAAGCTTGTACCGGCATTCGTGGCGCAGAACCAGGCGCTGCTTTTGTGCTGGGCGACCAATACCTTGACAGCCTCAAGTACAGCCACTCTGAAATGTGGAGGAACATTGGCATCGTGTGGTAAGTGCTGCCTGTTGGGAAATTCTCGTTGTTCATGAGAAGGCTATGCTGACACATGTCCTCTGCAGGGTCTGGTGGGCGTTCTATGTCATCCTCACCATCATTTTCACCACCATGCAGAAAGGAAGCTTCGCGCAAGCTGGCGTACCTTTGATCCCGAGAGAGAAAGCCCACCACGCCACACCCGCACTTGTCGCTGACGAGGAATCGCAAATTCAAGAGAAGGTCGCACCCGAATCGGACAGCACAGATGGCTCGTCAGACCAAGGAGCTGTCGCCAGGAACGAGGCAGTCTTCACCTGGAAGAATGTCAAATATACTGTGTCCACGCCGCAAGGACCTCGTGTCTTGCTCAATGATGTCCATGGTTGGGTAAAGCCTGGCAAACTCGGAGCTTTGATGGGATCTTCTGGAGCTGGTAAAACGACTCTATTGGATGTCCTCGCCCAGCGGAAGACAGACGGAGTGCTCAGCGGCTCTGTGCTCGTCGATGGTCGACCTCTTTCTGTCAGCTTCCAACGTTCCACAGGCTACGTTGAGCAGTTGGATGTACACGAAGCCCTTACGTGAGTGTCACCAACCTTGGACTTTCTCCTTGTTACAAAGATGACTGACACGCATTTAGCACTGTGAGAGAAGCCCTGGAATTCTCTGCCCTCCTACGTCAACCGTATAGCACACCACGTGCAGAGAAGCTGAAATATGTCGATGTGATTTTGGATCTCCTGGAAATGCGTGACATCGAAGATTGTCTCGTGGGATCGCCCGGAAACCCAGGCTTGACGATCGAGCAGAGAAAGCGACTGACGATCGGAGTCGAGCTCGTTGCTAAGCCCAGTGTTCTGATCTTCCTCGATGAACCTGTAAGCAATATCTCTTACACTCTTCTAGATCCATTGCTAACTCGAAACTACAGACTTCCGGTCTTGATGGTCAAGCGGCATTCAATACCGTTCGGTTCTTGAAGAAGCTCGCTGCCGCTGGTCAGGCTATCCTGGTGACAATTCACCAGCCTAGCGCTCAGTTGTTCGCTGAGTTCGACACGCTTCTCCTGTTGGCCAAAGGTGGTAACACTGTTTATTTCGGCGACATCGGCGACGATGCTCAGGTGATTCGAGACTACTTCGGGCGCAATGGAGCTCCATGTCCACCAGGCACGAACCCGGCTGAGCACATGATCGATGTGGTCACTGATACATCGAGAGACTGGAACAAGGTCTGGTTGGAATCGCCCGAACACGCCAAGATGCTAGGAGAACTCGACAGTCTGATCAACACCGTATCCCGACAACGCTCAGTCACCGCCGAGAACGACATTGAATCGGAATTTGCCACGCCTCTATTGGAACAAATCAAGGTCGTAACGATCCGTGCCAGTAAATCGATGTGGCGCAACACACAATATGTCAACAACAAGTTCATGCTGCACATCATCCTCGGCTTCTACACCGGATTCTCCTTCTGGCAGCTTGGTCAGGGTGTGGGCGACCTCCAACTGCGCATGTTCGCAATGTTCAACTTCATCTTCGTGGCTCCAGGAGTTATCTGTAAGTACTTCTTTGCCGATGTCAGGCTTATAAACAAAACTAACGCACAGTACAGCTCAATTGCAGCCACTCTTCATCGAGCGACGAGATATCTACGACGCCCGCGAGAAGAAGTCCAAGATGTACAGCTGGATCTCGTTCGTGGCGAGTCTGATCATTTCCGAGATGCCTTACCTCATGATCTGCACTGTGTGCTTCTTCTTGCCCTTCTACTGGACGGTCGGACTGCCCGGAGATTCGAACAAAGCTGGTGCAATCTTCTTCGTCATGCTCATGTACGAGTTCATCTACACCGGAATTGGCCAGTTCGTTGCAGCGTACGCTCCTAATGTGATGTCTGCGGCGCTCGTCAACCCAATCGTTCTCTTCACCCTGGTCGGCTTCTCTGGCATCATCCTGCCGTACTCGCAGATGGTGGACTTCTGGAAATATTGGGTGTACTGGATGAATCCCTTCAAGTATCTCATCTCTTCCATGTTGGTGTTCTCAAGCTGGGACATCCAGGTGGAGTGCAAGGACAGCGAACTGGCAATATTTGACCCAGTGGGCAACCAGACTTGTGGTTCCTACCTAGAATCCTACCTTCAGAACGTCGGCTCTGGCGCGAACCTACTGAACCCCGATGCGACCGCTGGCTGCCAAGTATGCCAGTACCGCGAGGGAAGCGATTGGCTCAAGACACTGAACATCAAGGACTACTACTATGGGTGGCGCGATGCCGCGATCTGCGTCATCTTCGTCATTTCAAGTTATGGGTTGGTGTTCCTCTTGATGAAGCTGCGCACCAAGAAGACCAAGAAGGTCGAGTAGCGCGAGATTGGAATGCAAGAACAAGCACTATAGATTGCGAAAAAAAAGTCCGTTTTGACGGCATGTATTGTAATGAATGACCAAATAGATCTTATGACTTCACTGTTGTTATCCAGCTGCTTGGTGCCATATTGTAGCATTCACTATACTTACCTGTATGGCGTTTCGCAAACCACTTCTCTTTGACAACTGCAGGCTCATTTTCGATGGCAAAGCAGCTCAATGAAGTTGTCTGCGCTGGACCTATTCCATCGCCTCAATGTCGAGCGACGTCTGTGCATACACAAACGTGCAGGGCACGATCACAGCATTTGTCAAGATGAATAGCCCCGTCTGAGAAATTTGTCGCAACACTGTACCAATTGTGGCGGCTGGCATGATCAAGTTTATACGGTCAGTGGCGTATGTGTCACATTGTATACGAAGGTCGCAATGGTGACTACAGAACAGTTCATGCAAAGAGATCGATTTACTAATAAGAGTACGAAGGCCAAACCTTAAACCATTGCTAGGGACGCCATGCCAAGATAACAAGACATTTAAAAGCAGTATAGACACAATACGAGGCATGAAATGTAGCTATATATACACCGATGATGTCAAGGACGGATTCTCAACTTTGGACCGAGCTTATTAACAACACACAAGTTGAGGGCTAATGTGGTTACTGTCTGCATGTTGAAGCCGTTGCTATGGGGGGAAGAACGAATGCTCACAGCTCACCGTGCCAGTGGGCGTCGAACGGCATGTTCGTGTATTGACCCGACCTCACATGATATTCACAAAGCACGAGACACATGAACTTGACTTTCTGTCGTCGCGAGATCAATGCCTTGGTGGGGACAGTGCGAGCGGCGTTATGGAATTTTCGTACAGCATTGACTGCTAAATTTTGGCTGCTTGGCTCTCCTCCTCAACCGTGACAGGACTCTCGACGTACATATAAGGTGTTGTGTCATCACCATCAACGAAGGACCGATCCACCCCTCATTGTTTGTTCAGAATACACAATCTACATAAACATCGACTTGACAGCGCGAGCTTCGCATCCACGACACAAGCACAAACACGATGCCTTCGCTGATCCGTTTCTGCAGTGTGGTAGCTGTTGCTGCCGCAGCTGTGCCTCCTGCGCATACGACTTCCGAGGTCATCATCGACACCCTCCTGCCGGTCCCATATCCTACTGGAGAGCGCACCATCGACACACTTCTGCCGGTCCCATATCCTACTGGGGAACGTACCATCGACACACCTCTTCCAGTCCCATACCCAACTACCAAAGTCATCGTCGACACTTACCCAGCGCCAAAGTCGACTGGCGAAGTCCGCACTATCGATACGCTTCTACCAGTTCCACCACAGTCGACGAATGAGATTCGGACCATCGACACCCTCCTTCCCGTGCCAACCTCCAAGCCCACTTCGCAGGCACCATACCCAACCGGACCAGCCACGACTCCGGTCCAACAGCCATCTGGTACCGTATCCATGCGCCCATCATCCACCCGTCCAGTCGTTTATACCGGTGTTGCCGCTGGCAATACTGGCAAGGGAGCAGGTGTAGCCGCTCTCATGGCTGTAGCTGGTTTTGCTGCCATGGTGTAGATTAGCAGCCTTTCTGTCAGCGCGCATTTCTTGATGAGATGACGCTGGGCTGGGACGCCGTGTTGTATGAGAACAGTAGCACGCAATGGTAGCTTTGGAGGAAACTCTTTTCCCAAACCAAGGGCAGGCTATGAATGGATGAACAGTACTGCCGGAACGATCATGAGTCAACACAGGGCCCCCTTGGACAATGTGTATAGGACGAATGTAATGAATATCATTTCCTCCCCATCATAACCTCCTTCTTGCGCTTAGTGGCGACGTGGATTTCTGCAGCCTCTCTACAAAGTCGCAGAACGCCTCTGCCATCATGCGAATCATCGATATCCAGCATCACCTCACTTTCACTTCTTTCGTACAAGACCCTCAACGCCCACTTTGGTGTTTGAGGTATTCACAAAGAATCCACCAGCATGTCTAAGTTGAAGGATGGAAACTACTCACTTGTAGGCAGCAGCTTCAATCACCACTACGAACAGGTTCTCACAAGGTAGAGCTCGTCAAGTGAAAGATGCTGCGCCATCTCACTTGTTGCGATCAGCATTTATCACAAGACAACATGATGGCAAGCTTACAATTCAGATCTTCAACAACGACTTCAACAAACATTCATCGCCACGTAAAGAGCTTGGCATCCCAACACCATGGAGCTCTTCAGCATCGATCATGAGGAACCGACCGTCACGACTTCAACTGGCGACGATGCAGTGAGCGACGTCTTCTTCCCAAGTCGCATTCCAACCAAAGCCATCCATGAATTCCTACTTGCCAACACCGCACCGCCTTTGCTCTATTCGAATCCTCAACCACGGGATGCTATGCACAATCAGATCGAACCTCCTAAGGATGTGGAAAACTACCTGAGCTACACTTCCGGCAACCTAGCCTACATCTTCCATGCCACACTGGACGAGGTCGAGGAACTGAGAAAGACCTTCAACTCCTTCGTCAGCAAGAAGAGTTTCGACAGTCAAGTCTTGGGATACAGCAGTTCCAAGGGCTTTGGAAGTTCTCAGTTTCTCAGCAACATCGAGAGCACTCTAGTCAATGACAACGGCAACATCTACAGTACCGAAGAAAGAGCAGGCAACAAAGATCTCCAAGCCGCATTCCAACAAACACCCAAAGAGCGAGAGAAGCTTGTTAACCGTATTGAAAGTTCCAGTCCCAAGATGCGTCACCTTTTGCGGGGAGGACGTTGGTCATCGGAATCTAATGCTCCAGAGCAAACAGCCCTCAACACTATGCGGTTCTACGCTGTCAAAAAGCTGGTCGATGTATACGATCCACGGGGCGTGGCGAAGACGTTGGACGAAAAGCCCGTTCATGTAAGGCAGGAGAGAGCGATCGCAAAACTTAAGGGCGACAAGGAATGGAGGGCTATCAAGTCCAAGAGGTTCATTTATGACAGTGAGGATGAGATCAATGGACACCTGGTCTGGACCAGAAAGAATCGGTTGAAGCGGGAGGAAAAAGCGAGCAGAGAGAAGCGAGAGAAGTTGCAGAATATGCTGAGGGAGGCAGAGAAGCGACGAAAGAAGATCGTTCCTTTCAGCATTTGGTGTGCTTGTCACGATGCAGACAAGGAGAATGTCGAGGGACGCTTCAGTGATCTTCTTGAGACGGAGAATGACCGGACGTTGGCGGAGCATTGGTTGAAGCTCAGGTCCTGGAATGACGAGGAGAAAGAGCTGAAGCAAGCGCTGTCAGAAATAGAGAAGGAGATCTCGAGGTGCGGCGTGGTGCTGGAGGAAGAGCAGGGCAGACAGGTCACTTCCTTCCCGCCAAAGACGACGCAAAATACGACCTCCTGCAGCCCTTCCTCTCCGACAAGCCCGGCAGACTCCGCCATGTGTATGGACGAGGACACCGCGGATGTTGCTATGACAGAAGTCTGCACTTCACCCACGCTCGCAGCCAAATCAGGAGCCGAAGTCGAACGATCGAAGCTTAAGAAATGGCGGAAGCTATCTCTTTACCAGTTCAACGCAGTCGTGAAAGCCGCACGACTGAGAGGAAAGCCAGAAGATGGGAAGACTGCTGAGAAGCAGTACGATGAATTAGTCAACGGCCCTGGAATGGCAGGAAGCAATCTGGATCTTGAGATGTGCTCTTAAGATGCAGTAGAAATCGACATTTACTTCGGTCAGGAGAAGATTGATCGCATGGTTTGCGGAGCACTCGCACATGGGATATCATACAATCGAAATGTGCCTCATTTCTCCAGATGGAGGATCATCCAAGCCGAACGCCTTTGTGGTCAAAGATCTCGAATCACATTAGCCAAATACCTTGCTATATCGGTCGTCGAAATCATCTGGGCAGAAGCATTGGGCTCGACGAAGGACCAGACTGTGCCCTAGGAGCTCCGAGAGTTCTCTTTCGCGCTCAGTCTGAAGGTGCACCAGGAAAGCAGTTCGCCTGGGGGCCTCTGTTGCAATAGTTGGCTGCCTTTGCTTCCAGGAGGGACACGATCACACCTCCTATCGTAGACGCCCGGCCACATCAATTTCGCAGATGCAGTTGTCTTCCTTTGCAGAATCGGCTCATTGTGGCGATTTTCAATAGGAGTCCAGTAGGCACGAAAGACATCGTCACCAAACTCGCTTCCTGCTATTGATCGTTCCACATCGATCAATACCACCTACATCTCAGCATCATCATTCGCCAGCATCAGGGCGCATAACAGAACACACATAACACTATCACTCGACAGACTCCAGATACCATCATCCAATCCCCCATACCAACTTCACTTGGTACCAAACCAATTCTCCTGTGCAGCGCAAATCTAGACCCCTACAAATCCTTCTGGTCGGAAAGCTCATCATCCGACACACCTCCAAGCCAAGACCACCACCTACCACCAACCTCTTAAATCTTCCATTCCAACAAACGTCCCTCGACTTCCCAGAAAAACGCAGCGAGTCGACAGCATAGACTTATGTACCGTAGATCCTACAAGGCTATCTTATACTTCCAAGCGCCCGGGCCATACCCCAATTCAATTCGGTTCTGCCCTATATCAGTGCTAGGGCTACTGCACTCCTATCTTCAGGCGCTTGCTCCGCAAACCTATCCCACACACACGGGAAGGACATGAATTGGAAGGATCAAGAGGCGCGGGCGGTAAGCAGATCTCATCGTGAAGTATATGCCTACTAGTCAACTTGTGACTCTGAGTCAGGAAAGATGCGTACATACGCCACACCATAGACCTCTCATCTCATCTCATCATCTCACCCGCACCGTTTCCATGTAACACCGTTGCCACGTGTGCACGAGTAGGATTTCGTAGATGTAGATCGCGGGGGGAGAGGAAGGATATGCAAGCTTATTGTGAAACCCTGGGCTATATATGGCGTTATATGACAACGACGTTAGATGGAATCTTGTCCAATAGATCAGCGGTGAGTTTGCTTGTCATGTGAATTGTTCTCTTCCCATAATATGTTCGTGCGTCGGGGCCGATTTTCTTTTCGAGGGCGTGCTATTTCTTTCGACAAAGTCACTTTGCAAGCACATCAGGCAAGGCAGTACGCAAGGCCATGACGAGTGTATACCGGCACCGAGGCCTGTAGAAGAAGATCAACAGCGCCGACGTCAGAACCAGTCGCAAGAAAGCTCAGAAGCATCTATTCGTATTCATGCATTTCTTCCCACAGTGATTCGTCAAAAACACCTTCGTATTAATCGGCAAAGCCAGTGCAATAGCACCTACAGAACCTCCAATAGCTCTTCCAGAAGCTCCAGCTTCGAAGATCTTTTTGTTCGAAACGGGAAATCCTTGTACTCTTGGAAAGTCAGTAGTACACCGTAGCGCCGCCAAGCCTGCAGCGAAAGATGCCACATACGGAAGTGCATAGGGGTTGTCAAACTCTACAAGCGACGGAGTCACCGACAAGGAAGATCGTCACAAAGCTGTCGCGTCATGCATCATCAATGCACATCCTTCGCCGGAGCACACACCGAAAGGAAAACTTGTTGTAGATCATGTTCGTCAGTTGAAGTTCATCACATCCAGCGACCATGAAAAGATGGGCAAGTTGGAGTTGGAGTTGGCGGAGAAGCTACAGAGCCCAATTTCGGACAGAATACGGCAAACAAGAAGACCGGCAGGGCTCGGTGCGCTCGCGTGGTCGCTAGCATCGCTTTTCTTTCCCGCTCTCTCGCAAGTTCGAGCGGCGTACAGCGTATAGCGTACGGCGTACACGCACCGCCCTCGGTAGTTAGTGGTATTTTCAAGCGTGGTTTCAACTTTCCTTGGTCAGGTCTTGTCACGCCACAGTGGTGCGTTGGTCATGGTTTGGTGACGAAGACGTTGCTGCTGAAGCTGTCGCAATAATGTTCGAACCGAAGCGGAGAGAAGAACGATCTTCAGCAGGATGGAGAAAGCAACTGCGATTGACGGCGTCCGCTGTGAGTGTTGCACCGTCGGGTGGTGCGACAAGGAAGCTGACTAAGACGGCGTCGCGTCGCGTTGGTTTCGCGTTTGATGTCACGAACCACCAAAAATTGGCCCATTCGACATTAAATCTGACGTTGCTATAACGTCTTGTTGCTCTGCGCGGACCACTGCGTTCTCTCAGCGCTTCTCTGCTGTGCATAACTCCGTCATTGGCACAAGCTTGACGCAGAGAAGCAGAAGAGCAAAGCCGGACGGCTATTCATCGTGGGAGAGCTTCCGCGACGCGCACGTTGAACCACCTGCATGCCGCTTGTTTCTAAATCTGTTCCGGAAACCTGGACACTTGGCTCTCAACAATGGGCAGCATTCTCATCCTGCCATGCGCCAGATCAGCACGACAGGACGATCGCGGGAATTGCTGAGGTGGAACGCAGGAAGAAGAGCAGCACAACGTGGACGTCGTGTATATGCAAGTCAAGTGTTCCGCCCTGGTAGAGGAGGCGTGGTGTATGCATCGATATCGTCGTCTCGCATAATGTGTATCTCCGAGCCAAGGTTCAGCTCCAACGCCCGCGAGAAAAAGTTCAATCAATGTTATCAGCGGCTGATGCCGGCAACAACCACGAATGAATGCCGACAGCGCGGGCGCGCGCTCGCGAGACAACGTGCTCTGCGGACGCGCCACGCGGATAGCTGCTGATGCTGGAAATAGTGCTTTTTGCTTTTCGCCCCTTGTGCGCACGCAGATGAAGGTGTGAAAGCTGTCATACCGTGAAGCTGTACCACACAAGCAAGACAGATGTAAAACGTCCGGATCATGAAACAGTCGCGATGCAACACGACGGGTGGAATTGGCTCATCACCGATCTCGAGCTGTCAGACGCGCACGCGAAGGGACAAATGTGGGCACAGACCACCGGCGGTCCAACGGGCTCTCTTCCGTGCCCTGCTCGAGGCTGAAGGCTGCCAACTTTGACCGAATTGAGTTCATTTCGCTCTTGAACGTCTGGCACGTGTGGCTGAAGTTGGCGGCAGTCCGAATCAGACGAGAGACACGGAGACGGCTGGGAGTTGCACCGGACGGGCCCTGGTATGTTGGTGCATGTTGCAGGTGCAAATCATTCTCATCACTCTCAGCAGCGGTCCAGGAGAGGCCACGAGGATGGCCAGTCGCCGCTCGCATCCGGCGCTAACAGAGATCAGTTCGTCTGTGTTTTCCAGGATGTTCACAAAGCCACACAGGCGGTCTCTTGTCTGACAGGGCCGTTGGATGTGGACTAATCACCGCTACGGTGATAAGGTGGTCGCGCTCGTGGTACGCTTACGCATGCGATGAGACACGGGCCGTGAAGAGGGCGTGATTCCTGCGAATGCAGTGAAAATTAAAATCAATCATGGTTCAAGACAGTGCGGTGGTCGGTGACACGGCCGGCCGACCATGATGTAGCAATGTGTACAGCGGATATGGATGATGATGTTGGCGATGATGCGAGCGTCGGACGAGCAGGGAGATCATAGCGCATAGGCCGCCATATGGCGGATCCTGGCGTCGATTGATGCATCGCACTCGAGCGGCGGCGGCATTGGGTCGATGCCAGCGTTACAGAGCACTGCACCGCCAGCCTCCGAAGCGTCCGCTCGCCACCGCGCAGCGAGAGACGCATTGATGGAGGGTATCCGGGAACAGGACATCCGTTGAGAGCGGTGCGCAATCGCCACCATGTCAGCCAACGAGAACGCGCATGTGGTTGCTGCTGTGCGAGATTGCCTGTCGGAGTGGCAGCAGAGATAGAGAGGCGGTGTCAGCCATGAATGGGGAGCGCGCTGGCAATCCGAGGGGGAGGAACAACGATGAGGGAGAGGTGAATATTTGAGAGGGCATTCGACACCGAGATCGACATATCCATCGATAGACATCAGTATTTGCGTGCGTGTGTTGGCTGGCGTCAGCGTGCACCCACTTCCTGCCTGTGAGCCAGAGGTCGTGCATGCAGCTTTGCCGGGGGCGTGCCTGCGCTCGCCTGTGCGCGCCTGTGCGTCTTTTGCCTTTTTGGCGTCGCCGAGCTGCTGCTGCGCTGCTCCATCTCGCCCGCCATCTGCTGGCCTGTCTTGTCTGCTTCGACCGCCGACTGACTGCACGCCGCTGCACACTGCTGCACCCTCTGCCTCCTCCACCGCGCGTGTCGTCCGATCGGCCTGCTGCTGGGACACGCCCACCGCCCCGCCGCTCCGCCAGCCTCGCTGCGAGTCCTTCTGCATTCCGGCATCGTTCGCATGCCATCACGCTCGTTTCCACCGCAGCCACGCCCATCGACATCGCTCGTTGCTGTCGCTTCTCCACCGCACAGCGTCGCTCCGAACACGACGCGGATACGACGACCCGTCCGCAGCAGAGACCTCCCGCCGCCATTCACCTCTGCCCGACACAGCTCAGAGCACCAATCCGGTTGATCCTGGCTGCGCAGTGACGCGGCAGACGCCAGCTCCACCACCTTCGCACCGCGAAACACCCATACCGGCCACGACCACATCTTTCCCACTCGATCCACGGCCACCAGTCTTCCTGGCGCGCCTCACCGCACCTCCACCATGCCTCCCTCGACACCGCGCCTGCGGATACTGTCAGGTGCGTCGATGCTCCCTCGTCCTTTGCGTCCCGCGCACACCCACGCTCGCATTCACTGCGGCGCGCAAAGAAACACCCTCCATCCACACACACTCTTGCGCACGATGCTCTCGCTCGTGTTGAATCACTCCAATGGCACAAATGCTGACGGTGTGCACAGTTGGCGGCAATGCGGTCTCCGCCTTCCTTTCATGGCGCCTTTCCGCGACACAGGCTTGCGACGTAACATTGGTGTGGAAGAATGGCTTCGAGCAAGTGCATCAATACGGCATATCATTCAAGTACGAGACCGCAACTCCCGCATTTCTGCCGCCTTGACTGCTGACCCTTTACTACAGATCCTCCAAGTTCGGCAATGAAAGATTCAAGCCAAGACATGGTAGGATGACACCCCAGCACACTATCAGGGAGCTCATCTCGGCAATACTGACTATTTAACCACAGTCGTCAAGTCGCCTGAAGACGCTGCCGGCGCTTCGCGGGCGTCCTTTGACTACGTCCTGCTGTGCGTCAAAGCACTACCCGACGTCTACGATCTCGCCTCTGTCATTGAGTCGGTTGTGTCGCCGCAGCACACCTGCATCCTGGTCAACACCACTGCCACACTCGGAATCGAGTCGTATCTGGAACAGCGCTTTCCTACCAACGTGGTCTTGTCACTGGTGTCGGGTGTGCAGATTTCGCAGCTAGGCCCCAGCGAATTTGAGCATAGTGGCTCTTCTGAACTTTGGGTCGGAGCTGCCAACAAAAACCCATCGATACCCGCATCAATACAGACCGACATGGCGGAAGCGCTTTCGATGACTCTCAAGTCCGGCCAGGTCGACTGCGAGGTTTCTGTCAACATCCGGCAGAAACAATTTGAACGAATGATTGGGTGAGTCGATAGCGAGCCTCCAGATACGACCATCGCTGACACATCCAGCCCCATTGCCTTCTATCCCGCCAGTGTCCTTTTCGAGACACCTTCTCATGCCGAGCTTCTGGAAAAGAACGGCGTCCGCTCGCTCATTACAGGTATAATTGACGAACTTCTTACTCTCGCGCGCAAAACCGGCTGCGAATTCAAACCCGAGTTCCGCGAACAGACCATGGAACAAATGATTGTTCCATCAGAAACGAACAGCATCATGTACCAGGATTTCACCGCCAGACGACCAATGGAAGTCGAAACATATCTCGGCTCGCCGATCAAGCTGGCACAGGAAGTCGGGGTTCAGATTCCTCGCATCGAGACGCTCTACTCAATTTTGCATCACATCAACGTCGTCAATCAGTCGAAACCAATTGGACCTCCTTCGCCATCGGCAGCACCAACCCCACGCATGTCTTCCGCACCAGGCCCTCCGAATCACGGATACGGCAATGGCAGACCTCCACCGCCTGCGATGAATGGCAGACCGATGCCACCCAATGGCATGCGTCCGGGCAGCCGCGCACCAAGCTTGAACGGTGGCCCGCCACGAAGAGGACCTCCGTCCATGTCTGGGTATCCGCCGCCCGGCAGGATGAATGGAAATGGGTACGCACCACCACGAGGCCCGCCGCTCCAACGACGCGCTTCCGTTGAGAACAACGACCTGGAGGAGTTCAGCCACTTGATGCTGTACAGCGACATGGCCGAGGATGGCGCGTACGAGAATGGTCTGCCTCCTTCGGCCTCGGGCGACCTGACTCTACGGGAGCGCGAATTGGCACTGCGCCAGAAAGAGCTTGCCTTGCGTGAAAGAGAGTACCACATGCGTCGTGGCCCTGGCGGTGGCAGAGGTCCACGCAGGACACAAGAGTACGACGATGATGATGATGAAGATGGCTTGGACTTCTTCGACCCGATGGCGGCTGGTGCGACGCCGGTGGCCGATGTGGACAATCTCGACATGATGAGCGTCACTTCTAGGAGAACACGGAAAGCGCCGAGTGCCAGCCAGTTGCGAAGCAATCCGGAAGGACTCAACGGTGTGCCAAATGCGCCGCCACGTCACAGCCGTGGAATGATGAGGCGACCGGGACCCAACGCTCGTGCTCGAACGAGCGCTGCCATCATGGCTGATATGCCAGGACTCCGCGAAGAACTGATGAACAACCCTCTCATGGGCTACTCTTCTGACCGATTCGGCAGTGTCGACAGGATGAACATGGGCCACGAGTCGAGGGCAAATTCTTTGACTGCGGAGCGGCTGCATGAATTCCAAAATGGCGGGCCACCACACAATGGCTACCCAGGTGGGAGGCGTGGCAGTCAGTCCCCAGGCAACCCTTTAGGCCCCGGACAAAGGCCTCCACACGGGCGACCATCACCTCCTAATGGATATGGAGGACCTCCAGGACGCAATGGACGACCGAGTCCGCCTGGCATGAGCCAACCTGTCCCTCGACATCCACCGGGACATGGCAATGCAGTGGCGCCACAACACATTGAGCAACAAACAGGGGTGAGCAATCTCTACCCACCGAAAAGCGGTCCTCCCCATCAAGTACGGTCATTGACAGGTTCTGCTTCTGCCAGCGCGGGGAGTGGTGATAGCAACCGCTCCGCTCCCATAGATTCCGAACCCTCAGCACACAGCTCAAGCAGCAGCTTGCCACCCAGACCGCCCATCGGCGTACGCTAGAGCATGATACCTGCACCTGGATAGCTTCATCGCTGGATTTTTCATTTCGCTCGCGCTGGATACAGTCCCGCGTGCACGGCAGCACATCATGCGACATGACCTTCCAGAGCATGGCATCTCTCGAGGTGTGCTATACGCCACTCCCTTGGCCATTCGCGGCTATTTTCTCCTGTTATCCCTACTCGCAGTTCGACCTCACTGCGAGAATGACGACGAGTGTGTTCCACACATTCATGACGGACGTAATATATAGAGACTGCGCGGACTTCCTTTTGCCGCCTTTTCTACAAGTACTGGCTTTTTCTTGCATATGGCCCCATCGTACATACATGGCATCCGAGGACCGAAGCGACAGGGTCGGCCTCGCTAATTCTGCATTGTGGCGTTATTTTTGGGGCGAAGTCTGGGGAGGCAGGTTGTCGAGAGGAGGTGCAGACATTCTCATCCAAGCCAACCTCTTCCCGCCCGTCTCAGTTTGTTTCATCTGTCAGCGCTGTCGATTTTGACCTGCTACACGAACCAAAAGTCTTGTGGCACAGAACCCTCCATCCAGCACTCTCTTGCTTGTTGGGCAAAAAGAAAGTGAAAGGAGCATTTGGGTGAGAGAGAGAACGAAGAGCAGTCCCGCGGGGTTCCATTCGAGCTCATGCACGAGTCCCGTTGGGTGTGAAGGGAGGAGAGCAATGTATTGGTATTGTCTAAGATGATAGCTCCGTGGCGTGGAAAGTGATGAGAAGCTTTTGCACGAGCGGGAAAGAAAGATAGTGGCGTGCATAGCTGCGGTTTGCTTGTGTTGAGGGGAGCAACAGATAGGTGGGATATTCGAGATGAACAGCTTCGCATCAATCACATCTGTCCAAGCTGTTCTATTTGTCTCTGAGAGCTTGGTGAAAGGTTGCTTGGTGCATCTTCCCAGATGGTGTTGGCGATGATGTTGCACGTGCGTGGTTGTGCTTGGCTGCTGCTTGTGCTTCTCTTCGCGACGCGCTGGGCAACTCAGCCACGGAATGCTTTGTCAAAGACCTGTCAGCATGTTCATCCACTTATCGACATCACCTCGTTGGACGGCAGCCATGGAGGGACTGCTCGTCATGGGTGGACATCACGGTAGAGCTGCGGGAGATTCGGTCCACTTGCGCTGACTTCCATACGAATGACGTTGTTCTTGTCCCCGCCAGAGAATGGAAATGAGTATGTTTCACCATCAGTAACCTTTCGACGTCTCTTGATCCTGCCTCTACTCTTACTCTTCCTGATCCTACAGCTACGGCTACAACTCCACGCACCTGACTATACAGCAACAGAACAACCACAGAACAAGACCATGACAACCCCCCGCCTCTTCATCATCCGCCATGGCGAAACCGAATGGTCTCTCAATGGCCGACACACCGGCGTATCCGATATCCCGCTCACAGCAAACGGTGAGAAACGAATCATCGCAACAGGCAAAGCCCTCGTCGGTCCCGACCGACTCATCGTACCCAAGAACCTCGCACACATCTACGTCTCGCCTCGTAAACGCGCTCAACGAACACTTGAACTGCTAGGACTGGGTTGTGAAGAAGATATGCCTTGGGGAAAACATGGGGAAGTCCGAGATACATCTGAACATAAAACCAAAGCGAAGATTGAAGTTACGGAAGCTGTGAGGGAGTGGGATTATGGGGACTATGAGGGTGTTACGTCGAAGGAGATTCGGGAGAGGAGGAGGAAAGAGGGGGTGGGAAAAGATGGGGAGTGGGATATTTGGCGTGATGGATGTCCGGGTGGAGAGAGTCCTGCTCAAATCACAGAACGTCTTGATGCCTTGATAAAAGACATTCGAACACGATTTCATGCGCCGGCGATTGGGAAACCTAAAGGCAAAAATGGAGAGGAAGAGGAAGAGAGGAAACCTTTTGATGTATTGATCGTGGCTCATGGACATATTTTGAGGGCTTTGGCAGGAAGATGGGTTGGGAGGGATATTGCGGAGAATCCGAGTTTGATTTTGGAGGCTGGAGGTGTGGGGACTTTGAGTTATGAGCATCAGAGTTTGGAGGAGCCGGCGATTTTGTTGGGTGGGGCGTTTATGAGTGATGTTGTGGAGAATGCGAAGGAGGATGTTAGGGGAGAGGGAAGACGGGAAGAGGAGAATGTGGGAATTGAGGGGATGACGGGGTGAGATGGGCTCACTGCTTGAGAGGAAGAGGAACGTGAGAATTGAAGAGGAACGTGAGATGTATAACGAACAAGGGAATGAATGGAAGGGTGCAACGGAGAGGAAACGCATCTGTACGTATGTCATTCGTGGCTATTACTCATTTCTATCTAGATCATTATACCGACTTCAACTGGAGTAAGACGATCTCTCAGTGCATTGGGCGGTTGGCCAATTGCTCAACGATACTCGCCCGACGCGGTGCGTGGCCATCAATGAAGACCTTGCGGAATCGGAAACTGCACAAGTCTGTGGTTGTCTCCCAGGCGCTGGCCGCATTCTCCTTGATGATCTGTGCAGTGGGCTTTTCGAAAATGAGATCGATCTCCTCCAAAGTCTTGTCTTTAGTTTCGGGCATCTGGAAAAATATCAATGTTAGCTGAGTGCCAGATTGAAATTGTATCAGTGACTGCGGAACTTACGAAGAAGATCTGATAGAACCAGCCCAGAACGGCGATACCGCCGTAGAATCCAAGTGTCAATCCAGTCCGGGTGAAGGCATCTTGCATGGCGCTGAAGTTGTATGTCACGACGAAAGAGGACAAGAACAACAGCGCACTCGAGGTCGTCATGCCGTATGAACGGAGGTAAGTGGGGTAGCTCTCTGACGGCACGACCCACGTAAGGCACGCGTATGACCCGAAGAAGAACTCGTAGGTGATGAGGCCAGTGAAGTAGACTCCGAGTGAAGCAGAGCTACCGACTGGGAGGTGATAGCTCACTCCGATCAGGACCAGTCCGACGAAAAAGCAGGGCAACATGGCGATAGCCCAGAAACGTCGCCCGCAGGTTTCCATGAGGAAGATGGCTGGAATGGTACCGAGGAGGAGTGCGCCGCCGCCGACGAGGGACATGTAGTTGGATTGGTACTTGTCGAAGCCCATTTGGCTCATGAGGACGGACATGTAGTACATGATGGCCTGCAGAAATGTGAGTAAGTGACAGCATCATTGTGAGAAAGAGAAAATCACTTACGTTGATTCCAGTGAATTGTCCCAAGAAGATCATCATGTTGGCGTAGACAAGCGCACGGCGAGCACGAGGCTTTGTGAAGAGATCCAGCCAAGGTGCTTTCCTCGAGCCAGTTCCAGCCGCGACTTCAGCCTGCTCTTGCTCTGTGCTAACCTTCATCACAAAGAACTCCTCTCTTGCCTCGATAGACGTGCTTCCTCGAATCCTCTTGAAAACTTTGTACGCATCGAGGGTGCGGTGCTTGTGCAACAACCATCTGGGACTCTCAGGCATGTACAACATACCAATTCCCATGATCGTCGAGAACACCAGGGAGCTTCCGAGGATATATCTCCAGTTTCCAGGAACAGAAACGAACATTGCAGCGACTGCATAGCCCAACACCTCGCCGAGAGCGATGTTGAACTGATACAAACTGACCATGTTTCCTCGCATTCTTCGCTCCACTGTCTCGGCCACATAAACTGGAACAGTACCGCCTTCGAGACCGACTCCCATTCCCAAGATGACGCGACTCCATACGATCATCTGATAGTTCATCGCTCCCGCTTCCAGAGCTCCGCCGATGGTGTACAGGATGCACGAGATGATGATACTCCACTTTCGGCCGAAGTACTCGTTGCATGGACTCAGAATGAAAGCTCCGGCGACCGCTCCCAATGGCATACCAGCGTTGACAAGAGAATTCTGGTGTGTGGAAAGATGGAGGTCGTCTGGAAGGAACAGATTTGCACCGGAGATGAGAGATTGATCGAGACCTGAGAGGAGGCCTCCCATGGAGGCGAAGGCGACGAGGATATAGGTGAAATACTTCGGATTGGCGAATTCGAGGTCGAAAATGCCTTTCTTGGTTAGACGTGGGTCTGCGGCGAGCTCTTTGTCGAGTTGTTCGATGAGGGCGTCGGCTTCCCAGCCTCCGGCTTGGGCGATGGAGATGGCTTCTTTCGTTGTGAGAGGCTCGCCGGGGACGCTTGTGGCGCGGGCTGTTGTGTCTTTGCCCGCCGCGTGGATATCGTCTGTGGCAGACATGTTCTCGTTGTGGTCGTTGGAGGCAGCATTTTGCTCGACCGTTTCGATGGCTTTGGTGGGCTCTTTTTCCGACATGGTGGCGGTTATAATGAGCTGTCGGGTTACGGTGAAAGTGCTGTGAAAGCACAACTGAAGCTTGAATCAGATGCGGAGAAAAGAGAGTCCTCGCATCTATCGTGCTTTCCTGACGAGAAAGCGAGGTGACAAGAACGAAAACTTCCAAACCTATCGCGGGCGTCGCGCCGGAACTCCTCCACATCTTATACCCAATTTTCACGCATGACCTCCATTAGCACTTCGCAGTTCCCTGGCTCAGCGATGGAGTCCCCTCGGGTTACTCCTCGTGGAGGACCCAAGGCACCTCCGACTTCATCTCTCATCCGCATATCACCCGAATGGCCTCCACGCGGTGCACAGACAGCGACCTGCAAAGTGTGACCATCATTCACGTTCCTGGGCCAATGAAGAGACGAGTTATGGGTTGCAGTTCGTGGAGCTGTCGTGGATAGACAAGCAATTTCGGTCCGATTGCTTTGCATCAAAGCTTGCTCGGCTTGGGTGGAGCTTGTTTGCATCACAGACCCATGTTTCGTCTTTCTAGACGACTTCTAGCGTCGAGCTTTGCTGAGCTTGCGGACAGAAGATCTTTCACTCGGCCTCCACTTCACGCTGAAGACTTGCTTCTCGCTTCTCGTGTTGACAAAAAGAGTTCGTCATCGGTATGAGCAGGCAAGAAAAATTATGAAGACGAAGAGCGACTCGTGAAAGAAACATCAGCTTCTACATTTGGCTACTGTAATCGAGTTCTGGATCGTCCGGCAAGCAATGCATCCACTGGCCGATTGGAAATCTCGACCAAGATTTGCGGGCTACAATGATTGCAGGACATATCGCTTGCAGACACACAAGTGTCCGCGCAACATGCTCCTCACGCACGTCGATGTTCTCTCTCTGACCTCGATCCAACTAACCCACATCTAACCTATCGCAACCTCCATGCAGCCTCATTATCCTTAAAGAGTGCAAGAGCCACAATATGGAGCACATGCTATACAAGGACATCCAGCAGATGAAGTGCCAGGAGGACATACACCCGCACCCTCACCGCCGTTGCAGGCGCAACACGCCAGGGAACCGCATGATCGCTGCTGCAGTCAGTAAAGATCTAGCACGATCCTAGCTTATCAACGTGTAGACGAACCTTGAAGAGAAGATCTTCGGTATTTCCAGTAGGACTGGCGATTGCTGAAAGGCTGAAGAGAGCCGAGACGAGAACAACAAGATGCATACTTGGTGAATATGTCTTGGACCCTTGTTCTGCTATACAAATATTGATTCCTTCTGAAGTAGGTCGTGATTGAGTCTGTAGGAAATAGTCATTGCTGACGGCTGCGTTTCTTATACCGGGCTCTTCACCTTTCACACGTCCTAGTTAACTTTGGAAAGCTGCGGTTTCATGGACTTTGTACTGTCCGAAGTGCGAGACAAACAGGCCGCTATTCCTGACCGATGTCACGATCAACACTGGCATTGAACAAAGAGATGATACCGAGAGGATCCGCCCAACAATATTCACCTACTGTTAAAACGACTTTTCGAAATTTCTGACAGCGTGGCACGCAGATGCACTGCCGTTGAAGATGATGGCATTCCGACTCAATTGATGCTGTAGAAAGAATGCGTCAACAGTATCTGCCGGCATCACTGAAAGCCGTGCATCGGGTGTTCGGGATTGGGTCCAACCATGCTGAACTGTCGGGTTTTATCACTCGCCGTCATTTTCACCGGCTACACGCTTTGCCTCCTTGACGCGGCATCCTCGGCATCACACGATCCGTGACGCGGAGAAGCGAATGTCTTGGAATTGCTTACGCGGCACGACTGCAGCTGCAGTAAAATATTCAGATTTCAGCTTCGGTCATCGATGAAGCCAGTCCCGCCAATGTCCAATGCGGCAACAAAGTGGAGCGAGAGAACGCCACGACCAGGACGAAAGCAAAACAAAGCAATGAGAAGGCTTTGCTGAACCTTTAGCGTGCAAGGATGACCATGGCCGTCCATGCGAACCGCGTGACTGTGGGGTCATACCACGCTTGTGCAACCATGCGACTCGGTCATGGGGGCCATGGACGTCGCAAAACGATTATGCTATCATACCATCCACGATCGGGAAATGTGGAAGGAGAAGGAAATAGAAGGGAATGCAAATACAGCCCAGGTTCGTGGACCCTAATCGCGTTGAAACATAGTCAAGAAAGTGTTCACAGCATGGACGAGCTGTTCATTCTTTCCTATTGCTTTTCGAAGTAAGCTCCTACGCCACCAAGGCCAGACTGCGAACGCGACTATTTGCCTCGCAGACATTCCTTCGCCGTGATCTAAGCTACCGTCGGGCCGCTAACATAGATCTTCTCCTTCGTACATGTGCGCCTCGTCGCGTAGCTTCACTGAGCCCTGAATTTATCGAAAGCACCGTCACCGACTGACCACTCGCATCCATCGCCACGATTGCTGCTGCGTATAAGGTTCTACAGAAGGTCAAATCCATCTGATGCATCGGATTGGAGTATAGGAGCCAGGTACGCTCGCACAAATGAAGTTTCGAAATTTGACGGTCAATACAGAACGCAGGTCCCTCAGTTCTCGAACACAGGTGGTTCAGTCGTAAGTCCTCGCCTGTGAAACCGTCACAATGAACCTTGTCGACTCAGGATTCTTCACTCACGACCATACCAATACGGCTTACGCAACCAAAGATGCTTCCGAGAACCATCCATGAACGATTACATGGCCTGTCTGGCTTGTGCGATTCCAACGACGATTATAGTATTGCCTGCCCATTATCGATCGAGTTTGGATTGGTGCCCGTCCCTCAAAGATAGTATTTACGAGTCGATTGAGAAAAAGCTCATCTCTCCCAGCCCGCCGACCACGATCATTACCCGCGTGACATGCCCTTCACGCACGTCCACGTACGTTCTTTGACCTCGCTCTATCTAGAGCCCTCGAAATCAATTGGGAGGTCCACCGTTTTTGTGCTTTGGCCACACTCCGCAACTATCACAGTTTGGAGCACATGCCACACAAGGACAGTCGTCGTAGTAAGAGTTGATCAATGGACAATAACCCGCCCCTTGGCCTCCACCACAGGAACAACACGCTACTGATTGGCCGGGAGCGAGTCCTCTACATGGTCCCTACAATTGCAGTCAGTATTGATTCCAGCACGACTAGCGAATGTAGACGAACCCTGGCGATTGCTGTAAGGCCAAAGAGAGCCGGAATGAGGAGGATGAAGCGCATGTTGATTGCACTGTTGTGTCTTGTGATTATTGTTCCGTTACAACGATAATTTGATTTCTTCCAGAGAGGAACCGTGACAGTATCGAGTCGTTGTTGGAAGGCGACATTGCTACAGAATGCGCCTCTTATATACCGCAAGTGACATTCGAATTACTATTCTATACAATCTGTCCTTTGACCAAGTTGCGGGAAGCTGCGGTGCCGTTCCATGGGTTATCCATCCGCGTGGTATAAGACAACTAAGCAATAGCTGACTGATATTGCCGTTTTGAGGCTTTGCCAAGCGATGCACAGTTGCTCTTTGTGGCGAATCCTTCTAGAATTAGCCTTGCACATTTCAAAGTTGCGTACGAATCTAGCTGCGGAAGCTGCGGCGTAGTTCCACGGGATACCCATCCGCGTGGTGTGAGACAACTAAGCTATTCTAGAATCCGAAACGGTCGGGTGGACTTCGAACCCCATTTTTCGCACAATCTAACGACAGCCTCTAATGAAAATTTAATTATGCGGGGGTTCGAAGTCCACCCGACCGTTTCGGATGCTAGAATATAGCTGACTGATATCACAATTCAAGGTTTTGCCAAACTACATACAGTGCTTCTGGTAACGAGTCGTCTTGGAGTGATCTCGGCAACTCGAAAGTTACGGACGAGTCCAGCAAGAAGTCCTAGAGACCCATACTGCAGCAGCTACATCATCGACGGTTATCCCTCCTTCCAACTGGGTTGACCCTCAGATAAAGGAGAGAAGCAAAAACAAATAGACATACGAGGTCTATCCATGATATTCCCCTCAAGGCCGTAAGAGCGCGTCGTGGTTCTCAGCTGGGCCCAGGAACCAGGAGCATTCATCGGCCGTAAACGCTCCCAATCATATATCGAGTCATCATATCAAGATTGAAGGCCTATGCTACACTAGCACATGATCCAAGGCCTTCTCATCCCTCCTCCAAGCCAGAATCGCCCATGACAAAGGAGACAGGAGAACAAACATACGAAATCTATTCATGACATTTCTCTCAAGGCCGTGAGAGTGCGTCGTGGCTGCACCGAGCAGCATTCATCCCAAAAGTCACTCCAAATCATTTCATCGAATCCAATCATCATGACCCGCGATCTCCATGCACAGTATGATCTCTCCTCGGCTTTCCAACGTTCTTCGCATACTGGCCTCGAACATTTCCTGCAAAAATCACAACATTAGCAATCAAACATCTTCGCTCCACGAGGGACCGAGAAGTAGATGAGTAAGAACATACCTTGCCTCCGATAATTACAAACCGTATAATCATACGTTCCCGGAGCATTCTCCACACCATTAGGACAATGTTGAGTGTAGCAGCCCACATGCGTCGTACGTTTCCAGACCTACAATGATTGATCAGTTCAACATCACACACAAGTTTCTCCTCATTCCCATCAAACCAAAGAAAGTGCTGAGAGGAACATACCATCTGCGTAAAATGCCCCCACTTCTTATCAAACGTCGGATCCGGAATTCCATAGAGTCGGCTATAATACGACACTTCATTATTATACCACAGATCCGAGATCACAAAGCTGACGCCTTGCCAGGGGACACCAGCTGCGATGTTTTGGCCGTATTCGCCGCCGTCGTATTGCCTACAATGAATCAATCAGCTCACTTCTCTCGTTTCACAGCTCCTACGCAGTAGACAAGAATAATGTAGTAGGTAAGGGTGGAAGGAGACTCACATCTGATGCTCAAAATTACAAGTCTTTGCAATCCTCTCCGCCGTATCCGCAAGTTGAAAATGATATTGCAGATCCGGTGCGGAGTGGTTTCTTCGATGGACGTTGTGGTGGTAGAGGACGTCTGCTACGTAGCGTTGACCAGCGGCGTCAAGCTCATGGATGGCGTCATGGTGAAAATGGTGAGGTTCCGGATGTGGAAGATGGTGTCGTGCTGCTATAAGATGGTTTTCTGCTGGGGTCGCGGAAGCTGATGATGCGACTAGGACAGCAGCGGCAGCGCTACTGCCAACGAGAGATGAGAAGCGCATTGTGGGTTGTTGATGATAGTGTCTTGGATGATGTGGTGGTTCGAGGATGAACCTCTTGCGATGAGTTGGGAAAGGTGATGGGATTGAAAGTGAGACCTTTCTTAAAGAGCTGTCAACTGAATGAGATTGTGAAATTGAAGTGACGATGAGGAAACTGTAGCAACTCAACTTCTTCTCATGAAAAAAGCATAGACGCCGTCGAGGTTGTTATTTGGAAGTTTGCAAGAAGTATCAGAACCCGTCAAAATGGTCAAACGTGACAGTTTTTACGCTCTCGTGTGTAACGGCGGAGAACAAGGTTCGATTCGTGTGCTTGTATGCAGTAAGTTTGTGCGCAACGATGCACAGAAACACACAAAAGTCTTGTTTAGAGAAGCAAATTGGAATTCGATCGTTCATGGACGTTGAGCAACGGCTTTTGATCGTTGTCCATCTCTCATTCGTCAACGTCTTGCCCTTTCGAGGCAAGATCTTCGTCTCGTGTATGTGATGGTACTGCTGAGACACAACTTTAGCACAACAAGTATAAATGAAAGCAAGATTTGACCTTCGAACTTTCTGAATACTTGATCCCAAATCTTGATTGTTCTGGTGTCAGGCTCAGGTTTACCTTGACGATTGCACAGCAGGTCTGAGTCCTGTTGCGAACAAGGCTATGGTGAAGAACACGAGGCATTGTAGCTCTGTCAACCATCAAACCAGGTACTCGGTAGGCATTTCTTGGTCCGGCGCAGGACAATAGAGGTCACGAGATGACCACTGTCATGGCGAGGAGATGGAGATGCCATGTCGGCTAGCATAGTGTGCCCAAAGTACTGATGTTCCAGCATCATGATGGCCACGATGCCGGGAGTGGAGAGAACAACAACACATTCAGTCGCTTGTCCGTCGCACAAGGCCTGAAGCGGTGTTGGCAAAGATGGTGAAGCGATGCATCCTTAGAGGACAGCGTGGGATCCATTACGTTGGCATACTCTTTGCTGAACACAGGACTTCCAAGTTGCGAGTAGAGAAGTACTTGTTGAAGGCCGACTGACGTTGATCGCCAGCTGACTGCAGCAGCTTTGAGCATACAATGCATGATAAGCTGTCAAGGCACCAAGGTTTGCGGTGCGTGCATTCCGGAGGCTGCGCTGGCAAGCTCCGAGTGAGCACTTCACCTCTTCATCACCTCTACAAACCTTTCTCCTCGCTTCCGAGTCTCGAATAAGTTCTCTTCACAGACTGCGAGCGCTGTTGGGAGAAAGATTGCTGTCGAAAGCGCGCTTTCCGATCACCGTTGTCATGCGCCACGTTCACACTCGCAGGATAGTCTTCGCCCAGCACTGCGGCACCGCATTAGCACACTGTAGAAATGGACCATGCGCAAGAACTTACTTGTAAACTGCTGAGGTTGCAGATGTAGTCTGCGCTCACTGATCGGACCTGTAGCTTTCTGGATCCGTCTGCGGGCCACTGGGAAAGCAGCAGTGAAGAATACACTCAATGCGAATACCGGCACGGCGATGTAAGCATACCACTCCACCGGCCAGGTCACAGTGCTGATTCCAAAGAGCGAGGCGAGAAAAGACACGGGCAAGAAGAGCGTGGCAACTCCCATGAGGAAGGCCGAATTGTCGGTCTGCGTCGAATTGCTGATGTTGAATTCGAGCTCGATCAAGTTGTTGAAGCCTGTGCTAGCGTGATGAGTCATTGACGTTATGGTGAAGTCAGTGCGAGTTATAGTTACTCACGCTCTTTCAGCCCGTCCAGTGTAGCTTCGAACTGGCCAAGATCTTCCACAAAATCTTCGATGTCATTCCACAATGGGTCCTGCTTTTCCCCCTCAGGAACATCGTTTCGGAGCCTCTGCAGCTTTCCAAGAGAGCGTGTGTGAAAGTGCAGATACTCCTTCATCTCGTAGATACGATCAACTTCGTAGTGCATTCGGCGCGTGCGGGCTTTGACTGGCATGTATCGGTCGTGACTGTTAATCTCGGCCTCGTCCAGTCTCGATAGAAGCTCGCCAATGATGTTCTGCCAATCAGTGAGAAGATTAAACAGGCGGCTGAAGGTCCAGCAGATGCCTTCTTCGTCATTGCGAGGCTGATCAAAGTCACTGTCGCGCCAAAGAAAGTCGAACATCAATCTGGTCACGATATGTTCGGCGACTGGCGTCGGTTTGGTAAAGATGACTTTTGTCAAGTCAGTTTGGAGTCTTCAAATGGCATTGAGACCAGATCAGAATGACCAGCTGTACTCACTCGTCACTGACATATTTCTGTTCAGACGGCACGCTCCTTTGCCGCAGAACCATACGCCAGTGCGAAAACGGAGGTCTCTCATTCTAGGAGAGGGCGCTTCTTCCAGCACAGGCGGGTTCATGTTGACACTCCAGTAGTAGACCTGAGGCACGTTGATGTGATCAATGATGAACGTCCAAGGCACCCATCGGCCGCGCTTGGAAGCCTTCTCCGGGAACTGCATCGTGGTGGCATACTGCACAGCACGATCAAGGTCGGCAATGTCATGCCAGTAGTCGTCGATGCAGGTATGGAGAATGTCGCCAAGCCAGGGTTGGTAGGCGTTGATGGAGAGGATCAGAGGATCATTTGGGTGGTGCCTCACTTGGTCTTCCACAAGTCGGACGAAGAGACCTCTGTCGGAAGCAGCTCCAGTGACTTGGATTTCATGATAGCGGGTTTTGCTGTTTCGGTGGCCAACACGGATAGCCACTGGCCCCGAGCTGGCTTCGAGGGCTGGTCGGCGGTGATGCCGGCGAGGCATTCTATCTGTACGCTGTGTAATGTTGATCAGTGGCACCAGGTCATATTTTTCGAGGTGAAGTTGAGGAAGGTCAGTGGAAGAGAACAAGGTGTCCGTCATGGTCATCGTCGCCCGCCTGCGCCCTCGACGAGGAAGTCACTCGGAGAGGCGACTTCCAGCTAGAGCGCCGCATGACCGCTCCTGCTGCGCGTGCGGCCTCAGAAGCCTCCATCTTGAGCTTCATCGGCAGCAGCGTATATCAAGGCAGTATGCTGCAAGTCGTAGCGCAGTGTACGCAGACTGCGATATACAGAACACGATGTTGTCGCAGCACAGGACTGGGTGTTGTCACAGCAGAGGACGTCGACCAGGAAGCCCCGTACCAAGAGTCCAAGACGCCGAATCTAGATTTCCCCAATCACGTGTTGAGCAAGGGCCATCCGGGAGGAGCAGCCAATGGGCGGCGGATGAAACTTGCTCATTGGCGAAAACGTGCTCATCCACGTCCAGACGGCAAAGGCAAAATGCAAGACCGCGACCTGCACACTGCGAACACCGTCGTAGGTACCACGGGCGGCTCATCGTTGTGCACCGAACTTCTGAACTTGCCGAGTTGAGCAGCCAACTCACAGCGTCTGGCCACTGTCCTCAGACTTCATCTCCGCCGACTGCCGGGGAACGCCCATTGCCAAATATACCGGACATCCTAGGACACAACACCGGGGTCAAGAGGAAAGGAGCAACATAGCCACTTCGCCGCAGCAACTCACAGAATCCAGCACGACACCTCGTCCACGAATACTTGAAGAGAATCTCATCGAGGCGGGAACATCATCGCGCGACGTCGCCCACCATGGACCACTCCAGCATGGACATGGGCTCCTCAAGCTCATCATCAGACTCCTCGTCAAGCATGTCGCACGGCTCCATGAGCATGGTCTTTACCACCGACCACAGCACACCTCTCTACTCCAGCGCCTGGACACCACAGACAACAGGGACCTACGCCGCAACCTGCATATTCCTCATATTTCTCGGGATTATCAGCAGAGTACTTCTTGCCTACCGCCACGTGCTCGAAAAGAAATGGCACGACAAGGCTTTGAAGCGGCGGTACGTGAGAGTCGCGGGCGAGACCGAACGGCAGCAACTAGACCCAAGCGCGGACGAGAAGAGCGATTATGCGACGCTCACGATGCGAGGTCTGGATGAGAATGTGCTAATTCTGCAGGCGCCGCAGAAAGTGCAAGGCACGCCGTGGAGGTTCAGTACTGATCTGCCGAGGGCGTGTATCTTTACTGTGCAAGCTGGTGTGGGTTATTTGCTGTGAGTATCACCCTTGTGTCTACCGTTATGCTAATCGGAGGCTTTTCTCGGACTTTGACTGACTTTTTGACAGCATGTTGGCAGTTATGACGCTGAACGTGGGATACTTCATGTCCTCACTCGCGGGCTTGTTCATCGGTGAACTGGCAATGGGGAGGTATATTGTGATAGACGACAGCCATCACTGATTGTTTAGATTGGCTTCGTGAACATCATCATTTAATACCTATACTTACATTCGCCGAATATCCTTTCTCCGACAAGTCGCAGGGTCACGTATCTGTCCTTGAACCAAGCTGACGAGCAGCGACTTCCCTGAACACCCAGGGCAAGCGATGCCGAGGTGCTTCGCCCTGACATGTCTCTCGTATCACAACATGGCTCTTCGTAGACCTCGTCGGCTGCGATCTGCTCGATTATCTGGAGAAGCGGTGCTGATAGTGGTGGCTCTAAGATGTCTCTTGAGATAGGACTCGGCATGTTGTCAAGCCCATCACCCGAGACCTATTCATTCTTGCGGAGAAATCTATACACAGAAGCGCCTACTACCTGATGAGCCTCCTGCCCCTCGTCAAACCCAAAGTTCATTCACCTCCCCCACAACAACCTCCCCCTCTCAAGCTCCACCACCCCATTGCTCTCACCCTCACCCTCATCACCCTTTCCCTTCCCCTCCCTCTTCCCCGTCCTCCCAAACCCGAACCACTCCCCAACCCACCTCAACCATCCCACCCTCTTCCTCCTCATCTCACACTCACACTCATACGTAACCTCAATCGCCGGAACACAGATCACCTTCTTCACTCCATCATCTCTCACAAATGTCACCATCCTTCTAGGCTCAACGATAATGGTGACAGTTACCGGAGCACTCGTGGAATCAGGATCCCGGGCTTTGTGGATGTTGCGGCGCCAGTGGATGATCTCTTGGTCCCTCTGAGGGATTGTGAGTGCCATGTTGTTGTGTGGTGGTTGACGAAGGCGGAGGTGGGGCAGTGTGTAGGATTTTTGCTTCTTCTTGTGAGGTGGATGTGATTGGTCTTGACTTCGTCGTGATTTCTGATTGCTTTTCATGTCTCTGATTTTGCGTTGTAGGTCTGGGGCAAGGAGGAGTGCGCTAGGGTGAAATATATGAGAGTCGAAAAATCCGAAGTTCAGGAGTTATGGTAACTCACTGTGGCCTCAGAACTTACAGTGGTGACAATATGGCATAATCACCCAAAATGATACTGGTGTTGTCCAACCACATGGCATCGTCCTGCTTATGCGAATCATCAGGATTGGAGCTAGAGGTCTTAAGATTGGCAATGCATAGCCACACGCCGACAGAGAATAGCCAGTTGGGGGATCTCTGAGTTCTCCGGACCCGAGTGTCATGTATTCACCTCTCCAGTATTGGGTGTACCGCTCTCTCAAAAGCTGCCTCACCAAATGCAAAATTTGAGGACTTCCAGACCTGACTCTCCGAATATAACCTACCACAGAGCCACCCCATCTCCCTCCAACAAATCTCTACTCCGACCACATATTCCAGAGACACCACCAACCCAACATCAACTACCACCAAGATGTCCCACTCCACCACTCCAACGAACCTCTCAGAAATGAAGCTATCAGACATCCACTCCTCCCTTCACCTCACCAAAATCCTTGGTCATCTCCCCATCGACCGCCTCCCAGATGCCTACTTCTTCGCGAGACTCGACAGACTCGTGATCTACCGTCACAAAACCTTCGCCGAGAACCACGGCAAATCGCCTCGGAAAGACGACTACGAGTGGAGAATCGAATTCAAGCGATCTTCACCTTGTCCTATGCCAGGCTGCGATAGGGAAGTTCTCTGCCCGTCACGGTTTATCCGCGACAATAAGAAGGATTTTGTGAGAGTTTGGCCGCTGAAGGAGGAATGTTGGGTTGAGCGAAGACTCGGGGTCTCCGCTTTTTGGGGAGGAAGTCTGCCGTCGAAGGGGGCTACGGTGCTGAGACAGGCTCGATCGAAGCATTCGAGAAAGCGCTTCGGACGAGTCATTCCACCGGAGATCTGGGACAAGGTGTTCGGATTTCACTGGATACTGATGATGAACTCCAAAATTCGGCACAAGACGACGCCATTCCGTTCGAATACCTCGAGCCATCGTGGTATGGCTTGGAATGAGAAGCAAGCTTCCAGGAGGAATTTTTCAATCATCTTCTACATCACTCAAGCCCTCTTCTCTCGCGACTTGAGTAGCGATAAATTTCTCCATCATTTGGCTTCCTCCGACCGGCGCTGCTTGTTCGAGCGCTTGGGCTCTGGGCTGTTCTTTGCCTTTTCTTGTGACGATTAGACAGAGAATTCGTCCGTAGATTGTGAATCCATCGTAATTCGTGTCCAGTGCAAGTTTCTTCTTATCATCGCCTTCGCCTATTGCTGGCGCATCGTCAGCTTCTTCGTCCTCTTCTGTCTGCTCTTGCTCCCGCCGTCTTCGCTTCTTTCTTGGTTGCGCCCGCTGCGTAGCAAAGAATTCCTCGTCACTTGACGAGACGAATAGCGCTGCGTCTTCGTCCTCTCCATCTTCTTCATCACCCGCAACGCTCTTTCTCTTCTTCCCATTCCTACCACCCTCCTTCCCAAATTCGGGTATATCATCCAACACCACCACATCATCTTCATCCTCCTCCCTCCTCACAGCCAAACCCCCTCCTTCCCCCTCCCTCTCCAAATCAATCGCATCCTCCCTCTTCTCCCCACCACCAGCACCCCCACCCAACCACCCCGTCAACCCCTTCCCATTACTCCTCAACCTCCCCTCCCTCTGATCCCCAAACTCCTTCCTCTTCGTCAACAAACTATGCTTACTCTTCGTCTCCTTCAAAAAAATCGCAACCTCAAAATCTTCCTCGCTCACCACATCCTTAATCCCTCGTTTCTTCTTGCCTTTTCCTTTATTCTGTCTTGCATTCTCGTTCTCTTCGCGGAGTTTGGGTAGGACTTTGGGTCGGATGGAGGTTATGATGCGGGAGAGGACGTTGTCGCGGGAGGAGAGGAGCCAGGAGGCGTCAGAGGATTTTCGCAGGTAGATTCGGACTTCGAGGACGGAGAATTTGGTTATGCGGAGGTAGCGTCTTATGGGGGCCATTGTCACGGCTGCAGTGGTGGTTTGTGGAGGAAGGAACTTTTAATTGTTGGATGGAGTTGGTTATGAAGGCGGCATGTTTGTGTGGAGGTTGTTTGCGACTATACGCTGGTCCAGATACCATGTATAAAAGCTGAAGTGCTGTCGCGATTTGGACTGAAACGAGACGACGCGTCTGAAGTTCCAGGCTACGATGTCATCACATGAAAGGCCAATTCCCAAACAAGCAAGTGCGGCGAGGACTGGAGCCACGGAAGTCCGTGCATCAGGTACCAGTATCCGAAGTGAACATCCTCTGCCATCGACACTTCGATCCCATCGACAGTTTCTCAAAAGTCTCAAGACGTCTCCAATGTTGCACCGCGCGATCCGAATGTTCTCAAATCCAAGCTTTCGCATTCCGATCCGAACGATGGCCACCACAAGCACCTCACAAACACCAATGGAGGATACCATTCGACAAAAAGTCAGTACTCTGTCGATAAAGTGGAGCTCACTATGATTCTGCACTACATGCACTTCTCTCAAAGACAAGCAGAAATGGAAGCAAAGACTAATAGAACACTTCTCCAGATCACTGAAAGCCTTCAACCAACAAGTCTAGAAATCCACAATGACTCTCACAAGCACGCACACCACGTAGCTATGAAGGGGAGCACATCGAAGGAAACGCATTTCCGGTAGGTCCCTTTAATGAAACCAGTCCTCTTCCCCAAAGCGTCTCACTGCCTTTCCATGGTTCGGAGAAGTAACGAAGTCGTCTTTGCCACTGGCTGACATTGCGGTCACAGCGTGTTCATTACCTCGTCAGCTTTTCAAGGCAAAATGCAACCCGCACGACATCGCATGGTGTACGGCCTATTCGAAGAAGAGATGGCAATGGAGGGGGGCGTGCACGCTTTGCAGCTGAGGACGAGGACGCCGGAGGAGGAAGAGAAGGTGAACGCTGCAGCCAGCTAGAGCGAGTTGCTGAATGAAATATTGATCTTGCGGTTCACGCAATCGGCGCCAGCTACTGTCTGCGATGCGATGCTTGTCCAGTCTATCTGCCCCTCTCTGCGCCGCGCTAATGCCGTATTCTGTACTGACATCAAAGAATCTATCCCTCTCTCCTTCACAGGATTGCCACAGGGGTTTACTGTACAATGCTTGGTCGTGAAATCGAGTGCCGTCCAAAACTTCGTCTCTTCCCAACGGTAATAGTACATCCCAGGTCCGCGTGTGCACTTCCTTGTGCTTGTTTACAAAGGCGGCAACTCGCCACCATCCACATCATGCGCCCCACTAGGTTGGCTGTTGAGGTACGAAAGGTAGCAGTTCCAGCCTGGGAACGAATTCGTCAGTACGGGTCTTTATCTTATCCAAGTCCGACGAAGATTCAATCTGCCATGACTTACCCAAGGAAACAATGTTTACTAGCAACACTCGATGCTCCAGCGGCACAAACTTGAAGTTTGTAAACTGCACCAATGGCCACACCATCCAATTGCTCTTCAGCGCATTGACATACGTCGAATCCAGCTTATCCTTGGGACTCGTGCCCTCCATAATCGCCATACTGCTCAAGAACACAAACAAATTCGTACTAGCGAAAACGGTCTGATCGGTCGCGACTCGTGCGGCGATTTCGAGGTTTGGTTTGCCGGGAATGACGACTTTGCGTTGGAGGAAGCTGAACCATTTCGTTGCGGCGGGGCCGAAGACGAAGCCACCGTAGAGGGCCATGCGGGAGGAACGGGCGAGGTCGTGGTTCGAGAGGCCGCGCTTTTCGACGAGTTGTTGCGCCATTGTGTCGCCTGTTGCGAAAAGGATGGAGGTTGTGATGGATTGGGTTAGGATGGGGCGGGCGGCGAGCTTCGCCTTGTACCTGTTGGTCGCATGGTCAATTGAAGCTATGGGAGGCGTGGTCATAGAGGATACCATCTTAACGCGGCGGCCATTGTGAAGGTGTGCTACTGATAAGCTGGTGTTTCTGGAGCTCTCGAGGTGGAGAGAGCGCGGAGGTGTTCGGTCTGTTGATCAGCGCGTACAGTACGAACGGCTACGCAGCTGATGATGGTGTTCAGGAAGGAGTGATTGAGTAGAAAAGGGTCAGTTGCCGCTTGATACTCGGACTCCGCATTTTGGAAAGATTGTGAATCTCGTGTCTCGAGAGCTCTTTCCTCCTGGCAGGGATTGCGACGTCATAGCGTAGATTGAGTTTGGACCCCGTTTTCCACGCGACTGGAACGCGCCCATCTTCCGTCTGCAGCTGTGATACATCACACTCGGATCATCAATATTTATCTTTTTGCTGCTCTGGACATTGCGCAGAAGAGCTCTCACAAGTCCGAGATATTCACTTGCCATATATGACGATGAATGCGTAGGTGAAAAGGCTCAAGTGATAACATCCCGGGAAACTCCTCTACTCCCTCCCTCCCTTCCGCCATCAGCCCCACCATAGCAAGCCGTTCGTTGACTCTTTCTTACAAACAATACTGACTTGATTTCCTTATCGTCGCAACACACGCTAGACCGCAGTCAATCTCGAGATACGCGAGGGAGAGGATTTGGACGATGGCGACCACCAACGAGAATCCCGAGGGCGTCAGCTCGCTGCTCGACACTGACCTGTACAAGCTGACGATGCAATGCGCCATCCTCAAGTACTTCCCCGACGTGCAAGTGGAATACAAGTTCACGAATCGCACACCCCACATGCGCCTGACACGAGCAGCATATAAGTGGCTTCGAGCACAAATCGATAAACTGGAGAACATCAAAGTGACGGATGACGAGATCGCCTGGTTGCGCAAGACATGTCCATATCTTACACCCGAGTACTTGGACTTCCTTCGAACTTTCTCCCTTGCCCCGAAAGACCAGGTCAAGACTACTTTCACACCGACCAGTGAAGGGAGCGACGATGACTCACAACCCGGCGACGTCAGTCTTGCGGTGGTTGGAGGCTGGAAAGAGACGATCTTGTACGAGATTCCGCTGCTAGCTTTGACATCGGAAGCATATTTCAAGTTCGTCGAGCGGGATTGGACGCATGATGGACAGCTGGACAAGGCGAAGGAAAAGGGGGTACAATTACTCGAGGCAGGATGTGTCTTCAGCGAGTTCGGCAGCAGACGTCGAAGAGATTACAAAACGCACGATCTTGTAATTCAAGGTCTACTGGCAGCTAGGAAAGAAGCAGAGGGCAAGGACTGGAAGGGCATATTGACAGGCACATCCAACGTCCACCTGGCTATGCGGTACGGGCTGAATCCTGTCGGAACGGTGGCTCACGAATGGTTCATGGGCATTGCTGCTGTGACGCAAGACTACGCAAATGCGAACGAGCAGGCACTGCAATACTGGACAGGCACATTTGGGCGTGGTGTGCTGGCCATTGCTCTGACAGACACCTTCGGCACTCCAACCTTCCTCCGAGCATTTTCCAAGCCCGCTCCCTCGAGTGGCCACACCTCAGATGCCGAGAAGGGCAATCCGTCTTACGCCGAGATCTTCACCGGAGTGCGACAGGACTCAGGCGACCCGCTTGAATTCATTCAATTGATGCGCAAGTTCTATGACACGCAAGGCATCAAGGAGAAGAAGACGATCGTCTTCTCCGACAGCTTAAATGTGGAGAAGGCGATTCAGTACAAGCATGCAACTGAAAAGGTGGGACTCACTGCGTCGTTTGGCGTAGGTACGTTCTTCACGAATGACTTCTGGGATACCAAGGCGAACAAGAAGAGTGTACCTTTGAACATCGTCATCAAAGTCAGCAAGGCGAACGGGAACGATGCTATCAAGCTTTCTGATGATATTGGCAAGAACATGGGCGACGATAAGCTTGTCAAGTCAGTCAAGGAGCAAGTGGGCTACGAGGATAAGTCTTGGTCAGGAGGTGATGAGGCTCATCGATGGGACAAGTGAAGAACGGATGCCGACTCTTAGGGCCGGCGAAGACGGACATCTCACTCTGGGCACTTCTTGGCAGGACAGGAGAAGGCGTAATCTATACGGACAGAGGAATGGCATGCAGTGATGCGAAAGCACCATGACACGTCGGGAGCGATATAAACGGTGAAAGCGAGGAGCGAGCGATTCGATTTGAGCGCGGGCCGATGGCTTCGTCACTCGCTTGCGGGACAAGGGAGTGTGTTTACATAAAGACGAAGAAATGAGTATAGAGAAGAGCTAGTACACTGTATGCTCTTGCGCGACGATACCAATGCAATTCTGTTGAGTACAGGCACTTCAGTCACTTCTCAATAGCGAGTCCTGTTGGGAAAACGTTCCTGCGATCGGTTTCTAACCCGCTTGCTCATTCTCTCGCGTCTGTCTGAGACCTTCACGCAGAAATTTTCAATCATACTGACCACACGATCAACTTCCTGTCGAACCCTCCCGAAACCACAATTTCCCTCTCCTTCCCTTCCTCCCCTCTCACCATCCCCGCCCACAAACACCTCACCTTACTCCCCGGCTCATGTCCGCCTTCTCGCAATGTACTAACCACTTTGCCCGTCGTCGCTTCAATCCCTCGAACTGCTCCATCATCTCCATTAACCCAAACACCACTTCCATCAGGTCTCCAAGCCACCGCAGGAGTCGAGTAAGCAGTTTGAGGAGCCATTGTCGTAGAATGGATTTGAATTGCAGCGAATTCTCGTTCTGCAATGACGAGTTGACGACGGGCTTGAGAAGCTTGGGTTTCTTGTTGTTGGCCTTGAAGGGTTCCATCTTCGGGGTTGAGGGTGAGGTTTTCGTCTAAGAGAGAAGTGCGCAGGGCAGTGGGTGCGGGTCTCTCCGGTTCGGGGTCCCAAGATGGGAAGAGGAGTCGAACAATGAGGAGTTTCATATGTGGGATCGAACTTGTGCCTACTGCGAGGAGAGTTTCGTCGGTTGGGCAGATTTCTAATGCCGAGGGGGTGAATGCTACCCAGGCGTTGGAGTGGGGTGCGAGGTTTTGTTGGCCTAGGAGGCGGGGTATGGGTGTTTCGACTGTGTAGTAGAAAATGTTGTTGGAGTCTGTTCGGCTGAGGATGAGGACTGGTTCATTGTTTGTAGGGTGGCGGGCGAAGATAATTGCTTCGGGTTTGGTTTGGAGGGGGATTGTGGCGAATGGTTCGGGGAGGGATGGAGATAGGGTGTCGTCGCTGGATGTGATGTTGTAGAGTATGACTTTGTTGTCCCAGCCCGCTGTTGCGATGATCGTCTCGTTGCGCAGATTGTTGGTGAAGGTGGCGATTTTGACGATGTACTTGTTGTGGTCGCGGCGCTGTGACATGGTCTTGCCTGATAATGTGCTAAGGTGGAGTTGACCTGACATGGATGCCGAGAGGAAGGAATTGCGGAACAATTTGCGGGTCGATAATGCAGGTGCATCGTGAATGCTGGAAAGTGAGGTCTGCAAAGTATTGTTGCTGGCGTTGAGCAGGCTTATCCTCTTGTCCGCGGTGGTCGCGAGCAGGACCTGTTGAGTGTTTCTGCGGGTCATCAGTGGGAGTGTTGTTGCATCAAATCGCGTCAACTGACCCATCGTCATCAACGAAATCCTCAACATTGGCGCTCAAAATGTTTGACGTCGATGGCAGGACATCGATCTCCTTCGCATTTGCGGGGACTGCGTAGCAAAGGACAGAGTCAGAGCGTATCTTTCACAAAACTTCGTCTGCCACTTACAAGGCTTTCTCCAGCCTGTGTTGTCATCTTCGACGCCTAACTTCTCAAACTTGACAGCAATATCGAAATTCTTCTTTTCTTCAAGTAACGTCTCCAGGTCCAAGTCGCCTCTAGTCACGTTCCCTGCATCATAAGGAAGGCCAGCCTCTGTGATGAAAGCCTCGTATGTCTGGAATCACTTAGCATCTGGTCAGCTGAGCCATTTCCGAGAGACCAGGCACTTACTTGAGTGTAGTTGTTGCTCTTGAGGTAACGAGCTACAATCAAAGCTGGGGAATCTGCGGATGGCATGTTGTCGATGCGTTGTGTTCAGTACAAGGAATTCGACTTGCTGGTCACGCTACCTGTTTGCAAGCGGCTTATCGATCCTAGATGCAAGCTAAGCCCGATTCGTTCTATGTCAGCCAAAGCTCTCTGGTACAGTATCACTCTTGGATTTGTTGATAGCCGGATAGATTTTCGTAACCTGTTTTTGTGTTGTGCACTGAACTAAGATGACTACCTTCTTGTGTAGGCGTTCCTACATTTCTCTAGACTGAGACGCTGCTTAGCTAGAATAGCGCTAATGTAGCACGAGATGGCCGCAGCAGGTCTGCCGCTACGTAGTATTGATTCTCTTGGGCAATTTCAAATGCCAAACGTCCACAAGTATCAGTCGCATGGATATCCGCGCCACGTTCAAGTAACAGTAGTATAACGTCCACGTGTCCGGCAGCCGCGGCGGCGTGCAATGGGGTTCCCAGCCCAAAGGGTTCTCGCTGGATGAAAGAATCTTCATCATTTTGGTACATAATAGCATTGATCGTGGCTCCTTTCTGTAGGAGAAATTTCAAGACAGCCGTTCGATCATCCTTCTGGCGCGACGCGGCCCAGTGCACGAGCTGCCCACGATGTACGTCACCTCCCTGCGCAAAGAGCGACTCGATGACAGGTATTGAACCCGTGTGGACAGCAATCGAGAGAGGTGTCTTGTCAATCCCACAGCGAGCATTTGGGTCCGCATTTCTGGATAAGAACCATCTGGTTAATTCTAAGTCCTCTGTGGCATAGCTACACTAGAGGTAAGCTTAGGTATGCAAAAGTAGGTGCAGTCCTGCTTACGCCATTGCCGGAGGATCGTACCACCCCAATTTGGCATTAATAGGCCATCCGTGCTCAAGTAGCAGGCTAATGACCGACCTGGACCGGGACAGCGTCGCCGCTCTCACATCTTCCGCCACAACGTGAACACCTTCGGAAAGCAGGTATGCAGCCATTTTCTCGTCCCTACGCTCGATGGCGATCTGTAAAGCGTTTCCAGGCCTTGCGAGAATCCTTGGGCTTGCATTAGTATAGCGAAGTGTGGTGAATGCTTCGAAGGCGGCGGCACGATCGCCCTGCGCAGCTGCTTCGCTGAGGTCGGCAAGGAGCTGCAGATGGTGCGGGCTCACATCATTGGTATTCGTAAAGGCGTTTCCGTCAACAGCATCGAAATCGAGTGAGTCCAGGCTGTCCATGACAGGATTCCGAGGTTACAAGATCAGACAGCGACGGGAAAGAGTAACAGTTCCATCAGCGCGAGATGAAGACTGACTAAGCAAGGCTAATTTAAGGTAAACTCGCTTAATGACGCTGGCTCCGCAGCGCTGCTCCAGGTCCAGGGCGCCTGCAAGGTGGAAGCGCCTCACAACTTGCGCTAACGTTAGGAGCATTTCATTGACTGCATAGAGAAATCGACCGCGTAGGCAGGGCCTAATCCTTCTCAAACCGCATGATGGATGCATGATTAATTGAGATAGACAGATGCCTGCTCTTCTGTCAGGCGTAGCTGTTGCGCAAGTGGTTTCTTGAGCTGCGCAACAGCAGTTCCTGCTGGAATTCCCTGCGCAACGAGACGGTCACGCGCAGCTCGTGCATGCTGGATCATGCTCGTGGCGTAGTCGTTCCACTGTTTACTGCTTTGCTGCCGGCTTTGTCGCTCGGTAGCTGGCTGCTCTGTCGCAGCCTGTGGCAGATAATTACTTGCTTTGTCTTCGGTAATTTGCAACTCCTTTGCAAGCGCCCCCCTCACCTGTGCAAGGACATCAGTTTGGTTTCCTCCTTGCGCTATCATGTGAGACATTGCGGCTCTCGCGCTCTCAATTCTCTCTGAGGCGTACGTGTTCCAGTCTTGTGTGCTCTGCTGCCCACTTGACTGGCCTTGAAGTGGTCTCTTTCCCTTCCCAGCGATCGAAGTCTGCTCCGGTCTCTCGTTTTGCTGTTCATTCTTCGATGCCGTCCTACTGCTCTCAGCAGCATTGCCTGATTCCGTCTCCCAAAGAATTTCGTTGACATACATCTGTGGCTTCTGGCCAGGAGCGCAATGGATTATCAACGACGTCTCGCCAGTCGGACGGTCTTCGGTTGCCTCTCGTACGCGATACTCTTTGTACTTGAAGGGCAGTTGAAGTCGGTCCAAGACCTTTTTGACAACATTGACCTGGTCCGGAAGCGCGACTGACCCGTTGTAAATAGCAGCCAGGACAACGCTGCCGGGTTCGAGGAACAAGCCTTTAGCGCGTCCCGTGTTGTAGATCTTTATGATCTCTTGCATGTGATCTATCACGTTCTGGTCACCGCTCCTGTTCTTCCTCGACGGGCCAATGTGAGCTAGGATACCAGCGCGCTCGGAAGTAATCGCAACAGCAGTGCATGAGTTCAGGCCTTGGGTGTACAAGTATTGTTTGCCAGAGGACCACTCAACAGATGCAACTGCATTCATCTGCACTTCTTCGGCGACTGGTCCCTTGTCGCGGACATGGCGCAGGGTGACAGTCATTTCGGCTGATTCTTGTGCTCGATGTGGGATCGGAACAGTGGTAAATACCGCTTTAGCTGGAATAGTCTCCGCACCGATTGGTTCAAGGCCAAGGTGATATTAGGGCGGCGGCGTCGGTGAGCAAGATCAAAAATGTGAGCCTCACCGAGAGTCCGTGGAGAAGAGAGAGCCCTTATACCGACTGACATCAGTCAGCGAAGACTAGACATGCTCGTTGCGACATGCCGCAGTCTAGACAGCACCGCCAATGGCAGTGAAGCTGTAGCGCCGATTTCAGATTTCCCTGGAGCCTTGCCAGCATGCGGGCGGTAGATTCATTCTTCTCGGCGGCAAGCAGATTCGTTGGGATTGGTATGTCGCGTGGTCTGAGAGACTACTGTAGCATTGTAGCATGTTCATGCATGTTGCCCCTCCGGTGTGGGCGTCGTGCCTTGTCGTGCACTGTTCACGATTTCGCGCCGCAACGCTGCTCTAGCAGTAGGGACCTATCATGTCTCTCCAATAAAAGGCCGCGGGAGGAGATTCAGGTGCCTGTAAATTCGAGCCATCGTCTAGTAGCATACTCAAGTTGTAGAACAAATTTTGTACATTTTTGCTGTTCGTGTTCCGCCGCAGTGCGCGCTAGCCGACTTCCCAGCCAACCATCTGTTTGTTTGGCGACAACTCAACTTTGGAACATATCAGTACATCGCATTTCGCATCGCCATGGAGTAGCTTGGGCATACAAAACATACTATTCAGCATGTCTAGACCCGAGGAGCATAGTTTCGAGGAGCGAAAGCGAAAGCGGCCCAGCCAGGAAAACAGCTTCGAGGAGGAAATCGCCTGGACGACAGCAAGATGTAACAGACTGCTCAGGACCATCAATTCCCGGATAGAAGCTATTCGACAATTGTTGCGACCGGATATTCGAGCACCGGAGCCAGCACGGAAGCCTCATACGAAGTCCAGGAAGCAGAAACCAGAATCTTTCACTGATCCAGCATGGTTACCCACTGGAGCGAAGAAGCCGCGGACTCGGACATATGCAGGCAGCAGAAAGGCTAAGGTCTCGCGACCAGTGCGCGGCACGGAAGCGAACGGCAATGGGAGAGGCCATAGAATATCTCTTCCGAGTCCATTTTTGAAGCGTGTCCAGAACTTTGACGGCAACCGCATTCCTTCCAGTCCCCTGCAAGCAGACATACCGGACCAGACTCGACAGCGGAAATCTTTCAGACTGCCAGTCAAAATAGATGATCCTGTGGAGAAAGCCGAAGCTGCCCTACGTACTGCTTTCCAATCATTTCTGAGCATCACACGGGCACCGGAGCCAGTGCCCAGGCAGGGAGCAGGAAGTCTCTTGCAGACTTGTCTCCGCAAGGTGCCAGAATACATAGAATCCCAGGATGAGGCAGCTGGAGAAGATACGCGAAGTGCTACTCTGGAAGAAGTGTGGTCATTCTTTGATGAACTGCTCGAGATCAAGGGGTCCAGCTGGCAAGGTCTCCGCGAAGTCGTGCGAAGTCAAGGCCTGAATGCTATTCGATGGGCTATCTTCGATGGAGTGTTGAGCGATGATTGTGTGGAACATCTCGTGAATGATTGCACTCGGCAAGGAGCACATGCGGAGGTCGAAGCATTGCTGGATGATTTTTACCAACGAAGTGAGGTCGTGACGCCTATCAAGATCTCTCTCGTGTGTGGTATGGGCCATACAAAGAGCATGCGGTTTCGCATCTGGGGCCGGTACATTGAGCAAGTCCCTGGCAGAGCTCTGGCGCTGATGATTGCACATCCTGGCCTGTGGAACACAATCCTCCATTCGATTGTTGAAGGAGCACAAGACGACGCACTCAAATTCCTTCAAGTGTGCACCGAAAATCATGCTTGGAGCCTCAGCATATCACACTCGCATGATGCCAAGAGCGATCACATGATGAAGAATCTGGATGAAGTTGCCACCAAACTATTGGTCATAGCAATATCGAGTCTGGAATTGAATGGGAAAGAACATGGGCAGCTTCTGCGCGATGACATGTATCGACTTGCCGTGAGCCTCATACTTCGGGGAGATGCTCGGACAGTAAGATTGGGCACTTCTTTCATATTGGGATCTATCGTTCTGACTGCGATCAGTCACGGGCTCCAGCATGGAACTGGCGATCATGCTCTGCTTAAGCTCTATGATCATCCGACACGAGACTTCACCCACAAACGCAAATTGGTGAGGCGCGAACAGGAATTTGCTGCCTTGGTCGCCGCAGATCTTGTCTCTCTACAAGTGAATGAAGGACTCAATGTTGTAGATGCAGTCCTCCTTCACATAAGAAAATACAGTGAACAGCACCCTCACACAGCTACAACTGCTGTACTTCGCCAGATAGCGATGGAACTCCTCACAGGCCTCCGTATCGAGAATGAGAACGTGGACAACGACCTCGATCATAGCATGTACACGTACATGACGCGAGAGAGACGACAGCCAGACTCACTGCAAACACCACGAGCAAAATCGCCGCGCTTCGGATGGGATGGCAATCTCTGCGACTGGGTCTGGAGAACTCCGTTCACTCAGCAGGAGGAGGAATGCGTCGTCCAAAGTCCTGGACTCGAAGCTTTGTTGTGCAGGGGAAAGGAAAATCTTGAGCCGGAAACTCCTGATGTGCTGGCGAAATCTGTCGTCAAAGTCGATCGTCCACGAGTAGCATTCGTGCCGATCGATCAACCGGACCGCTCGCCTCTGAGTAGTCGTTCGAGGACGGGTAGTCCGCAGGTTATTGTCGCGAGACCTGTCAAGCGGAGGAAGTCGGGTAGGCTGGAGCGGAAGAGGAGTGAAGTTATGCAGGAGGATTGGAGTGAGGATGAGTTAGCTGTCTAGCCGGAGTAGATATTCGACTTGGACTGTCGGATTCACTGGATACTTGGATGTTCGCGTCGAGATTACCGTCGTGTGCTGTTACTATGATGTGCCCCAGAGATTGTTGAAATGTATGAGCTAGACTTTCTTGACGGGTTGTGTCGGACGCGAAGAAATACAAATCCGGTGCCTGCACATTAAGGTATAAAACTCCATGCTCCACGCTATGATGCTATTTGTGTTCGATCAGTACCAACAATTCTGTGAGTGGTGTGTTTGGCCTTCACATGTATTGAGGTGGAGATCAATCCCGAAGAACGAACCCTGCTTTCACACGTTCTTCCGTGCATGCGCCAACACTGCCGACTCCCCCGTCCCAAGTCCATCAGTAGACTGCACATGGCTTTCCCCACGCTTTCTTATCTGGTTTCTGCTCTGCGTACTCTGCTAGCACTCAAATCCACAACCCCCTCCTCCCCTCCAACTCATCCGCCTGCTTCCTCAACGCCTCAACCCGAAACGCCTTCATCGCATTCTGAATCCTCTCCCTCCTCTCCTCATCCTTCAACAGCTTCCCCTTCGCACTCAGACTCCCCGTCAAAAGTCCCGTCTCACCTCCAAGAAAAATCCCACCAAGCCCAAGGAACCCGAACGTCGCGAAATCGCCTAATCGGCTGGGTTTTACGAGAGGTGTGAGATCTGGTAGAGTCTCTTCTCGTCCATCAGCGAAGCGGACGTGGGTTGGCTTTTCGGTGGTTTTGAAGGCGCGGAAGAGGCGAGCGCGGGAGGAGCGGATGCGGTAGGCTAGGGCGAGGGAGAGGGTTAGGCCTATGGCTGAGCCGATGGAGGTGTAGAGGGATACGGTGGAGGCGGCGGATTTGATTGCTTCGCGGTCGGAGGAGGTGAGGCTTGAGGGAGAAGGATGTTAGGTTCGGTGTTGAGTAGGTTTGGTGGGAGCTTCGGGAGGAGGTATCTTACTCGTGTTGGTAGTGCTTTTCTGCGAGCTCATTGAGGTCTGGTCCAAGACCTTTGCGGAAGAGAGCTATTGAGTCGGAAGACATCTTTTCTGGTTTTGTTCTTCGTATTCTTTCGCTCTGTCTTCACTCTTTCCGGCAATCTGGTCGCGTGCTCGGGTATGTCCTCTGTGGACGAACACCGCCTTCCTGCTCGCGTGCTCTTGTATACTCCAGATTATCAAGCGAGGCAATAGCAATCAACGTATCTTCGTCCGAGAGCAAACAACAAATTTGAGAAGAAAGATTCAGCACGAGAGACAGGACCTACCAGTGCGTCTCTCGGTACGTAACGCAATGCCATGGCACATGCACAGCCAGCTTCCTACTAGCTCATTCTCATCGTCATGGGAGTGCCGAGAGCTACCTGTGCTACGGAGGTACCTACCCCAACTCTATGTCTCCGCAACTCACCTCGCTTATTCCCGTCACTGCCAAAACACATATCACCGAAGCACATATTTGCATGAATGAAGGATAGTTAAAACAAGAATCATCAGCACATATGACATACGCATTGGAGCATATCCCTTCAACTCATGCATTCCAAGTCAAGAATCTATCCCACAATCGTGAGTGTCTCGTTGTCGGACCCCGCATGCCCGCTTAACCAAGAACCGCTGCTTTCCGATCCGTGCACAAGCCAGATAGAGATCTTACCACAACCTGTCGTGCCATACACCTCCGTCTTCGCCCGACTCTTGAGCAGTCGGGTGCATGTCTCGGCATGCGATATGTCTTGGAAGAAATTGCTCGGAAGCCTCCAGGAAGAACTATCATGCGAGCGAAGAAGGGCGAGGGTATTGGTGGCAGAATGAGCGTTGCTTAGCTTCAGCGTATGCTGGCATGCGCTGCGGAGTGTGTCTCGTAGGAGGTATGTGCTTGTTGCTCCTCGGTTCGCAGACAGGTCAGGCCAGGAACATACCCGTAGCCGACATCAGGCCTGCTTGAGTTGGCCATTTCAGCCTTCTGCATTGCACAACACTGTTCCAAGCTATTCTGTGGCCACCGTGAGATACACCTGCTCTCAAGAATGGACGCGTACGACGAATCGCGGGAACAGAACCCCAGTATGAGGAACCGCGTAACGCAAGTAATACCTCAAGCAATACCGAAGGCAAAAGACCATAAACAAGCATAGCGAAAAGGAATGAGACAGAAAGACGGCAGACACGATGGTTTCGAGCCAACACCAGAACTACCTACACTGAGAGTAGTGCAACTCTGATTCGAGGCTAATCTTCCAAACGAATCGTCTCGAGAACGGCCGGCCCCTTCGACACCTGTATGTCGTCTACTCATACAGCTCCTCCTTCTTGATCTCAACGTCTGCATCCTGAGATGGCTCCTCCTTCTTGACTCTGACCCTGGACGGCTTGTCTTCCTTCTCCATCTCAGCTCCGGGGTCCATCTGAGACAGTCGGCGCTTCAGTGGGCGGGAACGAGCTGAAGGTCGCCCATCGCCAGCAGAGGTTTCTTGTTGCGGTGCTGAAGACTGTACCCACTGAGCCTTGGAACTGTCAGGCGCGGTGGAATCCTTCATCGTCCTCTTGTTGGAGCGGACGGGAGTCTGCTCCTCCTCAGAAGAGCTTGATGACGTTGCTTCTTCTGTCGTCGGCGATGAGGGCGATGAAGAAGAGGTTGTGGAGGAATCGCCATCTTCAGTGTCCTGCTCGGCCTCATACCACTGGTGATGCACAGTCTGGGCTGCCAAGTATGGCTGAGTGTAGTGGCCTGGCATTGAGGGCGGCTGGTAGATGTAACCGCCATGTCTATTGCCATAGTATGGGCCGTGGATCGGGTGTGGTGGACCGTAAGAACCGGGAATGCCATTTCCATAGCCAGCGCGACCGGGCCTGTACGATGGAGCATTCGGGTAAGATGATCCCCTCACATATCCACGACCATTTCCATATCCACGGCCTCTTGAGTATCCGCGACCTCTTGAGTATCCACGACCACTCCCGTATGAAGGACCAGGCGCATAGCAAGGATCTGGCGTGTATGATGAACCTGGCGCATAGGGCGTGTAGGAAGCGCCCGGCACATATGAAGGACCCGGGGCATACGAAGGACCGCCCATGTAAGAAGGACCAGTCCTGTAGGAGGAGTCGTGGGTGTAGTACGACGTGGGCGTGCTATATGGACCGGGCATGCTGTAAGAGCCGGGCGTGTAACGCGAACGAACTGTCGCAGGTATCGGTGCCGGCGATGGGTAGCCGAAGCTGAAGTCGAAATTCGGGTTGCCTGGAGCATTTGGAGGAGGCGTCATGCCAGTAGAGTGGGCAATACCGTATGGCACCGGGGCGTCCGACATCTCCGTGCTGTTATCCTCGTAATTCGGAGGCACTGCAAGATATCTGAAGGGGTCATGCACCAGCTCTGGTGGTAGCAACGGAGCTGGGCCATTCGGCAGCAAGCCATAACCTGGTGGCGGCAGGTTCGGTTGCTTTCTAGCCTTCGGTTGACGCAGCTTCGAATCCGGAGCATTGTATGCCTGATCGTAGAGGTGGTACTCGAAAGCCTTGGTGCTTGGCTTGCACTGCGAATGCGGTGTACCATGGTAAACGCAGTTGGAACATCTGCCCTGGGACATGTCGCACTATTGCTAGACGGTCAGGCTGGAGTGTGGACCATGGGCAAGCAAGTGTGAAAGACTCACGTCACCCGCGACTCGCTTCTCGTTGCATAGAGAGCAGCTCTGGCCGGCTCCGATGGATTTGACTTCGCCGATTGTCATATACCGGCCTGGTGGAGCGGCGGCAATGAAGCCGTTCATGGCGGCAGCTGGCACGTTGCTGACGTGGACGCGTTGTCGACTTTCGCATGTGGTCGAGGTTGATGCTGTCAGTGCGTGGAAGGAAGGAAGGCAATGTCCCTGCCTGTACTGCGCGGCCGCTGCAACTAGCGGCGCGCTTCACTTCACCCGTTGATAGAGGTCGCCCGCAGCTGCCCTCATACTTCCCAACAGCTCGATACTTCACAAGACTATCCAGTGCAAAGGCGTCGTCATCAGCCTTTCGACGAAACGCATACCGATTCAACATAGGAGTGACGCCGCCATGACCAAGCACTCTGGACATGGCCAATGACTTGGTGGCAAACATACGGACATCCACTTCACCACGTGCTGTTGACCGGGCGCGTGCATCTAGGGAGATCCTGCTCTTGGTTGTACAGTATGTCCCAGAGCAGTGAAGCAGCTACAAGTTGCGGCAAGGCTGAAGCTACACAGCTGATTCCTCGGCGATCCTTGCAGCTCGGCTTGCCGCTCGCGTGTTCGGGTGTGGCGCATCTCAGCCTTGTCCGAACAACTCACCCCACCTCTTCATTTGCTCCTCCGGCTCCACTCTACCTACTTCCGCCACGTCGAAATCCGGATGGGATCGAGCGATGATGCATCTCCTGAGCTTGGACGAGTATGGCGAGCTTTCGCTGGGAACATACGACGAAGATAAATGTCCACCGTATGCTATCCTATCCCATACCTGGTACGCCGACGAGGACGAAGTCACGTACAATGATGTGATCAATGGCCGGGGCAAGAACAAACCTGGGCGCGATAAGATCATGTTCTGCGGCGAGCAAGCCCAGAAGGATGATTTGAGGCACTTCTGGGTGGACTCCTGCTGCATCGACAAAACCAGTTCAGCAGAACTCAGCGAGTCCCTCAACTGCATGTTTCGCTGGTACCGGAACTCGCGAAAATGCTATGTATACCTGTCCGACGTGGCAATGATGCAAGGCGATAGTCACCCACCAACTTTATACAGCTGGGAGGCTACCTTTCAGCAGTGCCGATGGTTTACTCGTGGCTGTAATGCTTACCCGAAGTGGGGGAAATGGATATATCCACTAACCTTTTCGATGTGTAGGGACTTTGCAAGAACTGCTCGCTCCTAAAGTTGTGGAGTTCTGGTCCAGAGACTGATACATGCTCGGGGACAAGACCACGTTGTCAAATTTGATACACAAAAGAACTGGTATACCACTACCCGCCCTCGGGGGAGCACCGATCTCTAATTTCTCTATGGACGAAAGGTTCCGTTGGGCAGCATCACGAAAGACCAAAAGGATAGAAGATAAAGCTTATTGTCTGCTGGGACTTTTTGAAGTGTATATTCCACCCATCTACGGCGAGGGAGGTCACGCGTTTGAGAGACTCAAAACTGCGATCCGCCAGAAGCTGCGATGCCTTGCGAAGGATTCGAGCACTGCTGATCAGAATGTCAATGAGACGTTGAGCAAGCATCGTCAAACCGTGCTGGACTCCCTGCGCTTTCAGGAGCTGGGCGCACGTCAAGCCATTCTAAAGGATGCCCACAAGAGTACCTGCGAGTGGATTCTGGAGCATCCGGAATATGCCAAATGGAGCCACAGCGATTGTGGGGCATTTTGGATAGTGGGCAAACCGGGCGCTGGCAAGTCAACCCTGATGAAGTTTATATATTCAAAGGCCGACAAGGCGAAATCTGAACACGAGTTTGTATTCGGCTTCTTCTTCAATGCTCGAGGCAACACACTCGAGAGAACGACGAATGGACTGTATCAAGCATTGGCATTCGAGCTTTTGAGTGCCTTCCCCAAGCTGCAGAATGCCCTCGACGGCAAGAGATCTCCCACTGAATGGACCTTACACTCTTTGAAACACCTTCTGTCTAGGATTATACAAAGAATGGGGCCACGCACCCTCAAATTTTTCATTGACGCCCTCGACGAGTGTGACGAGCAAGAAATCAAAGACATGGTCGAACACATGGAAGAGATTGAGGATGATGTCTCGTTAGGCGGTGGTATGCTCTCAATATGTTTCGCTAGTCGCCACTACCCAAGCATTACAATACGTAACGGCGTTCGCCTAAACTTGGACCAGGAAACCGGACACATGAACGACTTGAACATTTACATTGGGCAGCGGCTACAGATGAAGGGAGAAGGCACTCTAGTGCATAAGATCTGTGAAGAAGTGCGAAGAAAATCAAACGGAGTCTTTCTATGGACCGTGCTGGTCGTCGATATTCTCAATAAAGAGATTCGTCGAGGTCGCATGCGCTACATAAAATCAAAGTTGGACGAGATTCCTAGCGGACTCAGTGCCCTGTTCCTGGAGACTTTGGTACGAGACAAGGACGAGATGGAAGAGTTCCACCTCTGCATTCAATGGATCCTATTTGCTCAGAGGCCCCTTCGAATTGACGAGTTCTATTTCGCAATGGATTCCGGGATGCAGAACCACTCATCGGGCGGCGCCGTATGGCAACCAGAGCCTTGGGACCGCGAGAGCGTCACGATAGACCAGATCAAGCGATATGTCCAGACTTCCTCCAAGGGCCTTGCAGAGGTTGTGCCACCAATTCTTCCATGGCGCATGGAGGAGGCTACCGTACAATTCATTCATGAATCTGTCCGAGATTTCTTCCTCAGAGACGGGCATCTTGCGGATCTACTATCGATTTCCCGTGATCAGGCGCGAACTCATAGCCACGAGAAGCTGAAGAATTGTTGTTTGAATTATCTTGCAGCAGACACGTCCGCTGTCAGGGGTGACCATGGTCTTGACCAATATCCTTTCCTGCGCTATGCCAGCATCAACATATTGTACCATGCGAATGAAGCTGCTGACGAGGTGGCGCAAGACCGGCTCTTCGATATGTATCCCAATGAGCATTACATCGACTTTGCCTGGCCCCAGTGGCTCGCGGACGGAGACTCTATGATCCCTGGATCAGCATATCCGCACACATCTAACGTGACTATACTATATCTAGCAGCCGAGCGCAACCTAGTACGGCTTATCGCAATTGCCATAGAGAAAGGATATGATATATGGCACCAGCTCCAACGCGAAGAGTATCAGTATGCCGTCCTTGTCGCCTTCGTCCATGGCCATCGAGATGCCCTGGCGGTCTTGCTGGGCGATCTTCCAGTGGCCTCGGTGGAGGATATAGCCCGGGATCCCGGATTCGGCAAAATGGACCACAAGTATGATTTTGATGACATCCATCGGGGAGTCTTGGTCTGGGCTTCGGAGCGCGGTAACTGGGCACTCGCCGAAAATCTTACCCGAGTAAATGCTCCGAGCAGTATTCTGCTGGGCGACCGCTGGACCGGTATTCGCGGGAAACATGCTATTACTATGTCTTCATACATTGGCAGACTGCAAGTACTGGAGTACTTGCTTGAAAATGTCCCCTGGTTCCACGCCGGCGATGCTTTGATCGCCGCCGTGTGCCAAGATCAAACTGCAGTCGTACAACGCATCCTCGGCCATTGTCACGATCTCAGCGGGAGAGATTTATCTACCAGGAAGATTATATATTATGACTTTCCTGCGTCGTACGGTCGTTCTGTTACCAAAGAATTGAAGGGCACGCTGCTTGCAGGCCTTCGTTTACGTGACCGTGGATGTCGCGACATGAACCCCTGGGAGGACTACACTATCCGCGCCCTGCAACTGGCCATTATCAAGGGCCATCTGCAGGTTGTTCAGCTACTTATCGATCACGGCGTTAACGTTAACTCCAACTGCCGACCAAAATGCTATTCGCTCCAAATCGCTTCGGCCCTGAGGAACACAGCCATAGTTAGACTACTGCTCGACAGCGGCGCTGACATCACAGGCCGAAGTCCGCCCTATGGAAGTGCTCTGCAAGCTGCTTCTGCTACTGGCCAGACAGACACTGTACATCTGCTTCTCGAAAGATGCGCAGATGTGAACGCCACAAGTGCAGAATTTCAGCCCGCTCTTCATTTTGCAGCTTCCGGCGGCCACACAAGAGTCGTGCACGCACTGCTGGATGCAGGTGCAAATATCAATGCCATAAGCCGTAAATCCCACACGACTGCTCTCCACGTGGCTTCTGACTTGGGACACAGAGATGTCGTGCAGACACTACTAGATCGAGGTGCAGATGCGTACGGCGACGAAGAAGTTGGGTGTGCACTTTGGGCTGCCTCTAAGCGAGGCAACACTGCCATTGTAAAACTGCTGCTCGAACGTGGCGACTGTGGGAACGCTACGGCTCCGCAGGATTGGTTATGGCAACATGCTCTCTCCATTGCCGCCAGCTCAGGCCATAGGGACGCGATAGTCTTACTGCTCGATCGAGGTGCGGATGTCAACGCCTACTGTAAAGACGACGGTCTGGCTCTTCATGCTGCTTGTTCGAGTGGCAGTTACAAGACCGTAAAATTGCTACTAGATCGAGGTGCAGACGTCAACGCCTATAACGAAGACGGCGGAACGGCTCTTCACGCTGCTTGTTCGCGAGGCATTTACGAGGTCGTGAAATTACTGCTAGATCGTGGCGCGAACATAAACAACGACAGCGGACCAAAGAATTCTCTCCAAACTGCGTGTACATCATCTCTGGACAACGTCGCAGTAGTGCATCTGCTGATGAGTCGCGGTGCCCGAGGCAATTATCAAAGATGTCTCGTTGAAGTTTCTCGATCAGACCACATGATGAATGTACAGCTTCTCCTGAGCCTTGGTGGGCTCATTCCTGCCCAATGGCTTCGCGAAGCTCTGGAAGCTGCCCCACCGGATCACTCCAAGTTGATGCCGTTGGTGCGGACAACGCCGTCATTGAACGAAATTCTCTTCGAAGCGTTGCGAAATACCAAATCGGCAAAGCAAGACTCGTCTGCGTCGAATGGTGTAGAGGAACGCTCGATGAGCAATTTCGATTACATAGCGCCAACGAACTAACCGTAACTTCAGAAGTAGTTGGGCTACCCACGGTTGCATTGAAGAGTCAGATAGCTTGTTGCGTGGCTGTTGGAGACTCAACCTGTACGCAGAAGCCAACCTCGAAACCGAAAGGTGAAGTGGAGCCAGTACGGCTGGAAACGTTATCAGGGATAGTTTTACATGGGCCCGTGTTGGCATCTGCGGTCTTCTTCAGCACCAAACGAGCCCGAAAATACTCTCTGCATCTTGGAGTGAGGAATCAGCGAACGTTCGCCGAAGATCAAAAAGCATGTAGACCCCTGAAGCTCAGCTTCCGCCCACTGACACCACCAATATGAGCCATGCTACGAGCCAAACCATCTCCTCCACCCCTACTCATGCTACCCACTTTATCCCTAGGTCCTTCGTCTCAGTAGGGCTCATAGAATCGGGCCCTATGCCCTACATCAATTTAGACTTTATCACGAAGGACATATGCATGAGCACCCTCTAGTTGCCGACTAGCATCAGCCAACCACACGGACAAAAGTCTATGATTAGTGATATTCCAGAAGAAGGGAAGGTCCGAAGAGCATTGTTCGGCAGTCGTCTGCTTCATGCATGGATCGAAAGAGATCTGATGCGTGAATGCCAAGATTCTTCCTTGAGTCGCAATGGAGCAGATCCTCTGTTCAGCTTGTCTGTCTCGGTGAGCGAAAACATCCTGTGCCCTGCTCAGTGTTAGCCGCATGAGCTTCTCTGCAGAGAAACTTCTTGTCCGATGTTATTGGTCTTCGAAATGCGGCAGCTAATGGCAGTTAGCATCTTCGCTGAGCGAAACATCACGTGCGAAGAGGAGAAAACGAGGACAGGAACAGAGTAGATGTTTGCCCAATCAGAGCTTCGTGCTAATCCACCAAGCACTTCCTCATACCATATAGCTGTCTTCCCCCGCTTTATATCCCAAGTCATCTATTGATACGCATGCCAAGAGCCCCTCTAAATCTCCTTAACGCGCATCATTTTCCTCTCGCCTCCAATTTCCGTTTCCACCATTTCGATCCCACTCAAGCTCGGGTACCGTTTACTAAAGCTGTCTACATCATTCGGTGACGTAGGAGAAAGCTCTATCAGATTCGAAGGTGCTTGCGCGTTGGACTGCAGTTGAGGCGCACTGCTGCCAGCCGGAGGATAATCCGGTACGCCTTCAAGGTCTTTCGCGAGAAGAGCTGCGAGGCCGCTAGGTTTACTTGGTGGCGTCTTTTCCTGCTCTGGAGATTGTGGAGGTGGCCATTGCACTGGTCCCCCGGTTCGAAGCGCTTTCGGTTTGGGAGGTGCGTTGGGTCTCGACACGACTCTCTGGAGTGGAGCTTGCTCTGCGGGTGCTGAAGCTGGCGGAGGAGTGTAGCTCGGAGTTGGAACCTCGGGTAGCTGTTGCCTCGTCTTTGGGTAAGGATTGTTTGATGTGTTCGGATTGACGCCCGTCGGCTTCTGCGATATGATGGGAGGCTTGAAGCCGCTCTGCAGTGGCTGCTGTACTTGAGCAGGCCGTGGCGGTTGAGGTGGCGGGTCGGACTCAGTATACCGCCCGTATCCTTCAGCTGTTCGTCGCGGAGCAGGTGATTGTCGTCCATCATCGAGCAAGGACTGAACCCTTTGCTGGATAGTGCTCGCTCGGGTCGGTGCTGGTGCGCCGCTTGGCTGCGCCGCAACGCGAGACCTGTACTCCTCTGCAGCTGCAGCTACGCGATTCTCTTCCTCGATCAGCCTCCTGCGTTCAAGCTCTCGTCTGACTTCAGGCGGCAACTCTTCCTCCTCCTCGTGATCCGAGTGTCGACTTGGCGTAGCCTCAGAGCCAGTGATCGGAGACAAGAGCACTGGCTCCTGTTCACGTTCTCGTGCTTCAGGTGTCATGGGACCCTGCTTTTCACTACTCTCGAAGCGCTTGAATGCATCGCCGAAACGGCCAGCAAACATGTTCTTGGCATTGCTGCCGATCTGCCCAAGACTAGACTTCTTCTTGTGATGCCCTTTCGATGATTTTTCGCTCTGCTCAGTGTTGCGCAGGTAATCCATGTCATCATTAATGACTGCTTCCTCCGTCTCAGGCTCGCGCGTCTGCGAAGGCTGTCGACTGTGCCGTCTAATCTCCAAGGAAGGCCGTTTGCGCTGCTGCTCTTGCTCCTTTAAGAAATCCATGTTGGAGCTCACATACATGCTCGAAGGCCTCGATCTGTTGCTCAAAGACTTGGTGCGGCTGATATCATTAGCTTGTGCGAGGTCCTGCGAAGACGGTCGGCCGCCTTCCAGTGATGGCCGAGAAGAGTGTGCGTGATCCGCCTGCACGGTGGCTGTTTGTGATTTTGAACGATGCACTTCTAGCAGTGCTGGACGCTGAGTAGGTGGCAGGCTTGGCTTCAAGGAAGCAGCCACAGCTTGGGCATCTTCTGATGCTCGAGGCTGGCTCGCTGGTCGACTGCTCTCTGGTACTCGCCAGATTGGCCGCGAATTGACATCAGGCATCTTCTTCATAGCAGTAGGTGGAGGGGATGTTCCCACAGCTGTAGACTTGTATGGAGATATATTGCGCATCGGCATTGGATGTTGCAGCGGAGGAGATCGAAGATCGCTCGTTGGGGGCTTGTTCGATGTCCGAACTGGCGAAGGTCTTCGTGTGTTTGTAGCAGAAGTCGCGGGCCGAGCAGCTTGAGTCTTCGATTGCGCTGGCTTCTCTTTTGCACCGAAAACCTCGTCCGCCAATGCATTCGTCACTCTCTCGCTCAGATTGTTCTGAGCTGGCCTCGCGGATGATGTTGTTGTAGGAGGAGATGTGGGTGGGAAGGCAAATTTGCCTCCGTCGTGAGCGATCGCAAACTCGTCCAGACTGGGGAACCGCTTCGACAGCTCGTCCACAGCACCCGCTCGCTCGTCGTAGTTCTTCGAATCCAGTGCCGCAAATGGGTCTCCTTGTGCCGGCCTCGCAGCTGCAGATGCGGTAGAAGCCACAGCCGCAGGTCCTTGCTGAGCGGGCGCAGTCGGCCTGCCTCTTCGCATCGGAGTGATATCTGGCAACTGCTGTACTTGAACCTGCGGCGCCGCTTTCGAGAGCCCAACTGCAGCATTCGACACGGCATCAGGAGATGGCAAAGCCTCATTCCTTCGCACCTCCGACTGTGTCCGATTCGCATAAATATCCTGAACCGGCACCGGCACACCACGCATACTGCAAACCTCCTTCAGCACCTGATAAATATTCGGCCGATTCTTCGGATCCTCCTTCAACATCGAACTAATCAGCTTCTTCAACCTTTCTGAGAACTGCGGATGCGCTGGGAACTTGAAGCTCGCATTCAAGATAGCCATCTGCCCCACCGCCTCAAAAGGCGTCGTGTAGTAGCATAGCTTGTATAACAGCACACCCAGCGCCCAAATATCCGCCTTTTCGTCGATTGGTTGTTTCCTCCACACATCAATCATTTCCGGACTTCGATATTGCATTGTAGTGTGTTTTTGTACATCCTCCTCAATTAACCTCCCCTCCTCCGCTGTCCTTGCCGCAGGTCTTGGAGGAGCTGTACTTCCAAAATCACACAGCTTGTAGACCGGCGTCCCGCTCGGCGATCTTGAAATAAGAACATTCTCCACTTTCAAATCGCGGTGTAGTAAAGGCGGTTTCAGATAATGCATACAAGCCAACCCCTCAGCGCAGTCGCCAAAGATTTTGAGGATCTCGGGTTCTGTGAGACGATGTTGCAATCTCGTGTTCATGAAATCAATCAATCCGCCTCCTTTGCAGTACTCCATAAGTAGGAAAACTTCGTAACCTCCTCCGGGCAGCTGACTAGCATGACTATCGATGTATGTGACAATGTGCTTGTGTCCTTTAAGCTTCTTCATAGTTTCGACTTCGGTGCGCATGTTGGCCAAGTGCTCTTTGTCGGGCACAGCGACACGCTTAAGCACGGCGATTTCATGCTTGTTGTTATCTCGTGGGATTCGGACGACGTAGACGTGGGCGAAGCCGCCTTCGGAGAGGTATTTCTCAATGTAGACTTTGTGGCTGCCGACGGTAACTTTGGTATTGGGGAGGAAGGTGCCCGGTGGTTGGCTCGACATGGTTGCAGTCGAGGCACTACGTGGAGCAGTGGTGGGAGGTGAGAGGTGCTCGAGCTAGGGAGAGGATGCGGGAGTCGGTGTCGAGGCGGCGTCGTAGCTCATGGGAAGGGCGGTGGGTTGGCGTGTGATGCTAGCGACATGGCATGGCGAGGATGATGGTCGGTGTCGGGACACGCAGAGACCTTCAGGCACGCATGATTTGGTACGAGAGCAGCAGATGTCTTGTTCGTTCGGTCAGTCCAATGCCCAGGCGCGTGCCTTGGCCGTCAATCCTGGCCTGACGTCTGTCAAGTCCACCCTGTGGCGCAGCGCCGTCTCGCTCTACGACGCTCTTCCGACATCCACCCCAAGGCACCGAACTATTTTCATCCCACTACTGGACAACTAGCATTTCTAGGCTCCCATTCTCACTGCGCATTTCCATATTCTCCGATCAGGCAGAGACGATACACGACCAGAACCAAATAGGCAGCCTGACGACATCACATGCGAACACGTAGCACCAAGTACATCATCCCACACACTGCAAGCCCATCTGCGAACTGCGGTTGAGAAAAACGGCCTCGTAGCGTCCATCTAAAATTTCCATCACAAGAGGCACAAGAATCAATGTCGAGAAGTACTCAATCATTCATGTACTCATGCTTCCCAAGGTTGAAAGAGAGCTCTATTCTTCTATACGTCTATCTCTATCGCGAGATGGCGAGGGCGGGTATCATTTCGCGAAATGCCCTCGTTGCCACCTCCCCTCTATCATGATACTGTGCTTTATCATTGTCATGCAAGGAACGCCGTCGAACTCTCTGGTTCGTGCGACATAACAATCATTTCAAAAGCGCCTCAAGCGCTCATCGCATCCGCATTCAACAATTTTGATTCTCTCACTCGTACTGCACAAGTCTCATGCTCACGCCATGCCACCCTCTCTCATCGTAGGACCGGACTTCTCGTCGTCCTTGTCGGCCTTGAAGTCGCTGCCACTGCCAGTCTCCTCGTCCGAGTCGATGGCGCCATATTCGCGTGCCTTCTGGTCGATCTCCTCTTGGGTCATGCGCGGCAATTGCTTAGCAGCGGTGACATAGTTGATCTTTTCCGTGTAGCCCTTGGCGAAGATGAGGTCAATCTCCTCCAGTGTGCGCTGGCTGGTCTCTGGGTAGAAGAAGTAGATGATCGGGAAGAAGATGGCGTTCAGCACGGCGAAGAAGAGGTACGTTCCCCATCCGATGGAGTCAATGAGCACAGGCGTGATCATGACAATGAAGAAGTTCCTGGAAGATGAAATGTCAGCTGGAGTAATCCGAAGCATTGCTCATCTCGACTTACCAGAGCCAGTTGGAGACCGTGGAGACAGCGTTAGCCTTTGCGCGAGTCTTCAGAGGGTTGATCTCAGCTGGGTACAGCCATGGCAGAGGCAACCAGGTGGCACCAAAGAAGGCAATGTATGTGAAGAGACCGACAGCTGCACCCTTGGCAGCTTCCTCAGTGTCAGGAATCAGAGCTCCGAAGGCAATAACCATGGACAAGCACTGTCCAACAGTTCCGATCAAGAACAATTTTCGGCGTCCGATACGCTCGACAGCGAACCACGATGTGGTGGCAAAGATCGAGTAGACAACCATGTTGATACCACCAAGCAAAAGAGCCAAGTTGTGGGAGACACCAATGGCATCCTGGAACAGAATCGGGAAGTAGTAGATGACGGCGTTGCAACCAGACAGCTGCTGCATCATCTGCGACGAAGCTCCGAGCAAGAGACGACGGAAGTGCTGAGTCTTTCCATTGGTGAAGAGTGCCGAGATTGGTGTGACACCTCCCTTATGGCCAGCAGCGCGGATGGAGTCCAAGATGACAGACATGTGAGTGCGGACCTCAACGCTGTCGCGTGATTGTCCATCCAGCGCGGCAAGTACAGTAGCGGCTTCTTCTTGGCGGTCATGAGTGAGTAACCAGCGAGGAGATTCCGGAAGGCGCAGCATGAGGACGATAACGATGAAAGCGAAGACGCATTGGAATGCGATAGGGAATCGCCAAACCATGTCATCAGGGCCGTAAAGACATCCGTAGTCAATCCAGTAGGCAATAAGCGTGCCGATGGCAACGTTACCGCCCTCAATACAGATCAGCTTGCCGCGGTTGTGTGATTTACTGCATTCGGCCTGGTATGTCGGGACGGTCGAGGTATTGATTCCGTTGCCAATCTGTTTGCATTGAGTCAGTCCAGTTCTCCGTCGCAAAGCTCTTCGTCGTGGGAGCAAGATCGCAACAACATACCCCTGTAATGCATCTTCCAATAATGAATTGCGCAGTAGCACCACTGTTCGGAGGGACACAAGCAAGCTGGATGATGACACCAACGATCATAACCGATGCGCCCAGGAAGATGGAGTTTCGTCGTCCAAGTTTGTCACCAAAAGTCAGGATAAAGCAGGCACCGAGGAAGCAGCCGACAGCGTAGATCGAGACGACGAAACCTTCGTAGGTGGAATCACCTTCGACCTCGGGGAAATCACCAGTGAAAGCGGGAGAAGAGATGATACCGGACATGACACCTTGGTCTGAAGAAGTCAGAATGTCAGTCTGTGCGCCATTGTGGTACCGGGCATCTGGAACGTACCATAACCGAACAGCAAAAAGTCAGTGGTTGCGACAGCTGTGATCAGCATGCCCAGAGCACGTCCATTTGTGCCCCAGTACGAGGGCACACCGCCCTCGTTGATGGTGACCTTCATGATAGATCCAGTCTAGCCCTGCTACTCAGATTCGAGAAGGGGGTTGGTCCAGCCAGCCAGCAGTCACCCACCAGTCAGTAAGACAGGAATGGGGGAGAAGATCCAGAATGAAGCTAGAGGAGAAAAGGTAAGGCAGAACGTGCCATGGGGAAGAGCGAAAGCCCTGACATATATATGTCCCACACCACTACCGGTCGTCCTCTGTGGTCGGAAGGATCATGGGGACCTTTTCGTTGACTGGACTAAAGGGAAAGAGTTCCGGCACCAGTGTCTGGCACGAGATAGGCCCGAGCCAAGAGACTGTGAATGCCAATGTTTAATTCGTAGGTGGAGGGAAGATAGTAGCAGAGAAAAAGTGGTTCTTTTGCAAGAATAGAGTATCCTCGTTGGCCAACGACAGTTGTGTCATTTCTTGGGGGCACGTGGAGACCACCGAACGCCGAGAGGGCGGATGTCATTAGACAAGACGGACATGCATCCAGCGAAGTGGTGTCTTCTCTGTTTGGTTGTTTCATGGGATGCTCTGTCTTCGGCTTCCTCTTTTCGTCGTGATCTTTTTACAAGGATTGAACTTTGGCGTCTCACCCAATTGCTTGTCTTGTCCTCTTCTCTGCACCGACTGTATCTCTGTCAGTACTGTACCGAGTGACGACATACCCTCACCCGTTGCATCTCCATCTACAATGAGAGTGGATCACTTAGCGCAAACCCGCGCTTCACCCCGTGCGGACTTGCAAAGCACAATCCAACAGCGCAAGTCCCACAATGCCGTCTGTGGCGTCTACGGCCAACAGCGATGAACCAAAACGAGGTCCCCATAGAAAAGTAGCAACGATGTCGTGAACGAAGTGGAGCCCTTTGGCATGTGCCAAACCACAAGCATCTTGGCCAGACGAAAAGCGGGTGCTTAGACTGCTTCTTGTCCAATCTTAAGTCTCAGCACACCTGCAAAGAACCACCGCTTGGCGCCCAAACAGTCCCTACATACAAGGGTTTTTGCAAAGATAACTTTTCAGCTCCGAAGTGTGGATTGGGTGTGACGTCGACAGCGTAGAAATTGTGGACAGCGAACGTCCTGGGGCAAGATGTGTGGTCGGGAGTGACGTGCGAAACCCGCTCGGGCTGTCCTCGGAGGCAATATCTCATCTCTTCTCGTGCGTTTCAGCCGACGATGCCCTGCGTCACTGACATCCGGCGTCGCGACGGTGTCTGTCGGTGTGGATAGCACGATGATTGTTGATTTCGAGCTTCCGTGCCAACCCCGTGCCATGCCTTGCGCAGTCCCACGTTCGCCATGTGTTTGTGTCGATTCGATGTTCGAAAAAGTTGCAGGAAATGGCAAGTATCGGCGACAACGTGCAAGTCCCTTCCTCAATCCTCGGTTCAACCAATTGCGCCTGCATAAGCAGCCGGCAATGCCTTTGTTGATCGCGGCAGATGTCGTACAGTAGAAACTCTCTTCTCTCGCTCACGCCTGCGAACACAATCCACAATTCAAGCCCGGCTTCTTGCGATTCAGAAAATACCAGGAACGGACTTCGACCAGAGGTTCGCGTCCAATGATGACTATCGTAAGCCGTTGAATCGCGCCTGCCAACAGTCATTAGTAGCTTCTTTCACACCTGCTTCGCATCAAATGCGCATTCGAATTTAGCACTTCCTCGGACGTTCGATCAAAGCGCCAGAAAAGCACCCAAGAATTGACCAGTACGCCGACGATTGCACCTCACCTTCCAGCACACTCAGGACCTCACCCATATTCCTGCTCAAGACACGAAACGTTGTGGAAATCCCATATTTATGCATCAGTGCTTCCATTGCTTCGCTGTCTGTGGTCTGCTCAACGCAAAAGAGATAACAATACCTCTCCAAATTCCCCAGCTTTAACCTCGCGGAAAGTGGAATCGACGAACAGTATCCAATGACAAAGTTCGTGTTTCTGCCTTTCTGCTCATCGGTGCCTGGAAAATATGAGTTATCCTGCGGAGCTAAACTTTCGCCAACAAATTCTTTTCCTTCTCCTTTGGATCCTGATGAGCGGGCTAGCTGCGCCACGCCAGCGGATTTGTCCTACTCTCACTTCGAACGGAATATGCAATTTGACAAAGGTTCCAATTCAACCAAATTCGAACGAAAAACGCCGCCTCCTTGAGCCTAGTTTCGCCCCTCCGCCATCATGGCCTAGATCCCCTCCTGCTCCGGAAATGCTACTGCTACTGGTGAAATATGTTGTTATCGTGTTTGCGTTCCATTCATGGGTTTTTTGTTGATCATCGACATTTGCTGCAAGGAAAGAAAAGTCATTGTATAAGCGTACTTTTTGTGTTACGCGTCCATCTTGCCAAACATGCCGTATTCTGCTTCGTCGTTACGAGCATGGTGGTGTTGACGGTGGGGCTCGTCATCAGAATCCTCATCTTCCATCTCGACATCGCCCTGATTGCGGTAGTTGGAATATGGCTGAGGCTGGTGGGCCTGGTATTTGGCAGGGAGCGGCGGGACTGGCGGTACATCGACTCCGGTGGCCGTTGGGCCATTTTTGGGAGTGCCGTAGCTACAGCTGAGAAGTCCCACTGCAGCCGCCAAATCCTGGGGGTCTTCATCCCCGCGGTAGCTCTCCGCAATGGAAGTATTTGCTGTCATTGGCCTGCTGGCGCTAGACATGCTCCATTGTCGGTGGTGCGAAAAGCCGTGCTCTCCGTTCGGAACGCTTCCGTTCGAGAAGACCGATTGGTACGAGCGCGAATAGATACTGCTATTACCGCTGAAACGCTTGCTGTCCCTATACGCGTGCTCGCTCTGCGGAGGAGGCGTGGTCTCGTTGGAGCTCAAGTCCTCGTCCCGCATGCCTGAGGAGCCGGACGCGGCTGGTGAGGACGAATCGTCACTGTCTCCGCCATCCTTGCCCTCTTGATTCATGGCGACCAAGACCGAGGCAGCTTCGAGAAGCTGGACCTGCTGGTGTTTCGAAATGAGCAGTTTCGAGGTGTATTGCCATTGGGGCGTGTGTTCCCAGCTAAAGGGTATCGGTCAGCTGCTGTTTCGCTCTCATTCCCAGCATTCCGTCACACAAACACCACACTTACAGGTGTTTGGTCAAGCAACTGCCATGTTTGTATGCCTTGCCGCAGTGCTCGCACTTGAGCTCTCCCGTAGCTGCCTTTTCCTTCTTGCTCAGACGCGTTCCGTCGCTCGCTCTTCGCATCTTCGCTGCTGCCTTCTCGTGCTGAAAGGACGAGAGCGAAGGACCGTCGACGACTGCAGAGTCCTCTGGAACGGAGGCGTGCTGCGGGAGGCTGCTGGGCATGGCGGCATGTCCGTCGTTTAGCGACGCAAGGGCGGATTTCGACATGGAACTGCGGCGGTTCACGATTGTGCCCTCGGCCACGGCATTGTCCAATGCCGCACCATTGATTGCGGGTCGGGAGAATGTTGAGCTCTTTCGACGATTAATGCGGTTCGTGGGGTTGACGGCACCCAAGGAGGTCGTGTGAGAGTGTGTGCGGCTGTATGAATTCCGCGTTGGTAAGCTGTTGGCAGGGGAGCCCACGGACAGGCGATGTTGGCTCGCCGGGCGGGACATTTCCTGGAGAGCCCCAGCGTTAGCATTCTCTCCACAGCAGACACTCGACGACGGCCACGATGGTGCGAACCTTTGCGGCAGTCATGATGGCGGGCGTGTCGGTCTGTGTGTAGAATCAAAAGAAGTGCGAAATAGTTGTCGGACGATTCCTTTGTTCCAATGTCCGGAGAGATCGCGCCTGACTCGATAGAACGAACAGCAGTCCCCGGCAGCGCGCCACTCCGATCCTTCCGGCGGCGAACGTGTGCGTGCGGGCGTCGTTGTCGGGGCGAGAGACAAAAGATGATCCAAGAAGTGTGTCGTGATCAGTCGCGAGGAGCAATGTCAGATGTGCAGTGATCAACGGACGAGACCCAGAGCCACAAGTACAGAGCGGAGAGAGTGGCTACGCTGAGGAGGTACCGGACCATGAGAGTGGGGTAAAAGTGAGCGTGAGCGTGCAGGCAGGCTTTGCAGGGGTGATAGGCGAAGTCAAGTTGGAGTACAGTATGGAACTCTGCTGGATCGCCTGCCGCCGCTGATGCTCAAATCACAGTGCCTGCGCCTGCTCCTGCCAACTGTGGGGATCGCACGGACGTGAGTGAAGACAAGACAAAGATAACACGAATGATTCTTGTCAGCGACGGGCGAGAATTACGACTCGACAATTTTCGCTGGACGAGACGTTTTCCAAGAAGAGGGCGCCCGGCCAGCCAGTGGCAGCGCACGCTCGTGGTCTCTCCATCAGCTGCCACTACGAGCCGCATACCTGCATTAGCCAGTCTTTTCGAGAGGCGGTACACTACAATCACGTTCATGCGCCTGCGCGCATCATTCCTATCGGGTTTCACGACAGCCGCTCGATCTCAATGCCACCGCGAACGCGTCGATACCACTTCGACAGACTTTCACCGTGTCTTTGCGAACAGACCACGGCCCATGCGTTGGCTCACTGGCGCCATTCATCGCGATCATCAGAAAGCCTGCGTGACACGCAGGCTATTTTGAATTTCCAGGGACAAAGCTCCTCAGGTACCTTCCCAGTTTATGCTTTCTGGGCCAGCGGCTAGAGCGTGTCTTGCAGCAGAAGCTCGCCCTCGTGAGCGGGCTGCGTCGTGTACCTTGGGTCGAAAGACCCGGCTCCCGAACGGCGAGCCAGCTGGTTGATGTTTGTTTGGCTGTCAATCATGTCCTGTTGACGCCGGCAGCCAGGCGTTCGTTCGCACGAATGTCCAGCCAAAAAAATGAAATTCCCAGAGGATGCAGCAGCGGCTGCAACGTGCGTCCGTGAGCAAGGAAGCCAGTTTGGCCATGACCAGTGTGCAGCCTGGGCTCCTCTCTTCATGCAGAATATCACGCACATCGGAGATCGTAGAAGAAGGAAGGCATCGCATCCATCACTGTGTGGACTCGTCGTGGCACTGGTGCACCTGGGTGGGTCGCCGAGCAGCCTGGTGACACTACATGCCCCGCGCCTTCCGAGTTGAGAGGAGAACAACTGTTCGCATCTGGCTGCGCTACTCCACGAACGAACATTATTGTCACATTCTTCTCGCAGTAGCTACTGCTCGTAGCTTGTGCTATAGCTTGGTCCCTTTCCCTCTAGGGCCCTTGTCATGGTCACAAAAAAAAATTATCTGGACAGCGCAAAAGCCATTGGCAACTCTATCAATGCGCGAAACAGCGCCTTCGCTTCGTGGCTGTGGATCATCCGTTGTCACGTTGCTGGCGGTCCCGAAACAGGATCAGCCACACAGCCCACACTGTGCCGCATCCAAGCGACGGCCGAGGCCGCGATCGCTGGACGCTCTGGCGTTCTGCCTTTTCTCTACTTTCTACTTTGGGGTGCTCGTTCTGCTCGGGATGGCCTCGTAAGCGATACTCCGCCTGATGTTGGCACGTGGAGCCGGGTTTGTCATCAGTTTCCAGTGCAGCGGTCCAGCACTCCGTTCACATGACGGACTATGCCTGATTGCGCGATTGTGCGATGATCACGCAGTCTTACGTACCAGCCGGAGAGACAATTCGGTTGTTTCGATCCGCAGGCACCCATTGGCAAAGCATGCTGCTGCAGATAACGTGAATGGAGAAATAATTGTCGGTGAGAATGGCTTTGTTACTGTCAAAGTATCATTCGATCGCGATTGTGAGCGCATCTCACATGCAGAGCGACTGGTATCTTCCTGGGGCACGAGCAGCAATAAAGCAAGGCGTCAGAAATCCGATAGCTTCGCATCGATCTCCGAATGTGGAAATCTTGCGGCAAGCGCGGCCTCTGGGTGCACAGCAGGTGAAGGATCAAGAATCTCGTACTCCGACAAACCTGATCTGGGCACGTCCAGACACAAAAAGTTGTCCGTCGCACAATGCACTATTTTACCAGATTGTTACTACGGATGCGCAATCTATTCAACGGTCAAGGCAGGCACAAATGACGCAACGATCTTGAATTCGAGCTCGGTGTATGCCCGTTCAACAAAATCATATGCCGACCAAAGCGCGCTGAGAACAGGTCTCACGGCTTCCACATTCCGCTCGTAATAATATTTCACAACCTGCTCTTCCGTCCTTGTAACCGTCCAGCCCTGAAGAAAGTCAGCACAAAACGGTAAACGCCTGACATTCGTCATTGATCTCAAATGTCTCAAAGGCGGGCTAAAATTAAATAATACACTCACCCAACAGAATCTCACCGCATTCTTCGCAGGACCCATATCCCACGAGCCCTTCGAATTCGTCCTTGGGAAACGAATACTGGGGACTTTCCCACCAGAACACTCCGCAACCTGGCATAAAGCACTCCAGTTCTCCTCATCCCCCGCATCATCTATCCTCATCTCCACAAATCGCTCCTCTTTGTCCCGAAAGAACTCCCGCACTTCTCTGGTGTGGTTCAAATACGATTGCCGTATCACGTCTTCGTTTCCCTCGAACGTCGTCGCGCCGTAGAAGAGCTTGTAGGGCTGCCATTCGCCTCGCCCCATATGCGTCCCCATACTCCGTAACCACGTTTCGTCGTCTTTCCGAAGACTTAGAATAAATTTGGCGTCAGGATACAAATCTGCCATTTGTGGGTAGGCTTTCGCCCATGGGAGATCTTCGAAGGCATCGTATTGTTTTGTTTGGGAGATCAGAGTCGAGAGGTCGGAGTTGTTGGAGTGAGCCCAGGTGTGGACGAGGTGTCGACTGCGAATGTCGCGCCAGCCGAGGCGACGGTAGCCGAGGCGTTCGAGGGCGTCGCCGATGCTGGTTGTGCCGGTCTTGGAGAGGCCGATTACGAAAACTTTGGGAAGGTGAGTCGGTGGAGGCTGCGCAAGTTGGTAGGTTGTGACTGCGAGGGCTGCGACGAGGACGGATAAGGTGGTCCAGATGGGCTTCTGGTTAATCGAGGTAGCAGCACCCATAGTGCTGGGATTTTGAGAGCCCTAAAACATCGAACACAGATAAGAGAAAGTCAGTGGGGACCTACATTGATTGCTCTTTCCATGATCTCTACCGCGAAATCGGCAGTCATGATAGCTCGACTCGCTGGTTCTTCAGCCAAGCCGGGGATTCTCCCGGCCAAGTTTTGAGACTATGTCTGCTCTCTTGAGAAACAGAGCCTTCCAATTGCGATGGTGTTGGCAGTCACTCACGCTGAGAGAGGATGGCGTGCAAGACGCGCGATGTCGAACGAAGCTCGAGCTGGAACAGCCCACGAGGAAGATCGAATGGACTGCAGCAGCAGAGCCCGGCTCGGCGGACAATACTGGGCATTCTCGCTTATTCTGATAGCGGATTCCCATCTCGACCACCAACTATCCAGCTCTTGAGCATGCTTCTCCATCTGTGGATGATCACTAACAGCTCGCTTGCTTGACTCTCCTCGGCTGAGGGGCGGCGGTTGATGGCGGAGACACTAAAACCGATAGCGAGCCTCTTCAAGCGCGAAGAATAATCACAACATTGAGCTTGAAACGAAGCTTTGTGACAGTATGAGAAGATGAAAGAGTAAAAGGAAAGGTAGAGATTGTGACTGTTGTCAAGATGCAGCAAGTCATCGCTGAAATGGACGTAGTGCTGACTGACATGCGGCTAACCTCATTCAAAAGCGACGCGTCTTCTCAAATCATGTTGCTGGCATAGCTCCAGCACACGCCGGCCGACATTCTGCTGCAGGCAGCATTATTGAGTTCACTTGGATCTCCGAAGCCCACCGCCGACTAGTTTTACCAGCGATCCAATGGAGAGTACTGCACGAACATAGCATTCATTCAGCGCGCACACCCAGCCCAGACTTTAGCAAAGCCTGCTGCGATTATCAAGACCGCGAAAAACAGTGGGCACCACAACTGTGAATTTCTTCATCAAGTACCACCGATGTTTCATGATGAAGCACTGGATCAGGCATTCCAGTGGTGGGAGTTTGGACCTAATGACTGCGTCAGGACTCGTCTGGAGTTCTATAAGATGGTCGTGGATGTTCTAGCCCTCTTTGCTTGCGAAGGGCTTCCTGATATCGAGCCGGAGCTCTGGCAACCCCCGACTGGATGTCCTTTCACTGCCCAGATCTGTCTGAAAAGTACCTACCCGAAGACCGTGCGCAAAGAGAGCCTATCCCTCTCATTCATGTGGGCAGTCTGTACCGGAGATCTCGATGACAAGATGTTTTGGTTCGACCTCTGGCCAATCGTCAGCACCACGACAGGCCGACAGGCGAAAGCTTTGGACGCGCGCCACCTTCACGGTGCGAGGGCTGTCGCATGCATGGACAATTTTGCGGACTGGTGTCGCTCGGTCTGCGTTGCTCCAGTGTGGATGCTTGCGGGCAGAGCACTACAGGATTGATTCCCTGAACAAGCATCAGAGCTCATCACTATCTCAGACGCTCCGCTATGCGAATCGTCCTGTCCTCTACCCCTCAATTGCGGCATCGGACTTTATGGCAGGGAACGATTAGCTATTCCTCTTCCTCATGGCCAGAAATGGTCTTTCGGTCTCGATGGAGATGATTATATGATGCTCACAATCGACTTCCTGGTCGACATTGCTGTTGTGGTGGTCGGAAGACGGCGTCGTTTCACAGCGATCGATGCAATCGAGATCATTCGCCTAAGCAATTCCTGGCGAAAAGCCGGTACGCTGCTACAGGCTGAATGTTCCTCGTCGCTTCACAGTGGCTGCAACCAGGACCGGCTGCAGTACGAACGCAAAGCGCCAGGGACTCAATTCAGAGACTCCTAACAACAAACTCTGCTCAAACGACAGCAAGCTCGGTCCGTGACGAGGGTACAGTCGCGAATTCAGGACCTCGCCATGTCACTAGGTCGCCCAACGATAGACTGAGCCGAGTAAGGTCAACTCCGCACGAGGATGAGACAGGCTCTGAACACAATGATGGCAGATGTGTCGACGACCACATCTACTGAGACCGCATATCAGAGACCATCCCAGCAGACTCCAAAGGCCACCATTCCACGTGTGCGATCGATCGACCTCAGATGTCACTCTCACTGCAATAAACGTGGCTATGCCAACAGCCACGCCGTGAAGCTCCATACCTTCAACACTGCGGATGGCAAGTTCGAATGCCCGGCATGAGAAGCGATGCAGTGTCAGCTTATCTTCGACACGCATGATGAAGCTGCAGCACATATTTGGGTCCACGAGCGACTTTGTATTCCGTGTCTTACCGAGTCGTGGCCAGGCTGCACCAAAACTTTCTCGGGCTCGTCACGTTTATCGCAATGCGGATTCACTCACCGGCAACTCTTAAACGGGAAATAGGTCTGCAAAAATCGCACAGAACTCAATTGTATGCGTTTATTCGGCAGTAAGAGACTTGCCGACAAGCACAGCAAGCAGGATCTTCCAGAGAAGTTCCCTGTACCATGCGAGCGACGATCCGACCTGGGTTGCCAGGACGCGTTTCGAGAAGCTTTCGGCAATGAGATACCATTCGCACATGTCGCACAAAACATCCATCAAGAACTAGAATGAATTCATATGACCCACTGGGATGTATGAGAGATAGAAAGGCCCATGGGCGTGGGAATTAGTCGTGAGCTACAATCAGTAATGGTTGGAGCAAGAGGCAGTAATGGCTGGAGCCGAGGATAATAATTGCTAGGAGCAAACGCGGTAGATTTCCGAATTATTGATATGTCTCAACATACTTTAAGCACGAAGTCTTCGGCTACAGCTTGTTCTCCAGGCTTGCATTGGAAAGGAAGTGAACACAAGTGGAGGATCTCTGGAGGACGCTAACGGATGTAACCGCAGTTTACCTGCAGGACACGTCGAATGCGGCATCGTTGACGTTGACAACCTTGGAAGGTGCTGCTTGATGATTGTGACTGCGATCTCAACTCGAAAGTTCCAGGAACGATGCAAATAAAACATTGACAGATAGGCCTCTATTCCGACACGACTTTCATCCAATGCAACTAATGCCAACTCGCATTCGGCCACTGCCTTTCGCTGCGGGTCTCACAGGCTTCTTCTTCGCCACTTTAACAACCAGATTCATCTCAACACAACGAGGACCAACAGCGCCTTCTTCATCTGTAGGAAAGATGTCTTCACAACAAACCACTTGGCCTGTCCGCTCTTACACTCCACGCCACAAGATCTGGCCCTACACAGCTCAAGACTTCCGTCGCCAGGATAATTCTCCGGATCCTTCTTTCTACTCTTCTCCTCGATTCGTCACGCACATCGATGATGCTGCGATTGCGACGTTAAGAGAGTATTATGCTACGGTATTACCTACGGCACCTGGTTCTAGGATTTTGGATTTCTGTAGCAGTTGGACTTCGCATTACCCGGAGCAGGTGGAAAGTGCGGTCGAGAAGGGTGAAGTGGAAGTTGTTGGATTAGGGATGAATAAGAGGGAGTTGGAGGCAAACAAAGTGCTGAATGGAGGTTGGGCTGTGGGCGATTTGAATGAGAAGGCGGAATTGAGTGAAGTGCTACAGGATGGGGTCCTTGCTGTTGGTGAAAGTAAAAAGTTTGATGCAGCGACGAATGTTGTGTCGACCGATTATTTGACTAAACCTGTTGAGGTGCTCGAAAGCTTAAGAAACATCACGAAGCCTGGAGGGAGGGTGCATTTGGTCATCAGCAACCGGTGCTTCCCTACTAAGGCCATTGGAAGGTGGTTGAGAGTTGACGAGGAGGAGAGATTGCAGATGGTGGGGGACTTCCTGTTCTTCGCCGGGTGGGAGGATATTGAGATTGTGGAGTTGAGTGATGGGGTTATACGGGATGCTGGTACCAGTGGACAGGGAGGAGGAGACGAGGGTCTGAAGGGATTTATGAAGATGATGGGGATGGGAAGCGGAAGGAGGGATCCGTTGTGGGTCGTGAGAGGCACAAAGATCGGTGAGTGAAGACTTCGATGAGTCGGGGACTCGGATTGGATGACCGGTTGTATCTGAGGCGGAATCACATTGATGGGCGAGGAAGTGTTTCTATTCTCTGCTCCGGTATGCCTGCACTGATTTGTTGCAGCTGACGGCAGTGATGACATTCCCGCAGCCGATCGCAGCAAAAAACCAGCTTCGTGAGCTGTTCCTGTCACATCCCTCCGGACCTAACTCGAGCACCGTAGAGCGAAAGCCGTCGATAATCCGCATGGAGGACCACTCTGGGACAGTCGTGCTTCCTGACATTGGAGAACGAAATAGCATGCAAAACCTGGGAAGAGAAGCTGGATGCACGCTTCACCACACACCACGCCTTCACGATAACCAATAAACTGCAAGGCAGACGACCGACGTCAGCCCATCACAAGACCCAAGCCTTGGCCAGCTGCGCATTTTTATTACCTCGACCTCTGCGGCTCCCATGGTCTAATCTTACCAGCAAAAGCTTGCTTATACACGGCCACGGCCTAAGCCCTAAGAAAGCATCGTACCCTACGCGAGCAGTGTGTGACAACTCGTACAGGGAACCACATCAAAGACTCAATCTCCATCCGTGTTATTGCGAACAGAACGACGGGGTGGGGTGAGAAAGTTAGGACACACTTCCCCGCCTATTCGAAGGAAATCCTTGTGGCGAAAGTAGGGAATGAAGATGAACTGCTTTGCGATTGATATTTAACGGGCCGCCTCGGAGAGAGACAAAACATCGTGCCAATTCTACTTCTGGAAAATTGTCAGTGCTTCTGACTTCTGAGTTCTGACACGACCCGCGGTATCCTTGCCACCACCCCTAATGTGCGGCGCAGCCCGACCAGGAAGCAGGCTACACCGATGCTAGAAACGCGCAATCATCAGGCCTCTTTTTCGTGAGAATCGCATGGGCAAGAACTGGTACAATTCGACGTATGTACCTGTACCATTCGAAACGCGCAGCACCCGTCCATCACAAGGAGGCGTGGTTCAACCTAGAAACTTCCGAGCAATGGGAAGGAGCCGCATGCCTACTTTTCACATCCCAGGACCACGTACAGCGAACGCTGATAACCCGGTTCCCACGCGTTTTCCAAAATTGGCATCAGTGCGGGAGTGACATCAAACGAGGCGGGAAAAGCCAAGATGAAAGTAGCCATCTGATCGGTACCAAGAGCCTACCGCCAGTGTCCGTGGTGAATGCACGTTCACCACGGACGAGGAAGATAAGTGATCTACTTCACTATATAATAGCACTCCGCGCACGACTAGATCACTAAACTCATCCATCGACCTCACCAATCCACCTCCACCAGTACATTCACTCGCATCCAAATTCAAACCCATATCGCACATATACCCCAACAATGTACAAACTCTTCGTCATAGCCGCAGCCCTCGTGGCCTCCAGCACCGCCCAATTCTTTCCTGGAGGCCAGACCCTCTACGGAGGCCAATGCGACTACCAAGGCTTCCTCAACTGCCAAACCCAACAACAGCAAGGCAAACCAGAAGCAGCTCAAGGTTGCGTCCAGATTGAGGGCGGAGGCCCCAACTGTGTCACACAGACGACCGTCTGCGACCAGCAATGCGTGCGCGGTTACGCTTACCAGAAGGTCAAGTAAGTCAATCAACTCCAATCGCTGTACGAGTGGTGATGCGGGATGTGTGGCTGACATTGATACCTCTTAGCTCCAATGATCAATCCTGCGTCTGCAGTCTCCGGGACGCAGCCTGCTATATCGGTCAAGACCAGAGCCGATGCGGCGCGCCATTCGATGGCGGTTTTGACGGCGGTTGGGGATCCACAGGCGGCAGGAACTGGCAGGCCTAGACCATTCACCTTGGACATGGTCCTCAAGCTCGACGTCGCGACCGACTCGAGACTCGAGCCTGCTGTCCGAATGGGAGAGTGGACGGAGGATGAGCATTGGGCGTCATTCCTTCTAGCGTTGTGTTAGCTCCACATTGTATAGCTGAACTTCAAATTGAAATAACCAGCTTCATCGCACAAATTGTATTGCCGTTGATGATCCATTCTACGCGATACTGATACAATGTCCACACCATTCCATTCCATGCATGCATTTCCATTCGGGGGTGGAGCGAATCCTACGCCTCGCTCTTCAGTATCTCCATTTCCGTTCCCCTTGCCTGTACGTCGCATTTCCGGACCAACGCCATGCTATACTACAACTACAGTTCCGGATCAATCGCGCCCATTGTTTCATGCTTTCATCGTCTTCAAGAACCCATCGAGATTGAACTCCTCTTCATACTGCTTATCATCCCAGAGCTCACTGAGCTCATCCAAAATGCCCCTCTTGCCCTTTTCACGCATGTTGCCTTCTGCATCAACAGCGTTCGACTCATCAACGCCATTCGCTTCAGGCTTATCACTGATCGCAAGATTCGGATCCGTCTCGCCTAAGTTGAACAGGTCGAGAATCTGATCCGTTTCCATCGTGCCTAGACCCGCGTTCTGCTGATTGACGACAGTCGACGCAACGTCGATCTTAAAACGCTGAAGATTGAGAATCTTCTCCTCGAGTGTGCCCCTCGTTATGAGGCGATAGACATTGACGACTTTCTTTTGTCCTATACGATGAGCCCTGTCCATAGCCTGCAAATCCTTCTGTGGATTCCAGTCGTGCTCCACGAAGATGACAGTATCAGCTCCTGTCAGATTGAGACCGAGACCTCCGACGCTGGTGGTCAGCAAGAGACAGTCGATCGACGGATCAGAATTGAAACGGTTGACAATGTCTTGACGTTTCGACGCTTCAACAGAACCGTCTAGGCGTGCAAAGGTGGCGCTTGGCAACATCTTCTTCAGGACGGTGCTCTCAACCATGTCTAGCATCTCTTTCATTTGACAGAAGATCAGGACACGATGCTGAGACACGGCTTGATCGGCAGACGGCACGCCGCCATCATTGGTGGAGTCCACTCCGATACCGCAGTCAAGTAATAAGTCGCGCAGAGCAGTCAGCTTCGGGGCGTGCTTGGGGTCTTTCAAGGTAGATCCTTGCTTTGCGAGCATGTCCTGGATAGCACCGTACTGTTTGTGATCTTCCTTCACGACCATGGCTGGCGAGTTGCAGAGTTTTCGCATGTACTGTAGGGCTTGGAAAATGTGCTGCTTCGCTTCCTTGTCAACGCTGCCGGCCATAGCCTGCAAAGTCTTCGACTCTTTCTTTGTGAAATCGTCGAACAGCTTCTTCTGCAGATCAGACAAGTCGCAGTAGTAGTTTTGCAAGATCTTCGGCGGCAAATCGTTGAGCACCTCCTCTTTCAGTCGCCGCAGCAAGAATGGCAAGACCTGCTTGTGGAGTGACTCGATTGCGAGCGCACCGGCTTCTTGTTCTTTGGACGAGGACTTGGCGAAACGACTCGCTGCGATCGGTTTCGCGAACCGATCTTGGAAGACCTTCTCCGTTCCGAGGAAGCCGGGCATGAGGAAATCGAACAGTGACCACAATTCGAGCACGTTGTTTTGAATTGGGGTTCCCGACAGGATCAGACGGTGATTGCTCATCAGGCGCTTCACTGCCTGTGTGACCTTGGCCTTGGGGTTCTTGATGAGATGCCCTTCGTCAAGCACACAGTAATTCCAGGCGATCGGCAATAGAACCTCGACATCATTTCGTGCGATCTCATACGACGTGATGACAATATCGGCAGTGCCCAGCTGGTCGCGCACCTTGCCACGCTCGAGAGGCGGACCGGCGTAAGCCACTGCCGTCAAGAAAGGTGCATATGTGCGAATTTCCTGCTTCCAGTGCCCAGTCAATGTCGGCGGGCAAATAATAATGGATGGCAAACGACGCTGATCGGGTGCCTGTGTCTTCGCGAATTCCTCAGCTCGCATATGGTGATCGGAGGCCACAATACAGAGAGTCTGAAGCGTCTTGCCGAGACCCATGTCATCACACAGTACACCATGAAGGTTGTACCTGTTGAGGAAGGCCAGCCAATTGACACCTTCTTGCTGATACGAACGCAACTCGGCCTTGATGGCAACAGGAATAGAGAACGGCTCGACTTTCTTCGGGTCCAGCATCTGTGAGATAAACTTGCGCTCACGTTCTCGTCCTTCGAGCAGCGACTTTGGAAGGCCCTCTGGATCGGGAATACCAGCTTCAAGAGGTACAAGTTTGACGAGAGTGGCGAATGCGGTAGTGGCAATCAATCGTACACCTGGATCCGAATCGCTCATGCGTCCCAGTACTGGCACCAGAAGGAAGATGACATATGGCAAGATCCCGTCTCCCATGACTTGAATGAGGTGGTAGATGCATTCGATAGCACCCTGTCGCTGTACGACTTCGTGGGCATTGTTGATCGGAGGAATGACCTGCTCGACGAGCATGGTGAAGCCTTGAACAGTAATGACGCTGCAGACACTAGCGAAGCATTTAGCTGCAGTGTAGCGCAAGACTGCCAGCCTACTCTGCAATGCGCGAGCAATGAAAGGTAGCAGTGATAGCACCCAAGGATGTAGTGCAGGATCAAGAGTCGCCACCAAGGCTCTCAACGTCGACATAGCATCCACCGCCTCTTGGCCGATGGTAGTGTCCGGGTCCATGATGTCGGCAGGCAGATCGTTTGTGAAGCAATGCTGCACCGGACCTTCGATGAGACCTTGCAGTCGCGGGACCTTCTGGAAGATCTCGGCGCCGAACTTGATGCACAACTGCTCGAGGGCATCCTTGGCACCTCGTCGTGTGATGCGCGCAGCCTTGACCTCGCGCTCGTATTTGGCAGCATCAGGACGGTCCTGGATGTCCTCGTCCTTTTGCAATGAGAGTATGCCAACCTCTTTGTCTGCGTTGGGGTGGAATTCGGGGGTCTCGCCAGTCTCCATGCAGCAGAATTTGACCAAGTTGCCTACGACCTTCTCAACTACCTTGTGTCGCTCGTTGGCAACTAGTTGTGCAATGAGATCTGCAACTGCAGATGCCGTCCTGTGTTGCAGGTCCAGATTCTCTTCCTCCTTCACACTGTCCATCACAGCTTTGATCGTGAACTGTGGCTTCTTTGGAATTGCCTGGAACGCTATCAGTGCAGCCGCTGCTGATGAACGGATGCGCAAGTCGGCTTTCGCTCTCGCAGTTTGGGCATCTGAGATTGCGGTCTCTGCGTCGATCTTTGCAGTGCCCAGAGCCTCAGCGGCAGCCATGCGTTGCATTTTCGGTAGGCCTCTGTCCAGGCGGTCGTACTCAGCCGTAACGACTCGCTCAGCGTCAGCGATACCAAAGGCGTTCTTTCCCGCCTCAGGTTCTCCCTGACAGATAATCGGCATGATTGGGAGCTTCGAACCAGGAACATGAGCTTCCTTTTCGAAAGCGTTGAGCAGTTGCTGACATTGTGCACGAGCAATGCGCAAATAGCTGCTGAGGTCGCTATACCAGCCAGGTCGTTCCTCTTCGAAGAGACTACGCAATTCGACGCAGGCATCTGAGGATAGCTGTTCATGTTCCGTCGTCGTGGTTGCGTATCCTTCAAATGCCATTGCCGTAAACAGCTGAGTGGAGCCGTAGGAGGATTTGAGACTTGGCAAAAGCTTTGGTCCGAAGTATGCGTGTCGCTGATCAGCCGGCCATAACGATATCGCTTTGCCCAGTGCACGCGTGGCGAAGATGCGGCTTCTGATCATGACATCGGCCCCGACCAGGTCGATATCGCCCTGCATGATTGCCGCATCGATGTTGTGTGTAGTTGTAGCCGGAGCTGGTGGCAGCGAGCTCTCCTTCTTGTCAGATTTGCGTCGCTTCTTAGCAGGTTCCGATCCATTCACAGGAGATGGTCTGTGAGCGCTGGCAAGAGGTGCGTATGTCTGTCCAGAAGGTTTGATGAATAGAGTGGCGTCCATGGGGATAGGGTGTCTGCTGATACCAATGGGATGTGTAGTCAGAGCCAGGAGAGGAACTGCGTGCGGTTCGAATTCTTGCTGGAAAGCAGATGGAGCCTTCAACGCCAAAGCATCGGCCAGCGCGTTCCATACTTCGAGTGACAGCTTGAGTACTCCATCGTTGCGCTCAACGAGCAGGTTCTGATAGACCAAACGAAGTGCTTTGCCATTGATCCAGCCTTTGGTGTCAGTGCCATCAATGTTAATGAATGTAAGCAGTGCGCGCAGCACAGCAGATCGCACACTCGTGATCGTGTGTCGCAGGAACGGGTACAATCTAGGTACCAGCTCATCGAAAGACTGCAGAGGATCTGCTGCCGCATTCTCCTTCATAGCTGACAACACTTCTGGGAAGCTGCAAAGCTTGGCGAGGAGATCCATGACCGAACCGGTACTAGCACTCAGGTCGTCGGACAGACTCGACAAACACTCCCATACCACTCCAATAAGGTGACCGAGCTCATCAGATCGAACGTTGACGAACTCCTTGGCGACAGGAATGAGTGTTGCGGCGCTGACAGCGCGGACGTCGTCATCCTGGTCTCCCAAGCCTTTGATGACACATTCGAGGACACCGTCCATTAGTGAACGGTCTTTGAAGAGAAGATCTGTGCGCACGGCGACCAGGTAGCGCATTCCTATCATGCCACCGTGACACGCGTGCCAGATTCTTCTCGACACTTTGAGGTCCTTTTGCATCACCAAGCGATACAATATCCGGTTGATCTCGTGCACTGAGGAAGCCGGTAGGAATTGAAGAAGCGCACCCAGAACCTGTCCAGCAGTCTCGCGAATGGGTGCGACGGCGTTGTCGGAGACGTAGTCAGCGAAACGATCTAGCATGAAAACACAGCATATCCGACAGGCGAGATCGTCCAGCCAGGCGCAATTCAGCTTCTCGTTCTCTTCCTTCGTCTTGTGTGCGCGCCGGCCAGCACCTGCGCCGTGGACACGTACAATCTCACGCAGGCCCATGGCAGCACCGTGGCGGATCTCCCAAGCTGGATCGAAGAGGTCGACGCTTAAGAACTCACACAGCCGCTCGAAAGGCCACTCGTTGCCTTCTTCCTCTGCATCACTGACCAGGGTAGACTTCTCCGCGATCGGCGCGCCTTTGAACTCCGAGACGACCTTGGAATCATCGTCGCCACCTTTGCGATCCAGTGAGAAATAGTCATTGTTTCCGTTGGTGTCGGGCTCCTGTTTGATTTCCTGCTTGATCTCGTCTGCAGGTGTTGGTGCCAAGCTGGTACTACCTCGTCTGACGGCAAAGTCGTACTTAAATTTCTTGTTGTCACGCTTCAGTTCCTCCTTGCGGCGTCGCTTGAGCATGTTGAGTTGTCGCTTACTCATCTCACCAGCAGCAGGAGTTTGAGGAGTTGCGTCTTCCGGCGATTTCATGACTGCATCATCGCTGCCATTCTTGCTGCCTTCAGTATCCAGTCGTGGCAGCGCAGGTGTAGCCAGATTCGATCTTATCGCGATGTCCTTTTCGCTGACCAGGTCATCTTCAGTGTACTCGCCACCAAGACCGAGACGCTTGACCAAGGTTTTCTTTTGTGCGGCGAGTCGTTGCGTGGCGTTGAGTCCAGCGAGCTTGAAATCATATTGCTTGCCCGCACTTCCGAGCAATTCTTTACCATAGGTCAGGATAGCTTCCACATCCAGAGTGGCCAGTGCGAGTTGCTCGGCAGAATTGGAGATCGCCGCGTCTTCCTTCTTGACATCTTCGACGCCATCTGCTTTGATTTCGTTTCCAGCATCGTCCAGCGTGGCGTTGGGGTCATACTTCTCCGCATGCTCGACGATGCCGCCAATGGCGCGTGCAGCAGCTGTCCTCGTATCCCATGACGGTGATCTGAGATAAGGTACAACACGCGTAAGGAGATTGAATAGTTCGTCAGGATGGTTCTTCTGAACGTCTGCCAGCTGCTGCGCGGCAGTATTTCGAATTAATTGTGTGGAGCCAGTCTCCAAAAGGACGACCAAGCGGTCGAGTCTGTTCCGCACGATCAGTACAGGACGTGGTGGAGGTGGATACCAATGTCACGTGCGGGAGTCGCTAGTGCGATATGAGTGACATGCATCATGCTTACCGTGAAGTCGTCATCTTCGTATTAGCAAACGCGGCTCAGATCATGAACCAACAACGCCCATCGAATGCAAAAAGACAAGAACAAATTGAAAGGCGTCCATCGAGATGCCTAGTCCATTTGCACCAAAGAGCGTGTGGGTGTGTGGGTGGGCGGAGGTGCAGGGCACGGAGTCATGTGGTGTGCGCAGCGAACGCCAATCTTCGGCGGTCGCAGCAGAGCTTTCCGTTGCTTGCACTTTCGCGCGCGAGGATTTGCTCGCGCCTTATGAATTGCGGTCGCGAGCGAAAATGGCACTAGCGGGATGGCCCGCTGCGGGAACGTGACCAGCCAGCAGGAAAGCGCAGCCAGCAGGAAAGCGCAGCCAGCCAGCGCTCCGTCACTTCCTCAAACGACGACTTGCTCTAACGCGAAAAACTTCCTCACAACGACCACTGCCTTGGCCGCCACTCTTGCGGGAGGCAGAACAGTTTTGCTATGAATTCCGTGTTTGCCAGCGTGTGCAAACAATGATGTTGTCCGACTTGCACTCGCAGCAGAGTTAAGCCATACTTTAGCAAAAAGGCTTGATCCACCCCTTGCAGCCTCACATTTGCGATCAATCCAGCACAAGAGATAACAATTGTTCACGATCTCATCAACCTCACTTGCTAACTTCACGTTCACTGTACCTACCTGTTATGTCCCTGCAGACAGCGGACCTGTTGCCTTTCTGCTCCCCGCAAACAAGCGGTCAACGGCCCCCAAAACGCCCAGCGTTTGCTCTTGTGAGGACCAGGCACGAAAACCACAGGAACTTGGACCGATCCTCAACCTGCTGCGTTTCGGATTCGGTGCTGCAAGAAACCCTTTCTCTTCCGTGACGCCCGGGATGTCGTGTGCGCCCGCAGTACCTTCTCGAGCTAGCATAACTTTGTCCTTTCTCTTCAAACACCACGTTACATGTTCTGCGAATACACACACTGATCATCACTCACCATTAACATCCGTTCATGCAAACACTGCTCTATTTGATGCCGGTAAATTGAGATCTGGGTTGCTAAATTCCACGTGTCTCGGAAATGCGTGCGGGAGCTTGTGTCGCCTCCCAAGACTCAACTAAGCAGGGATGATCGTCTTCATCAAACGGCCACCGATTTGCACAGCTTGTTTGACAACCGCTCTCCGTCGACAAGGAGAGTTTCACGACACTCTTGCTCTCGTGAAGCATGAGCACGCTTATCACATTTCCTTAAAGTGGTGTGCCTATTTCAGCAAGATGGCGAGCTGAGCACATCATCTCCCGTCTCCGCATAGAGCTTGGAGCTTCAGGCTTGCCCGCGATCTACAGTGGCTCAGTCGAGATGCTGACATGCCGTTGATCAGATTCGAAGGAGTCAGAGACAAATGAGCATGCGACCATAGGATCAAGACGTAGACTACAATGCACGAGTCAGGCGATATACAAGGACAACATTACATGGCACGCAGGAGGTAGGAAGAATGACATGGCTGCACCAGCAATGCTGAGCCGACAGTGCAGTGCCACGGCATACAAGCAAGGAGGCATGAACGGCGTGCGTTCGAGAGAACGGCTGAGCGGAGACCTTGAATCAAAGGCGATACCAAGGCCAGCCCTCATGCACCTGAGCTCTAGACGACCAAGTGCCACGTGCCATCGAAGCAGCAGCAACATGGGCGTAGCAGAGTACAGTCCTGCCAGTCCCGCATGCCACAAGACCGTAAGGTCGTGGTAACTGCAAAGCAGCTTTGTACAAAGTTGTACAAGCAGACACAATCGTGCCATATCCCCCAGAGACAACAGACACGCACAAAGGCGTAAGACCCAGTTATGCACGAAGCAAAGTCGGGTAGTAGCAGTGACGCATCGAAGCGTATGCTAAGGGTACAGTGCCATGCAAGATGGACAACTGTCTCGAAGAAATTGAACGCTCTTCGGGGCATAGCTTTTCATTGAAAGCAATCGTGATACGCTTTATCCTCTCTTCATGCTGACGACCTGAGTGCCGGAGACAAAGTCTCGTCGCTTCCACCCTGAACGCCTTGCTCCGAGGGTATGGGTATGCCTCATGCGAAGACAGCAGCCGGAAGCCGTGGCCTCCTCTGCGTTATATCACCTCTTGCCAAAATCCATGCTTTTTCTTTCCATCTAGTAACCGTAAGAGGCCAATTGCTTCTGGACATCGGAGGAAACCTTCGACTGGGCATCGGCGAGCTTGGCGCGGGCAGCCTTCTTCTTCTCGTAGTATGCCTGTCCCTTGACCTTGCGTCTCTCCTCGAGGCGCTCGACAACGTCCTGGTACTTCCAGCCGAACTCGTGGCCAAGACGGCCGACAGTGCAGTACTTGCGGCCAGGCTTGAGGCGGAGGACGCGGAGAGCCTGTGGGACGACCTGGCGCTTCTTGTGGTCGTATGGTGGTGGGATGCCCTCGAAGGTCTTCAGGCGCTCAAGTGCTTTGGCGCCACGCTCGGTCTTGTGTGGGATCATACCACGGACGGTGCGCCAGAACATCTTGGCTGGCGAACGGTAGTGCCATGGACCACCACGGGTTGCGTTGTAACGAGTCTGCTTGCGCATGAAGGCCTGGTACTTCACTGTGGGAAGGAGTTAGTGGCTGGCCAATGCGAGATCGTAGGAGTGCCGATTGATTCTGTCGAATTTCGCGGTCTGAGGTGGACGTACGCTTTGCGCGGAAGAACTCGCCGGAGATGTTGAGGGCCTCGCAGCGGACAACGACAATCTTTTGGCCATTGAGGAGCTGCTTGGCCACGGTCGAGGCGAGACGACCGAGAAGGTGTCCCTTGCCGTCAATGACAATCTGTAAATTCACGTCTTAGCAACCAGATCTCCAGCCCAGGAAGCACCATAATTCTGCGCGCATGTGTTGTGCGCATGAGATCGCGAGAACGTACCACCGGCTCGAAGGTCGACATGTTGGCGATTTGGTCGTTGGGTGATGGGTGGGTTGTCGTGGCTTCCAGTCACTGGGGAGAAGCTGTTTCTCTGCTGATCGCAGAATTGGAGAGTGCGCCAAGAATTTAGCGCTCTTCTTGCCTCAGGCCCCCACGCTCCGGACATGGCCTCCGATCCATGGAACGGCGTCAAAAGAAAAGCATCTCACATGCAGACTATCGCATGACCCCGGGAGTGATCCGGATGCGGTGCAGACGGTCTATCGAGCTCACAGTGGGCGATCTGTCCAACATGTGTCGAGAGTGCGAGAACAACGCGCTCAGCGACAGTTCTTCCGTGAGGCGCTTCGTATGGCAAGTAGCCAGACCCCACTAGACCCAGCGTCATGTAATCTCTAGCGAGGCGCAAAGGAGGACTTTGGACATTTGGCTTGTCGCTGTCGCAAGGATCTCGCACAATTGTTGGAGCACACTACGTAACGCACTCCCTCATCGCGCACCACACCCTCCCGCCTCATATTATTGCTCGTCTCCCACTAGACTCTGGTTCAACTTCCGCAATCGTGGCGTCCTCCAGCGTGCTCGAGAACGTATACAATTCCATCATCCAGACCAACTTATCGAGTCTGCTGCCACTGCCCGCCAACCTCAGTGCGACGGTTGAACAAGCGACTAAGGTGGTTGAGGGCCTTCTGGGCATCTCACTCAGAAACCACGTCCCTTCCGAGGAGCCTGCCACCGCCTACAAACGGCTGTCGGCCACCTTCCTCGACTTCGTCGCCGGCCGAACGGCGCTAGAGAACACGTCCATATTCCTCGCATTCACCACATTTCTATTCCTAGCCATGTCGTGGGCATCACGCTTCGGCGGCACGTTGGGCCGGTTTTCGCCATTCACTCGATCACCGCCTCAAGGCCCCACCAAAGTCAGTGACGCCGACTTCAGCTACATTACAGCCGACGACTTGCGGAAACACCAAGCTGAATCTATGGCGCAGCAACAGACAGAAGTCGACATGGGTCCACCGCGCGATACGGACGTGCTGATTCTCCGTAACAAGAAGAAGGAATACGCTGTGCACTTTCCTGCCTACAGCATTGCCAAAGGCGAGCTCACCGTGGGGAAAGTGAGAGATCAGGCTGCGAAGGCAACGCAATCAGATGCGCGACGAATCAAGCTGTTGTACAAGGGCAAGAACTTGAAGGACGACTCGAGATACTGCAACCAGGAGGGGCTGAAAGATGGCGCAGAATTGCTGTGCACCATTGCTGAGGGGATCTCATCGCCGAGCGATAGTGAAGACTCGGACGATGAGTTTGCAGGAATCAATGGCGCGGGTGGAGCAGACGGCGAGGGCAAGCGTAAACGCAACAGAGGCAAGAAGACGAAGCGCCGGAACAAGCGTGAACAATCGGGCACGTCGACACCGCAGTCTGGCGATCCTTCGCTGGGAGTGCCAAACGGCCAGCAGGGCTCTCGCGCTCAATCACCTCGACCACCACCATCTCCTGCCACTCCTCTTGACAAGCTCAACGCGCTCCACCTGAAACTGCAAGAGTTTGTGCCTGCGTGCGAGGAATTCCTGGCATCACCTCCAAGCGATCCGGCAAAGAAAGACTTCGAGCACAAGCGGTTGACCGAGACCATTTTGACACAAGTCTTGTTGAAGACAGACGGCGTCGAGACCGAAGGCGACGAGGAGGCTAGGGCGAGAAGAAAGGCGCTTGTGAAGGAGACTCAGTCTTGGCTCAACAAGCTGGATGCGGCGAGGTAAAAATGGGCACGGCGTATGTGTTGGACGGCACTCTTTACTTCTTCTATTAGCGATCACTTGCACGAACGACGCGGACAGCATTGCATGACGAGGCGAGGCGTCGAGGTATTGCAGGACATTGAGCTCGTCTTGGATCGGGTCTGAAGCGTTTATGTAGCTACAGAGCGATGAATATGACCCAACCTGGTCGAAGACTAGAAAGCACGCCTTAAGCAACACTTGTCTCCACTTGACTGTCCACGGCATGCATTCCCTGGACAATACTGCTCATTCACGACATCTGTTCCGACTCATGCTTGGTGGTGGAGGATACGTCGGATCCGACATCAGGAAGCGAATGCGATGACGCTCCACATCTCCGGGTTTCGCCCGCGTCCCTCGCCCGCGCTGTCCAGCCACGCTACCTCTGCCCAGCAACTCCGCAGTTGACCGTAAACTCTCTTTACCGTGGTGAGCTCACCTGGGCCTGGTATAGATGAATGCGCGGGCCTGTCGCTCTGCTTTACTCTTTTCTTTGGTTGGTATTCAGGTCCTCCCCCTTCTTGTCTCAAACCTACCACTCCAACGTACATCGAGCCAACGCAGGAACGAGAGTCTCGTCCTTGACGTCTACACCCAAGCCTTGTCTCATCCCTTCCACGCATATCGTACACAGTCCAGACTCAATTGACGAATAGGTGACCTATATCGATCCCTCTCGCTTCGCCCACCATGTCGTCAGCCATGAAGCGACTCTCGACGCTTGCCGCGCACTTCGCTCCTTCTTCAAGCTCGCCCACAGCAGCAGACAACAGCACAACCGACAATATGGCGACCAACGGAGCGCAACAACCTTACCACATTCACCAGCTAAGCCCTACCTTCTTCCTGCCCAGGGCAGCTGCGATCGAGCCTAATGCAATCGCTTCTGTACACAAGACCGCCAATGGCAAGATGCTGCGAAGGACATATCAAGAGACAGCAGATCGAGCTCGAGGATTGGCATACTACTTGAAAAAGCATGGTTTCAAGAGAGTGGGCATCCTCTGCACCAACACGCCAGCATTTCTCGAGGCTATCTACGGCATCGGTGGTGCCGCTGCAGTCAATGTAGCGATCAATTACCGTCTCAAGATGGACGATATCACATATATCTTCGATCATGCCGAGGTTGATTTTATAATCGTCGACGCTGAGTTTCGACACCTGCTCGATGGGTTCCGAAAGCAGCATCCAAAGATCCCGTTCATCGTGGATACAGATACCGATCAAGATACTGGCGAGTTCGATCAGGCAGTTCTCGAAGGTCTGAAGCACGATTCGCAATCTGGTGGACAAGGCTGGGCAGGCCTCGAGACACAAGTCGCTCACGAGGACAGCTTGGTCGCTCTCGCATATACATCTGGCACCACTGCTCGGCCGAAGGGTGTGGAATACACGCACCGCGGTGGCTATCTCGCAGCATTGGGCAATGTGGTTGAGTCCAACTTGAATGTTCCACACCCTGAAGCTAGCAGAGCGCACTATCTCTGGACGCTCCCAATGTTCCACGCCATGGGTTGGACCTTTCCTTGGGCTGTGACAGCTGTGCGTGGAACTCACTACTGTCTCCGCAAGATCGATTATCCCTACATCTGGAAGCTCTTGAAGGAGGAACAAATCTCGCACTTCAATGCTGCTCCAACAGTCAACACTCTCCTTCTCGCCGATTCCAACGCCACCAAACTCGCTCACCCAGTGCGCGTGACAGTGGCTGCCTCGCCACCAACAGCTCATCTCTTCCAGCAAATGGAAGAGCACAACCTACGACCAGTCCACGTCTACGGCCTTACAGAGACCTACGGCCCCATCACAAAAGGCTACCAGCTACCCGAATGGGAAAATCTCGAGACAAAGGAGAAGTACGCCAAAATGGCCCGCCAAGGCCACGGTTTCATCACCTCACTACCTGCCCGTGTTATCAAAACCAACCAAGACGAATCGGGCTCGTGGGACGCTTCCGAGGTCATCGAAGATGTCGTCAAAGACGGCAAAGAGATTGGTGAAATCTGTTTCATTGGAAATATTTGCGCTCGAGGTTACTACAAAGATGCGGCAGCAACGAAGAAGCTTTTCATTGGAGGTGTACAACATTCTGGTGACCTGGCTGTCTGGCATCCCGACGGTGCGATCCAAATCCTCGATCGCGCAAAAGACATCATCATTTCCGGCGGAGAGAACATCTCTTCCGTTGCATTAGAGGGCATGCTAGTCACGCATCCAGATATCTTGGAAGCAGCCTGTGTAGCTGTGCAGGATAAGCAATGGGGTGAGGTGCCGAAGGCTTTTGTCACAGTCAAGAGCGGAAAGAAGGACTTGAAGGGAACTGATATCATTGCGTGGGCGAAGAACGTTAGTGGGATCTCGCGATTTATGGTTCCGAAGGAGATTGAGATCATTGAGGAGTTGCCTAAGACGAGTACGGGCAAGGTGAGGAAGAATGTGCTCAGAGATTGGGCCAAGGGGAAGAAGAGGGAGGCTGAGTAACCGGGTTCGTAAGAACCATCTGGAAGGCCAAGGATGACGCCGCCCTCTCTTTCTGGGCGAAATGCTTGCTCCCTGTTTGATGGCAATGGTTGCCGATATGTTTGTGTGTATGTGATGATGCTGATGATGTTTGTTGCTGCTTCTATGAAGCTCTTTGTACAGAATGTTTGTTGATGTTTGTATAGTTCTTTTATCGACAAATTTCGAGCAAGCTTTCCGAGTTTTACAAGACATCTGCGTCCCATCCTCAAGTCAAGTCTTCTGTTCTGTACTATCAAGCACTTTCACATTCCAACATTTTCCATTATGTCCTTTCCTTCATCACATTTATTGTACACTTTCATCGACCAGATACAATATACACCAACCCTTCGACAAGTCATTTCCCAGCTCTGCGAGCACAGCTAGGATTTCAATCATGGACAACGAAACCTGCCAGGACTCATCAAAGCACTTTACAATTGTGACCGGTAATCGGCAGAAGCTGGATGATATCAAGGTCTTCTTCCAGACTACTCACGGCGCATGGCCCATCGCCATGTTCAAAACACTGCACCGTTCTGCCACCGCTCTTCGTCCAACACATACGACAACAACAAACTGATTCTCCTATTGGCCTGGATGCAAACATGGTCCGTTCGAATCTGCAACAGAGCTTCTTCAGCACCTCGAAGGCTTCACGGCGACGGATCAATCAGTAATTGCGGCTCTGCTTGCGTCGGATAGCAGTCCCACTGCTACGGAAATTCCTGAAGCATTCAACGACGCGTGGGATCTTCGGAATACGCTGAGATCGACTCTCATGTGGCGCTGTCCGGCAAAAACATTTGAATCAGGCCGGGCCGAGCATCGGGACGCTTCAAACGAGCGCAATTGTGCCCCACCTGCAACTTGGCGCCGCTGTCGATGACCAGGGGCAATTGACTCCAGAATGGAAGCCGATTGTTTGGAGTGGCGTGTTTTACTCTGGCTCAGTCGATGAAAGTCTCATTTGGTCGGAAATAGAAGACGTTGAAGACAGGCCAGAAGGCTCAGAGGAATTGGCTCTCGAGGGGGGGCTTACGAGTACGAGCTCGATCAATTCTCCCTAAACAGCACCACTGGCACAGGAAGGTGGATCTTGTCGGTTGGTGTGCTCAGAGCTGATGGGGATTGGCGAGCACATGAGCGACATCTTCTAGCTCGCTGTCTCCTGAAAAGTGCACCAGAAATCATATGATTCGCTGGAGGGCCCTCAGACGGCCTGTGCTTTTCGACTTGGGTGAATAGAGGTGCACATTCTCGGACTCGACGTCAACTTTGACACATGTGGATCTCAACTTTCAAGACCTCAGAACTACGTCTGACCGCCACTTCAGACTTTCCTTTCTATACACAACACAACTGAAGCACTATACGCACAACAACACAAGCAACATGTCTTCCTCAAGTGCAGCTTGCCAAAGCTTCCGCAACGGTTCGAGATCGAAGACCACCACAGATCATGCGTCTAACACTTCCGCAATCGCAAGCCAGGAAGCCGGCCAATATTCTCGACCTCCGCCAACCCGATTCGATGCCTATGGAGTCCCGCAATACTACATCGAAACCATCCTCGAATCCAAGAAGTTGGACGACGAAGAGGTCCAATACCTCATCCTCTGGGAAGGCTATCCCTTGGAAGAAGCGACTTGGGAGACTCGATCGACGCTGGGTGAAGATGCCCAGGAGGCAATCAAGGACTTCCAGAGGAGGGAGCGGGAGAAGAGGATGGCAGAGAGGCGGAAGGCTGGAGGGTGAAAGCGACATTGGTTGGCATCTATTCAACAAGACCTTGGACCCGTATTAGTTCTCTTGCCCTGTCGATCGATTCGACCAACATCTACTCGTCGCCCGATTCACCGCCGAGGCCTCAGACACCACAGACTTTACTCGCGACGTGGAAGATTCACAGCAGCAGAGATACAGTCGACCCCAAGGACCCGAACCTGTACCCGACATACCGCAGTCCCAAATCATCAAGAACCGGCTGTTCATCTGTGTTCCCGAAACAGAGTCCTCAAACAACGCAGTCCCCATCTTCTCCCAGAGGACCGAAGGGATCGACAAGATTCCAAAGAGCGGCAATACGAGTATGCCCGTATTTCGCAGACCAGTCAGACTACTCACGCTACCAAACATCAATACGACTTGACCATGCTCTGGTTCGAGAGTAGAGACCAGGATCCACACTGCTCAAATTTGGGAAAGAAAGTGGTATTCTTATCCTTCAACGCGAGCAGCCTGTTGCCCGATTTCGATGCACGATACACTGCCAGCAGCAAGGGGTTGCCTTCCTGCTCGTCAACAAATATCTCATTGACCACTGCAGTGCGCATTGCAATTCATCAGAGAACGTCGGCGGGAAGTAGCCCAGCAGCTGTTGCACTTCTCGATCTGATACTTCTTTGCTTTTGCTCTCGTTCTCCGAAATTGGTGAAGGATCTCATCTTGCACTCCGCAGAGATCATTAATTGAAAGAGTTTTCGTTTTCTCGCAGCGAAAAACGAAGGAAAACACCGCGGAGACTGAGCTCCAAGACCCACTGATCAATGGCCTTGGAAACGACTATGAAAGACACGGAGGACTCGACTGGACAATCTGTCACGAGGTCGAACTGCACCTCATGTGGTCTGAAGACGCCCGGGACCCGACTGTTCAATCAATGAAACAACAGTATAACAAGAACTCCGGTGGCATTTGTGGCAATTGAGAACCTCATACCATCGAGACAAGAATCTTCGATGGCCCATTTCGAATACTTCTCCTCGAGTTCCAGGAGGGACTTCAGCGAGCTCTTTCATCAACGACGCCCTAGGTCCGGTCTCTGGTGGTCTTTCCGAGAGTGACGAAGACAAGCTCGTTATCTGCTCCCTTTTTTTTTTTTTGACAACAACGCTAGCCCCTCGCCATAGCTTGCGGGCATCGAGAAATTGGCGCTTTTCAGAGTCCTACTTGTGTCTTCTTCGGCACAGCTGGCTAATAATTTCGTGGAGGAAGTGCCCATGACATTGCGGTGCTGAGAAGAACGGCCGAGACGCGTGCAGAACAAGGTATGCTGGGAGAAAGCTCGTTGATCCCTGGGAGAGATTGGCAAGAGTCCTAGCAGCACGCAAACGCGCCAGGAGAGGAAGGCATATGATACTCATCTAGGCTTGAATTTCGATGAGCTTAGCGATCGGTCTGATCCTTCAAGAATGAAAAAGCCTGTTACTGTCATGATGACCCGTTGTCCTGCATCTAATCTGAAGAATCAATTGAGACTTGCTAACGACTTCATCAAAGTCCTGTGCAATTCTGTACAAATTTCGAAAGGCGGAGTCATCAACGAGCATCCAAATGCCAGCATTCGACGCAAGTGATAGACATCCTTTTCTTTTTGCCATGCCCGTGCCCATCACCTATACAACTGTTGCGGACACTTATTGTGATTTTACATTGGCGAATGACCTTTCAGATCTGTCTTCCATACGCAATTCGGGCGTGTGGTCGGGTGTTCAGACAAGGCTGAGGCTGAGGCTCTCAGCCTTGCCGGTGCCGAAGATCGACGCCAAAGGCTCTGCGTGTAACGGCTGGCCAGGCTGAGATTGCGGTTCGAGACCCTTTGCGGGCGGTCAGTATGCAGCCATGCGCAGAAGCTGTAATAATTGGTTAGCCTTGCATTTGCAGGTACCTGGCGTGATTTGATGATCATGTAAATTGTTGTGCCCCTCGTGTCACTTGTCGGTCTCTCTCAGCCTTGCTCAGTTTTTGCTTTCATTTCAGTCGCAATTGTTCATTGTTCCAGTGCTCCTCTCGCCTTCAGGAGTGTAACTTGCAATGGCTTTAGAACTTCCTACTAGAGTGATAACCACCAGCACCTCTACAACAATCGAACTTCCCACCTACAGCGGATCTCCAGTATGGGGCTATGCTGTGTACCCTGCTTCAGCTGGCCTACCTGCACAGGCTCGAAGATTAGGAGCCACTTCGCCCGGTCCGCGGACCACAGTCGCAGTAGCACCCGGGTTCGCCTTATACTTTCCATTCTCTGCCGCTAATCCGACAAGAGTGACTTGGACTACGCTGGTCTCCGTACTAAATGATGTGTATCCCGGGGTTTATACACCTACAGGTGTGGCAGCGCTCCGCATAGTCGAAAGTGCGCTCACACCTATCACTTCTCTCAGTGACTCGGTAGTCTCCCTCAGTACCAGCGACACAATATACATTCCTATCACAATCAACCTCGCCACCCGCGTTGATATGAACGGTGGAATAGCAGTGCTCAGAGCTGCGGCCACACCGACATCACCGGCAGCTGGGACTAGTACCTCAGCTGGTACAGATACACCAGCAACATCAACTCGTGTAGAGAACACACCTGGCCCCGATGATGATGAGGCTCCTTCGACAGCGATTCTTGCTGGAGGTATAGTCGGGGGTGTCCTAGCTGCTATACTGCTCTGCGGGCTGCTCGGTTGCTTCTTGATTAGACGCAAAAGGTCAAAGCGTTCAGCACAAGCTAGCGAGGAAGGCAATAAAAACGCTCCTGGCTCGAAATCTGGCATGACGGGATCACAGAAGCAGAAGATGGACAATACCAATCCGCTTGTTATTGAGGTCGCAGATTCAAGTGCTGTTCCCATCTCAGACCTTTGGCTTGCTCCGAAAGGTAATAGAACTCGTTGGTGGCACTTTGGTCGCGAAGGAGGACGATAGTAAAGTTGCCAGGCTCTTCGGGACCATGCTCGAGCAGATCCACCGAATTTGTCGCATCGACGAATGGATGATATCGGAAAAATTTCAGGAGATCAGAAGTTCCTCGTCCAGGACATCAGATAAGTTGTGCTGGTTGAGAAAACTGAGGATTCTGGAAGGCGCCATTTTCTCAATGCCCGTCAGTTCGATTGGAGGAGATTTTGAAAAGGGCCTTAGCAGCGAGCGACTCCGTCGGGAAGGAACGCATGTGATGCTCGTGTGGGCTCGAGCGTCAATGAAGTTAGCGCCAGCCCCGTCGTATGGTCAATGAAATCTATTCCGTCGCTTCGTAATGACTCGTGGTCTGCGTCGAATTGAATGTCAACTGAGACCTGCCAAAAACTTCGCAAATCATGACATTCTGTACATCTGTCAAACTGTGAAGCAATCAATCAAGTTTCTCGCGCTTCAAATCCACCCATTTCATCACACCAGTCTTCGGATCGCAGTTCACATAGTCGAAATGTGCTTCGCCTGCTTTGAAGATCCAGACCTCGTGCCTATTTGTCACAGTCAGCCACATCACCTTACAGCCCAGCACGATATTAGCTGAAAAGTTACCACTCACCAAGTCATAAACTTCCTATTCTCTCCAAATTCTTTCGCATGCTTCATCATTCCATTGAAGATCTTCAAGTGGCTCGGATGTCGACTACTCCATTTTTCCAAACCTTTCCAATTTTTATGGAAGCCCGCTCCACAAGTTTCGAGAATTGAGTTTCCTTTGTCGTCAAGGTTTTGTAAGAAGCGTAAGCCGATTGTTCCGGTTTCTTCGGGATGAGTCCATAGGTAGTCCATGCCGCCCATAAGGGCTTCTTGGAGTTTGGTCTCATAGGCTTCGCGTTCGTCGGGAGGGCAGAGGGCCCACCATTGGCCGGAGCGGATATGGCACCTGATGGCGGGAGAAGTGGGTGTTAGGAATATTGAGGGAAAGTAAAAGAGACTGAATGAGCAGCTTACATGTTGTCATAGTTCGTTCCTGTCAGTCTCTCGCCAATTCCAACGGGCTCTGAGGAAGGAGTAGGGACATCTTTTGGCGTTTCAAAGAGGTCGTGAGCGGAAGCAGGAATGCGATCACGTCCCGCTCCCCAATATGCTGTCAATTCATGGTCTGGCTGCTCTACACCTGGTAATTGCGCAAGACCTGGTTTGTGGTCCAATCGAGCATAATTCGTTTCGAGTCTCTCGACTGGTGCGGCGAAATGTTCGAGCCATATCCCAATGTCCTGCTTGCTACTGCCCAGGCTTTGCCAAATCTCGGGCAGGTTGAGCTTCTGTAATGTAGTTTCGAAATCTGCCTGATTTGTCCAGTACGCTACCCACACTTTGGAGTCGACTAGGTCGAAACCGTGAGTGACCCGGAACGTATCTACTGCTGGTGGACGATGAGCGTCAAGTATGCCATCGATAATGTCTTCTGCCTCTTGGCGCTTTTGTACGTGATTGTTGTGACTCTGCACTCCGATGTATAGTGTATACACGTGGCTGACTTCACGTGGCAACTTGAGAGTCCATCTAGGAACTGGAGGTTTGTGGCCATTGGGCCGTTTGAGGGGATATGTTCGGCCTTCTTCGGGGCCGGCAGATGCCATTGTGGTGTGTTGGGAAGTGAAGCTGTAATTTATCCTAGTCCTGTACGCAATCCGGCATGGTCTGATCCGCGTCGTTGGTGAGATTAGTAGTCTGTGTAGCGATTGTCGAGTCATTGTTTTTGTTCATCACGATGTCATCGGGACGTCCGAGGAGACGATGTCGGCAGGAGCAATGTGCTTGGGCGCGCTTGGCGCTTCTCGTTTTGGCTGGCAGCTCGAAGTCACGACTGATACATCGCCGACTCTGCTCGCCCTCGATGTCGTCGTCCTTCATCTCCAGACGAACATGTGTCCTCACATCAGGCAGCTCGGAGGCGCTCCGGAGAAACGACACTGGACTCCGGCTCTCGTTCGGACGATGACAGTGGCGCGGACCCCGGACCGAGGACTGATCTACAATCATCCAGCACATACGGTTTTATGCATGCACGTGGGAAGTCTTCACCGTTTCAGGTCCAGTAATTGCACATCGCACCTCATCGCACTCGCCGTACTGGGGCGCCCACAGCATCTGATGAATGAATGAGCATCTCCGGAGCACCGGACAGAGCAGTCAACTCGGCCCAGACTGCCGGGACTGCCTGGCCGTCTGCCCATCGCGCAACGGCAAGACGGCTGAGACGAGAGAAGCGAACATCATTGATTGTCATCTCACGTTTGGCCCAGCGAAAACATATTTATCTGCCCCACGGCCTGGACCCGGCACTCCTCGGCGTTGGCTCCGGTGCGGTCTTCACTCCTGCATCGTCGTGACTGCCGCTCAACACGCCACTCGTCGCCCGTCGCAGCTGCCAGTCGCACACTGCAGAGGCGGTCGTGCGCACAAGGCCATACTCGACATCGCAATGAGGCTTTTCACCGCCGTCGCTCGTCCCGACGTCGCGCGCCAACAGAATGTCTGGGCAAGAGGTGCCTGCTGCTCCGCTCCGCTTTGTCTGCGTCGACCGGGCTGACTCTGTGCTGCTAGGAGATGAGCGACACGCTGCTCAGACGTGTGTCCGAAGCCAAAACACAGCTCGCCGTTACCCGCGCACAACGCGGCGTCGTTGCAGCCGCCTGCAACTTTTGTCGGGTGAAGAAAGTCAAGGTACTCTCCCCCTCATATAGTACTTATGTGTACGAGTCTGCTGGAATGGCTTTTGACGTTTGAGATGCAAGTGCGACGCCCAGCGGCCCTGCTCAACGTGCGTGAAGCGCAACTTGGATTGCCACTATGAAACTACCGGCTCCGAAACACATTCTCGGGCAAGCAAGCGGAAGCACGACGAACTGAGTCGAGCGCATGACACACATGCGCAGCTGTTCCAGCTGCTGGCGACTTGCACGGGCCCGAAGGCTGCCGAGATATATCGAAGGATTCGAATGGGCGACAGTCCCGACGACATCATCCATCGATACACAGCGGCCGATCATGGCAATGTTCCATTGCCCGTCAAGCGAGCCGTGCGACAACTGTTTCTCGTGACTCTGACTCATAGCACGGGCTCCATTCTGGACATCGTCCACCTTGCTATGCGAGCACTAGACCCGACTGCGAAATTTCAACTGCCGGATTCGCCTGATCTGCTGCTTTTCCGAAATCGCATAGCCCATCTGCACCGGATAGAGGCCATCGTGCAAAGGTCGTCCGGGATCACGGCCTCATTGCCAGCTCCTTCGGCGAGCTCATCCGCGCAGCGGCCAGAAACTGCCTTCTATGCCGGACTTGATACTCGCACAGACTGTGACAACTACGCTCTGCATCAAGTTCCAGCTAGTCCGTGGGTCGTGATTACAGATGACGATGAAGCAATATCGCACTTGGTCTCCCTCTTCCTCGCCTGGGTCAACCCAGGCTGGCGATTCGTGGAGCAAGATCTTTTCTTGCAGGGTAAGTGGGCGATCGGACTCAGCAGGATTTCATTCTATTCAAGCGTGGTCTACTGACGTCGAATGTCAAGGTATGCGCTCTGGTGATGTGGATTCACCATTCTGCTCGCCTTTCCTGGTCAATGCTATGTGCTCAATGGCCTGTGTAAGTGGCCCTTCCTATCGATATCGAGAGGCAGTCTACTCACATCGTGATAGCTTCATTCAGAACACGATATCGCGTTCACAGGCGGCGACAGAGACCGATTTACGCGTGGTCAACACTTCCACAACCAAGCCCTGAGACTGTGGTACCTCGAACAAAATCGCGCGACAGTCGCCAACATCCAAGCTCTTTGTATGCTGAGTTTCGAGTAAGCTTCGCTCTCGATCCGACTTGCGTACGAAACTGACGCGCACAGCTCAAACTACCGCGCCAAGGATAACCAGGGCCTTGGCATGATCCCAATGGCAATTGAAATGGACAATGAGCTCCCATTCCATCGAGAGTCGGAGTGGTGTGCCCAGCGAGGTATCCAGGTGCGCGATTATGCAAGAGCGAGACTTGCTGCTCATTGGACTGCTATATGTCTTCACATGTGAGGGATGTCTAGCGTCAACACAGTTATCATGTGGCTGACCGGTCCAGAAATATGCGTCTTTCGTACATGCTCGACATGACCGTCAGGCCGAGGTCGTCTGAAGTTCCAAAAATCCACAACGTCTTCCAAGACGACGTGGATCTCTGGATTGGATACCCATTGTCCAGAGAAGCAGTGCCACATCGATCCACTCTCTACCTACGAGAAAAGTGTGCACTAGCAGCACTCTTCCATGACATGCATAGCTTGATCTTCTCAGACAGGCACAAGAAGACCAATACTCGAGTGTTCATGGACAGGATAGATCAAATGTCGACCAAGATGGCAAGCTGGCACGAACGTCTCCCGTTCGAGCTCCAATATGAGTGGCCTATGTGCGTCGCAGTTTGGGAATTGCAGTAAGTCACTTGAAACTGTGAGTTCCTGGCCGACGCTGATGATCCTTTGTAGCGCCTCATATACCTGTTTTTGCATGTCGCTGCGCCTTGTTGCCAGAAATCGATGTTTGCAAGACGGCGAAAGAGCGAGAGATCGATCAAACTCACCCGATTCGCCAGACCCCGAAGATGTCATAGCACGTATGGCGCACGATAGCCTAAGCAAAGCACTCTCGCTGGCATACAAGGCAGCCCAAATGCTTCGCGATCACCGAGAGCGGTATGGATTGAAAATTTCCCCTCCTTGGCTCGTGCAACTTTCAGCAGTAGCCGCAGGCGTCCTCGTCCTCGACAAGGACTTGACGATGCCAAATATGGAAAACCACCCTTCGGACCACTCGCGTAGACAGATTACAGATTCGCACACGGCGTTTGACGAAGTCTTTCGATGCCTTTTGGGTGCTGGCGTGGAAATTATGATTGCCAGAGGGATCGCGCGAATGATTTATCATACTGCGCTCGAGCAGAGGATTGTCCTCTCGCGCTCCTCGCGGGCTATGCTGCAGATTATGGCGGATACTGCTTTGGCGGCCTTCCGATCTGTCGCTGATGCAGTCGACTTACCCGGATATCACGTCTGTGAGTGGGGATGAAGAGGGGAGTGCGAATCGGAGGCTGACGGAGTTGTTGTCGAGTTGGGAGAAGATGGAGATTTGAGGTGGAGGAATGCGATGAGGGTGGCAGGATATGTGTCTTGAAAGGTGAGGGATGTTGATGTATACTAAAGGCAAAAACTACGAATGTATATTAGATGGTTGGTATGAATTATGATACACACGGTTATGGATCAAGTCGAACTTTTCAGAGCGGGATATTATGGATATCGCTCAAGACATCGAGGTAATGTGCTTCTATTGCCCTCTCATTCAGAACTTCACTCACTCATGCACGGAGTGAGATTCAGATTTCGGAGTTTACGCAAGAAATGCCAAGTGACAAGTTCGGCATTTGTTTACGAGTCGGCCCAGGTAAGCTAAGTTAGTAACTAACTAGTAGAGACCGGGAGCTTTTGCTTCGTGTTAGTCGTTCCATTGAGACTCCGTCATACGAAATCTTATAAACAGACAGTTCTGTGCGACCATTGCATGTCATCAAAGAACTAGATTCAGCTAAATCAAGTAATTGGAATTCATTCAAATCCCACACATCAGAAGAACGACACTTTCTCCAAGACCGATTACAAGTTCCAAGACTTGCGAGAAGAAGCTCTACAGTCCCAAAAGAACAAGTCTCAAAGAACAAGAACAAGTACCGCAAAAATGCCCATCATCGCCACTCCCGCAAACGATGAAGACATCCCCCGTCTCTTCGAAATCGCCTGCCTGGCTTTCGCTCGCAACGAACATGTCTGGGATATCATGTGGCCTGAACACTGGACGCCTGAGGGACGAGCCGCTGGCGCAGCGCGGATGCTCGAAACGAAACAAACTACGTCTTCGACGACTTATTTGAAAGCTGTCGATACCGAGACGAATGAGATTGTCGGAATGGCGAAATGGAATTTGTGGGAGAATCATAAAGTCACTTCATCAGATCCGAAGAAGGAATGGTACTTCAACGATGACAAAGAATGGAGATACGCGAAGGGAATTATGGAGAGTTTTTTGCAGGAACGGAATAAGGCTATTGAGGAGAGGAATGGGACGTTGGTGAGTTTGGATATTTTGACTGTGGATCCGAGGTGGCAGAGAAGAGGCGTTGGCGAGGTATTGGTGAAGTGGGGGATTGAAGAGGCGGATCGAAGGGGTGTTGATGCGGTTGTGGAGAGTTCGCCGTTTGGGAGGAGGTTGTATGAGAAGAATGGGTTTGTTTGGCAGAGGGATGTTGTTGTGGGGGTGGAGGGGGA